GCCTGAAGATCAGAGTGCAGAGCTAGCCACTAGTTAGCCATTGAGGCCAGGCAGAGGTGACACACACCGTCAATCCCAGCACTAGGGAGGCGAAGACAGGAGTGATATGGCTGAGAGGAGAGAGGAAAATAAGGTGGGAGGAGACAGGAGCACATTGCAGCAGTCAGTCAGAGGTTTTGTAGAGACAGCATTCAGTCTGAGCATTCATAGGGACAGGATCACCCGTTTGGTCTGAGGATTCGGTAGAGGTAAAGGTCTCTCCTGTGGCTGGTTCCTTTACTTTTCTGACCTTCATCATATGCCCTGACATCTGACTCTGGGTTTTTATTATTAAGACCTACCAGAACTCAGGTTACAATGAATATTTTGCCTACAAAATATGCACCACAAGTGTGCCTGGTGCTGGAAGAGGCCAGAGGAGGGTGCCAGCCATCCTGGGATTGGAGTTACAGATGGTTCTGAGCTCCATGTGGATCCTGGGAATTGAACCTGGGCCTTCTGGAAGAGCAGCACGTGCTCCTAACCCCCGAGCCATCTGTGCAGCCCCTAGACTTTTTGTATTCTCAATCCTCCTGCCTCCATCCCCCAAGTGCTGGAATTTTAAGGGCAAAATCTTAGTATTTGCCTATAGCTTTTTATAATCTGAACAAAATTATGTCATCCACTCACCCACTGTGTAATACCACAATCTAACTATAACTAACTAATGCTCCCACTTCCCATCTCCACTCCCTTGCCTGCCTGCAGATTTTGAATCCCAGGTCAGATTATTCAATGACAGAAACATTCATGCTGGCACTCACCCCAACAGATGAGTTGGGTGTTCCTGTTACCTCCAGTTCTGCAGTATCCTTGATTCTATTTCCAAGTTTAATTCTCTAAATTTCCCATCATTTCTGAGAGCCACTCATCTTTCCAATAAATTCTCTCTCTCTCTTTTTTTTTTTTTTTTTTTTTTTGCTTACATTAGCTGAATCAGTTCTTTGGCTTGGAATCAAAAAAAAAAAAAAAAAAAAGCCCTACCCCAGGGTAGTCACATGGACACTATCTAAGTCCCTGATGATCAGACCCTGTGTTCCCTCTCAACAGTGAAACCCTTCTGCTGCGGTACATCCCTCCCACCTCTCAGGAAGCATGCCCACACACTTCAGCTCCAGAACAAGTGTGGTCTTCTCTCTACGGCTTCTATGTCACCATCATCATGGACACATCGAACGTTAACTGTTATTTTAGTTTAACATTTGCACTCATGTCTCCCACAAAATCCTAAGGGTGTTGTTTGTTTTGAGGAACTTGAAGCACCTATTACTGCTGTGCTGAACTCAGGTCATCAGACTTGGTGGTAAGCACCTTTACCTGCTGAGCCATCTGTTCCTCCCTCCCTCCCTGTCTCCCTCCCTCCCTCCCTCCCTCCCTCCCTCCCTCCCTCCCTCCCTTCCTCCCTCTCTCTGTCTCTGTCTCTCTCTCTCCAGCATACAGCAAGAAAACAGTGGGCGGGGGTGGGAGAGAGGGAGCAGCATTTAAGAGCACTGGCTGCTCTTCCAGAGGACCTGAGTTTGATTGCCAGAACCCACAGTGGCTCCCAACCATCTGTAACTCCAGTCCTAAGAGATAGGGTGCCCTCTGCTGGCCTCTGTGTGTGGTGCGCTGACATACAGGTAAAATACCCCTACATATAAAAATGCATAATTTAAAAAGAGAACAGTAGGCTGCAGCCCAGTTCTCTCTTTTAGCAACATACAATTTTAATTTTTCACCCCCCTTCCTTTTCTTAATGAACTCGTGACAGCTGTTAGATGAAACAGTTGATGAGACTCATCTGACTACAATGTAAACTAGAGGCCTAGAGCTTTGATGCCTCTATATTGCATCAGAAGCCTCAGTGATTACTTCTGCATTCTGGAGTCCTCAAATTCCCCCAAGTGCATTACTGTTTACAACTTGAAAGCCACCTGACAACTAAATGCTAAGTACTGTAAATAAAAACCTTGTAATAAAAACAAACCAAGGCAAACAGTCACTAGGAACAAGGTCCAGGAAGGAAGGAAAGGGTTCTCCTTTTTGTGTAACTTGTTGGGATGCTATCCACACATTCTTTATTAATTTTGTTCTTTGACAATTTCACGCATGTATATGAATATTGATTAATCTCTGCCCCCCACACGCTCATCTCTCTCCCCTCCTTATCAAGCACTCCCTTCTCTCTACTGGTTCCTATCACAGGTTCATGACTTTGGTCTTTTTTTTTTTGAGACCCATTTAGTTTTGTTGGACCCCAATTCTGGGGTCCTGATGGGCCAGTGGGAGAGCCCCACGACACAAACACCAAAACCAGGAGATGCAACAAGCAAGAGGTGCTTATTGAACAAGTGCACTCGGGTGACAGCAATCTCGGGGAAAGCTGCACACCCCCCAAAGGGTTTAGGCTCTCTTTTTATAGAGAAAGACCGTAATCAGCATACATGCATGGGGCACAAGGTGATTGATTACAAAGTATGATCTCATGTTTGAGAGATCACCCAGGTATGACCTGTTCTTATTCAAAGGAAAAACCATAGAATGACTTGGAAAGTCCCCAGACTGTCTGTTGGCCAGGAGTGACCCAAGCAGGGTTGTTCATCTGGGACCATTTGTTCCAGGGTTGGGGGCCTATTTCCTTGTTGTGGGCCAAGACCTGTGAGAAACTTTTTTCATACTCTGGCTTTCTCTTGGCTGTAACTAGCCCTATTTAACAAGATCAGTCTAGCATATAACCACTAGCCTCATCACCACAGTAACCTTTCTTGTTCTCATAATTTTTGTCTTTTCCTCCCATGTCAACATCCATTCTTTATGATTTTCTATATTCCGCTTGCAAGAATTATTCTCTTGTCCCTTTCCCACATCCTTGCTCTGCAAACTAAAATCTTTCGGTTAAACTAGCGCCAGCTTTATGACCACTGAATTGGAACTACCCACCAGAGCCTGGTGGGGTCACTAGTAGGTATGCAACTAAAGACAATGATTCCCTGCTTCGTGAATCTGTAAGTAGGGAATAGTACAGTAGTGAGAGATAGGCCCTGAGGCCCTCTTCCACCCAGGCTTGACTGACAGGCCCACTCCTGAGCAGTCATGTCATCTAACTACAGATGTTAGTTTGTGCTGAATGACTGTCTTGCCCAGAAGATGATATTTGTAGCCCTTCTGTCTCTGGCTCTTTTTTTGTTGCTTGTGTGTGTGTGTGTGTGTGTGTGTGTGTGTGTGTGTGTGTGTGTGTGTGTAATATCTCTGGCTCTCCTGCAACCCACTCTGTAGACTAGGCTGGCCTCAAACTCACAGAGACCCACCTGCCTCTGCCTCCCGAGTTAAGATTAAAGGTGTGTGCCACCGCTGCCCAGCCTGCCTCTGGTTCTTGATCTTTTTCTACCTCCTGCTCTGCAAAGTTCTCTGAGCCTTAGAGGAAGTGGTAGAAATGTCTTGTTTGGGGCTGGGGTCCAATGCCCTCCTCTGGCTTCTGAGCATATGTGGACAGATATATGTGTAGGCAAAACACTCATGCACATAAAATAAAAATAAATAAAAGGTTTAAAACTTTCATTTAAAAGTCCTTTTCCTTTTCTCATTTTTGAAAATTTTATCCATTTATATTTTATGTATGAATGCTCTGCATGTATACCTGCATGTTGAAGAAGGTATCAGATCCTAGTATAGATGTGAGCCACCATGTGGTTGTTAGGAATTGAACTCAGAACCCCTAATGGAGCAGCCAGTGCTCTTAACCACTGAGCCATCTCTCCAGCCCTAAAAGTTCTTTTTCATTTAAGGGCATGTTACTAGTTTGTTTTGTTTCTGAGATGGGTTTCCTGTTCTCAGGCAGGCTTTGAACTCATTACAGAGCTGAGAATGACCTAAGTGCTGGGATTTCAGTGGTGGGCCACTGTACCCTGCTTTGGGTTTGGAATCTGAGAGGGAACACCAACTCCTTCAGTGACACAGAACTACTGGCTGTCCAGTGCTGTTGCTGACCCTGGACTTCCCCACATGCCCAAGTTGCAGCAACAGTCCTGTAACAGGTGGCAGACAGATTTAAAAATCAGTGAAGCAGGGTATTCACATAAAGTGTAAACTGGCCTCAAACTGCTACTCTCCTGCCTCAGCTCCCCAGGGCTGGGATCAGAGGTGTGTACCAGCGTGTCCAGCTAGAACACAGATTTCTAAACAAGACCCCAGACCTAGGAACTCAGATATTACTCTAAAATTTCCACACTCTCACACCAAAAGGGAAACAGAGAGACAATCTTACGCCAAAGCAGGTTTATTGATTGTTTTACACAAAAAACTAAGAGTGGCTTCTGAGCACTCAATCCAAATTGCCCTCCTTTGAGTTGTTTTTCATTCTCTCTATGAAAATGCAACAGCTCTATGCAAACACAAGGAACTCAGATTTTACATTTACACCAGGGAATAACAACAAAGAAACCAGCACCCCTGCTTTGCTAGGAAAATGGACAAAACCTTAACGTTAATGAAGTATAAAGAAAATTGAGAGACTGAACCCTATAATTACTCACTCCCTGCCTAGAATACAAGACACACAAAAAATAAAAAAATAAAAAATCACGATTCAAGTAATATTTCAAGGAGAAAAGTGCTGGTGAAATTGGATGATATATATTTTTTAACCTATAAGTAAGGGTTTTAAGATTTATTTCACTCTAAAGGCCAAAAAAGCAAACCAAACCCAAACAGATAAAAAAAATACAACTTTTGTTTCTGGTGATGCTGCAGACTGAAGCCGTGGCCTGTTCAGGCTGTTATCAGCGCTGCCATCAACAGGAGCTGCCCACAGCATTGGACACTGGACCCTCCGGGCACTGACCCCAAGAATTTTCACTTCTTTAAATCACCTAACCTAAACTATGAGAATTAACATCTCAGGGAATATTTCTGCATATACTGACAGAATCAGAAGTTTGACTTGGTCTGTTATTTTACTTATTTCAGTCACCAGGACAAAGCAGCAAAACAAAGGCTATCATTTTCCCAGAAGCCAGTGGCTGATACCTAACCACCCTACCCCAGGAGGAACTCACATGGACTCTGATGGCAGGGCAGATGAGTCCCCTTCATGGACTCAGCAAACCTAAAATCTAAAACAGATTGGGAGAGGGACTTATCCACGACTCTGTCTTCTCCAGGGCTGGGCAGGGTGGAAGGGGGGAAACGATGGTTTTTTCCGGAAGATGGAAGGTGTTACTTGGAGAGAGAGGAGACACCCAAGTGTCTTGACTTGGGCTCCGTACAGCGCCCTTGTCTTCTACCATCAGCAACTGCTCTATCTCCTCTTTCAAAGAAAACTGTGACTGCAGCTCATGCTTGGGAGTCAGGGAGCAAGCTTTCTGGGTTCTCGGGTCTTCTGGCCCTGTTGACTCCCAACACTCTGGTTTGTTTTCAGAATCCTCGCTGGCTTTGCCTTCTTCCTTCATGGGTGGCAGAATATGAGACTCATCTGTGGTTTGCTTAGACACTTTATCCAAAAAACTCTCATCTTTATAAGATTCGTGACCTAGAGGGCGTGGAGCTTTGTCCACGCCAGAATTTTTACAAAATAAAACGCCGTGGACTCGGTCCTCTTTCACTGCTGTGCGGGTCCCTGGCTTCTTTGGGTGCAGCACTGGCCTTATGAGGAGGCCCTGCGCATTCACTCTGTACTCCTTGGCAGCTCTCTCTCGCCGCTGCTTCTGGAAGTCCTGGAGCTGAAGCAGCTCCTCTGGCAGCTCCATACACTCAGGCTGGGGAAGCAAACAGGCAGGCACAGGTTTACCGAGACCAGACATGGTCCCTAAAATCCCTTCTATTACCCCTGAGGAGACTAGGCAAGTGAGCTTATACAAATGTGCTCCTATAGTGCCCTCTAGTGATTCCTATGTAACATTAGTTTTACATTTTAATTGTATTGAGTAATTTAAATATTTAAGTATTTGAGAAAATTCAATATTTAAGTGTGTGTGTGTGAATATAGAAAATGTAGGTTCCCAGCCTGGCTTAATTGGCTTAGAAGGTGCACTCTGTGGCTGGGCAGTGCTGGTACACGCCTTTAATTCCAGAACTCAGGAGGCAGAGGCAGGCGGATCTCTGTGAGTTTGAGGCCAGCATGTTCTACAGATCGAGTTCCAGGACAGCCAGAGCTGTTAAACAGAGAAACTATGCCTTGGAAAACAAATCAACAAAAGAAAGTGCACCCTCTGAAAAGCTGTACTATCCAGGGACAGTCAGTGTACACGTGATCTCAGGTGTGTGTGTGTATGTGCAAATGCACATGTGTGTACACAATTTAGTAAATGTTTGTCTACACTGGATGACTTCTCATATGTGTGGTAACTGGGATCCCACCTGCTTTGTACAAGGTAGACAAGTACTCTACCAACATCCCAAATCCTAGAGTACATGTCAGCACCCTCTGTCCAAATGGTAACACAGTTTTACATATTTTCAGTATCTTTTTTGAGGGCAGGGTCTCACCATGTAGCCCAAAATAATATTAAACTTACTATGTAACCCATACTTGCCTGGAACTCAACATACTCGGAAGGTGAGCCACTGAAGGTCTAGAACTGCAAGTGTGCATTGCTATGGTATATTAATGAATTTTGGCAGATTTTTGTTGTTGCTGCTGTATGTTTAACACAGGGTCTCATATAGCTTAGGCTGGCATGGAATTCACTATGTGGTTCCAGATGACCTTGACATTCTGACCTTCCAGTGTACTAGGATTACAGGTGTAAACCAACATGCCCCGTGTCTGTGCTCATGGGGATCAAACTCAGGACTTTATACACAGGAGGCAAGCACTCTACCAAATGAGCTACATGCTCTACTATCTTACTTTGTGTTTGGTTTTTGTTTTTGTTTTTTTTGTTGTTGTTGTTGTTTTTTTTTGTTTTGTTTTGTTTTTTTGAGACAGGGTTTTTCTGTAGCTCTGGAGCCTGTCCTGGAACTCACTCTGTAGACCAGGCTGGCCTCAAACTCACAGAGATCCACCTGCCTCTGCCTCCAGAGTGCTGGGATTAAAGATGTGTGCCACCACGGATCGTCCAGTTCTATCTTACTATTATTAATTAAAAAAAAATCTGTGTTAGCCTGGCACACCTTTAATCCCAGCACTCTTGGGAGGTAGAAGCAGGAGTATCTCTGTGAGTTCAAGGTCAGCCTGGTCTACAAAGTGAGTTCCAGGCTAGTCAGGGCTACACAGAGAAACCCTGTCTGGAAAAACCCAAGTTGGGGGTGTGGGGGAAGTAAAGAGAAGAATAGCACGAGATTATGGGCTCCATAATCTCAAGCACAGGCTAGCACTCCACATGTACAGACATGAATATACCACACAGACATGCATGCACAGGACACACACAGACACACACGTATTAATCTCAACATGGTGGTACATGCTTGTAATCCTAGCACTTGAGAAATGGAGGCAGGAGGATCAGGCATTCAAGATCATATATATATATATATCTCAAGGTCAGTCCTGGGTATATAAGACTTTGTTGGAAAAACAAAATGCGGAGATGGAGAAAAGGCTCACTGGTTAAGAGAAATTGCTGCTCTTCTGAAGGACCCAGGGTTTGGCTCCCAGCACCTACACAATGGCTAGTAAATAACCATAAGTCTACTTTCTAGGGATCTGGTACCCTCTGCTGGTTTCCATCCATACCCCCTCAAGCATGCATATACACATTTGGATACACACACATAAAATGTAATACACACACACACACACACACACATATGCAAAAAAGAGGGGGATATTGGTTGTAATTCAGTTGGCACCAAGTTTGATACGTAACATTATAAAAGCAGGACACGGTGGCACAGGTCGACAAGCCAGCATTGGGCAGATGAAGGCAGAATGATCAGGAACTCAAGGTCATTCTCAGTTATATAGCAAGTTTGAGAGACATAGGAGAAACATCACTCCCTACTGAAGAAAAAAAAATCACCACAAGGCTACCCCATGAAAGTTGCTGCATTTATGATGAGTAGGTATCACAGCCAAATCTGGTGTCCTAAGATTTTAATCCCAGCTGCTCAGGAAGGAGGCAGAACAGAGATCAAGGCTACCCTAGACAAGTCAGTCAGACTTTTTCTTAAAACAAAACAAAATTAGAAAGGCCTGTGCATGTAGTTCATTAGTGGAGGGTTTGCTGAGAACATATAATGTCCTGTGTTTGATCCTCAGCACTGCAAACCAACAGTGGTTACTACTATGTGAGGAAGAGACACTCACAGGAACACTCACAGGACACACTCACTGGACACACAGAACACACTCACAGAACACTCATGGAAAGCTGCACCTACCTCTGTACCTGCAAGCCGGTCTGCAGAACCTTCTCGATAGGTGTTTAGGTACCCGTCCACCAGTGTGGTTAAGTCTGACATCATCTCATCTAAAAGTACCAAGCGGAGTGGAAGCAAATAGGTTGTTTCCAAGGCCAAGATTTTCAATAAAGGGGGTGGAAGAGGTCTTGTCAGCCATACTTCTGGATTTTCCTAAAGAAAGCAAAACCATTTTTTTCCCCAAGACAAGTTAGGGTTTCTTTGTGTAACAGCTCTGGCTGTCCTGGAACTCTCTATGTAGACCAAGCTGGCCTCAAACTTACAAGGATCTGCCTGCCTCTGTCTCCCAGGTGCTGAGATTAAAGACATGCACCACCATTGCCCAGCCATTTTTAATTAATATAATAAGCAAAATTCAGCTAGGTGGAAGTGGCACATGCCTTTAATCCCAGCACTCAGGAGGCAGAGGTAAGTGGATCTCTGTAAGTTTGAGGTCAGCATGGTCTACAAAGTGAGTTCCAGGACAGCCAGGGAAAACAAACTAACTTAATTTAAAACAGTGCCATTGCTGTCTACTACTTTCTACTTTTCTATTATCAGTAAACCCTGAGCAGGTACATATACCCACATATACAGTGTTTGTGAGTCAGAGAAAAGTAGGGTTGGGAAGGAGGCTGGTATATTAGGATTTCCCCCTCAAAGTTGCAGGCCAGTCAGAAGCTTGTGTACTATGTCTAGGAGCCTATGATTCATTGCCAGTACCTCAAAAGCCCACAAAGTTGGAGGGAGAGTTTGGGGCATAGTGTAGCTCGGTGGTAGAGCACCTGCGTACTGTATATAAAGTCTTGAGTCACTCCCCAGCACCACTGGAAGGAAAAAGTGCTCCAGTGAAGATTTTAGCAATGACCAATTATGTAGGTAATATACTCACAACCCAGGTTTGTGTGTAAGGATATTATGCGCATGGTGATTTGAAAGAAAATGGCCCCCAAAGGGGATGGCACTATTAAGAGGTTCGGAGGTGTGTCACAGTGGGGGTGGGCTTTGAAGTCTCATATATGCTCAAGCCTTAACCAGTGTCTCAGTTCACTTCCTGCTGCTTGCAAGCTGGAGCACTCCCAGCTCCTTCTCCAGCACCACGCCTGCTTGCACACCGCCATATCCTCCATGATGATAATGTACTAAACCTCTGAAACTGTAAGCCACCCCACTAAATATTTTCCTTTATAAGAGTTGCTGTGGACATGTGTTCATAGTGTCTCTTCACAGCATGCATTAAAGAAAATTTATATAGCTTTGGGAAAAGCAACTAAAAAGACTTTGGTTCCAATGTCTTAATTCAAATTTCCATAAAAAAGTTTCCCCCATTCCAACTTGAAAATTTAGTTCAGAGTACTTTTTAATTTATAATCAACAAATCTGGCTTCTATCTACTTGAAAGCACAAATGGTTCCTCACTGGCACAGCTAAGGTTCTGGAATACCCATGCTTATAAGGCAGCTATCAGTTCTCTATTGAATAGGCTAACAGTCCTGTACAGAGCCCATCTGGAAGCTTAAATGACACATTTTCATTACTCACCTGAATAAGTTTTTGTCTCTCTTCTAAAAAGGAGAGATATTTAGGTGCAACTTTAAGGTGTCTGATTAAACTCTCCTGCAAGGTACTGATACAGTTAGGAAGGAAACCACCTGTTTCCATGGAAAACTGAAGGACATCTGCTACCTGAGGTATGAAACAGGAAACAATCAATCCCACAACAACAAATGAAAATTAAGCAACACACAGAAATACCAGAAATACCCCTCATGTCAGAAATACCCTGAAAGACGTTACCTGTGAGGGCTAGGATGTAGCTCTGCTGGTACCATGCCTACCTAGCATGCCCCAGGCCCTGGGCTCCACCCAAGCAAAAACTAGACTTTCTGGTACAAGTCTGCAATCCCAGACTTGGGAGGCAGAGGCAGGAGGATTGTCATCTAAGACATGGGGAATTGGAGGCCAGCCTGAACTATGTAAGATGAGAAAGACAGAAACATACAGACAAACACATAAAGAGAGAAGGATCTTTAAGTGCCATTTTCCTTGAGGCTATGCCATGGATGCCAAAGATAAATTTATTATTTATTTATTTATTTATTTATTTTAATGACAGGGTTTCTCTGTGGCTTTGGAAGCTATCCTGGAACTAGCTCTTGTAGACCATGCTGGACTTGAACTCACAGAGATCCACCTGCCTCTGCCCCTCCCGAGTGCTGGGACTAAAGGCATGTTGCTATAGGTAAATTTAAAGCAGGTCAGTCAACTGGTTTTGAAATGAAAATAATAAAGCTAAGAGATATCATAGCTCTACATTGTCTATTTTCTTTTCTTTTCTTTTTTTTTTTTTTTTTTTTTTTTTTTTTTTTTTTTTTTTGTTATTACACCTTAGTGCCTTTAGAGATTGAGAAAACAAAGAATTTAAGATTTTTAAGTAGGCAGGACAAAGGCAGCAGATCTGGCTGCTCAAAAACTAACAGCCAGGCACTCTGGCAACATTTTGGTAAAGAACATGAATAAAACACGAATAAAAGGAAGAATTGCTACACTGGTCTGGGGAGATGGCTCTAGAATCCACATAAAGCAAGATATGGCAGGTAGGATTCCCATCTGTAATCCCAGTGCCCCCAGGGCAAGAGAGGAGGATTCCCAGATGCTCACAGGCCAGCTGGCCTGCCTTATGCAGTGCTGGGCAGCAAGAGACTGTTGCAAAGCGGAAGGCAAGGGCCCATACCCAAGGCTGTCTCCTGACTTCCACAGGTGCACAGCCCCTTTGTGCCTGCGCCCACATGCATACCTATCAGAAATACAGAGATTAAAGAAAAAGAAACTGCCACAGGCTGAATGACTCAAGCTATCTATGTCTGTGCAGGTAAGGTGGAATGTGCCAGTATTCCAGTATTTGGGAGGTAGAGGCAGGAGAATCAGGATTGCAAGGTCTTCCTTAGTTTGAGGTCAGTCTGGGTGGCAAGAGACCATGTCTTTAAACAGACAAAACCAAACCAAGGAGATTAATTTCTTAATCCCTGGATCTGATTAAGGTTCTTAAAATGAATTATCCTAAATCATTAGAGTAGGTCCTAAATAAAGTCAAATGTTTTGTTCTGAGACAGGGTCTCAAAATGTAGCACAAGCTGGTTTAGAACCATGTAACAGGGCGGCCCCCTTATCTCAGTTTCCCCATTGTGCCATCACATCCAGTTTACACATGCTCTTTTAAAGACATGGAGATTTCACTGTAGCCAGAGGTGAAGGTGACAGCAGTGGGTGACAATGTACTTTTACCTTCTGTCTGGGTGGGGCACATGCATGCCATCCTGCACTTGCAAAGGCTACAGGACAAATTGTGGGAGTTGTTTCTCTCCTTTTTTCATGTGAGCCACAGGAACTGTGTTCAGGATTGGCAGCAAATACCATTACTTGGTGAAGATATCTTGTCAGCCCTACTTTTTCCTCTTTCTTTTTATTTATTTTTGAGGCAGGGTTTCTCTGTGCAACAGCCCCAGCTCCTACTTTTTCTTTTACCTTTATTTTCTAAAAATTATTTATTTAGAGATGGTATCTTACTTAGGAACCCTGACTATCCTGACTGGCCTCAAACTCACAGAGATCCACCTGCCTCCACTTCCCAAGAACTGGGATTGAGCAGGGCAGTGATGGCGCACACCTCTAATTCCAGTACTTGGGAGGCAGAGGCAGGTGGATCTCTATGAGTTTGAGGTCAGCCTGGTCTACAGTATTGATGAGAGATGTCATTCTGTATATGTTTCTCATACTGGTTAATAATAAAGCACTGTTGGCCAATAGGAAAGGAAGATAGGAGGGACTAGGAGACAAGGAGGAAATAGGAAGTAGTAAGGAGGAGTCAAGATGGAGAGTCTGGAGAGAGCTGGACGCCAGCCGCCTCCCGGTAAGAGAAGGCCATGTGAAGATACATAGAAATGGGTTAATAATTAAAGGCAGAGCTAGCCGATAAGTAACAAGTAACCGGGCCAACAGTATTGTATCAAATACAGAGTCTCTGTGTGTTATTTGGGGCTGGTGGCGTGGTAGCAGGACAAGACCGGGCAGCAGGCGGAAAAACCGTACTCGTTACACAGTATGAGTTCCAAGACAATCAGAACTACATAGAGAAACCCCACCTCAAAAACAAAACAATACAAAAAAAAATCTGGGATTAAAATTTCCTGGCCTGAAATTTTTTTGTTTTTATTTTACTTACGAGACAGGGTTTCGTCCTGGCTGTCCTGGAACTCAATTTGTAGACCAGGCTGGCATGGAACTCACAAAGATCCACCTGCCTCTGCCTCCCAAGTACTGGTATTAAAGGAGTACACCACCAATGCCGGCCCTGAGATTTATTTTTAAAATTTTAAATCTGTATTTATTTTTATTTCATATGTATGAGCATTTTTCCTGCACATATGTATGTGCACTAAGCATATGCCTGCTGCCTGAGGAGGCCAGAAGAAGATACTAGATCCTCTGGAACTGGAGTTAAGAAGAGCTGTAAGCCACCATGTGGTTGCTGAGAACCAATTTCGTGTCCTCTGCAAGAGAAGCAAGTGCTCTTAACCACTGAGCTGCCTTTCACATGATTTATGTATATGTATGTGTCTACATTAGTGTATGCATATGTATGTATAGATGTTTGCATCTATGTGTGTACATGAAGGCCAGAAGAGGACACTGGCAGTTACCCTCTATCATGCTGCCTATTCTCCTGAGGCAGGGTCTCTTTCTGAACCTGGGGCTTATGGTTTCTCAGCTAGGCCAGAAGTCAGCAAGCCTCAGTGAGCTTGCTGTCTCTGCCTCCCTCAGAGCTGGGGTTACAGATGTTGAAGGGAGCACTCAGCTTGTTATGTGGCTGCTGGGATCCAAACTCCAATCCTCATCATTATACTGCAAGCATTTTTAACTAATGAACCATTTATCCAGTATTGCACACTCCTCCATCCTTTCCTCCTTCCTTCCCTTCTTCCTTCCCTCCCTCTCTCTCTCATTTCTGAGACAGGGTCTTATGTAGTCAGGCTGGCCTTGTACTCACTGGCTACGAAATCCTGAATCCTCCTGCTTCCTTCCTACAGAATGACATACTTTGAAGAGGGAGAAAGGAGACATAAACCAATGAATGAAAGCAGCTACTAGATACTAAAAATGCAATGGAGCCAGGAGGTGAAAAATTAGTAGTTCAAGATCATCCTGGGCTACATACAGAGTTTAAGGGCTACATGAACCCCATCTCAAAAACAATCAAAACCTCACTAAACATGGTGGGTTTGGTAGAGCAAGCCCATAATCCCAGCACTGGGGATGCAGAAGAAGGTGAGGCCAGAATAGGCTCCAGAGGGAGTATCCAGACCTATACAGAGAAACCCAGTCTTTTTTAGCAAGGGAGCAGCCACTCTCAGATAACCTCTAAAACAATCTGCTGACACCCTGACTCTTACTCAGGAAAAGTGATGTGAACCTTCTCATCTTTAGAACTATAAGAGAATAAAGTAAGCCTGTCATGATATATTTGTGGTAGTTACAGCAACAATGCTTGCCTTCTATGCAAGGCCCTGAGCTTATTCCATAGCAAGGAAAAAAAATATACCAAAAAAAAAAAAAAAAAAAAAAAATCGGGTGGTGGCAGAAGCAGGGAATCTTCGAGGTCAGCCTGGTATACAGATTGAGTTCCAGGACAGGCTCCAATGCCACAAAGAAACTCTGCCTAGACAAAAAATAATTATCAAGATGGCTTCATGGGAACTATGGCACAAAGGCAGGGTCAATACTGTGGACTGAAAGACTCAAAGCAACTGCACACATAAGAAATGGTACAGACTCTGTAAGCACACACGTGAAGAGTAAAATCTAGCCACATAGTTAAACAAGAAATTGAACTGAGGAATTAATACTCAAAAAATAGTAGTCAATCCCTGGCACCAAAGGGAAAAAGCAAAGACCAAGGAAAGGGAAGGAAGGAAAGAAGCAAAAATAGAGGGTGAGAGAGAACCATATGGGAGCAGTGGTTTTAGCACTTTCAGAGTCAAATCAGAAACAGATGAGTTCTAAGAGCAGGGCTAGGCAAGGTATTTCTCATTTCTTTCAGGGCCCTTGCCCAGGCAAGTCAGATCTCATCAAGTAAGGATTTTGAGTGAGATAGGTTTTTTTTTTTTTTTTTCATTTTTAAGAAATAATTTATTCACTTTGTTTTATATGTATGTTTTTATATGTGTTTATATGCATATATGTGTATGATATGTGTGCCTGCATAAGTCAGAAGAGGCCATCAGTTCTTGGAACCAGTTGCTGATGGATATGTGGGTCCTGGGAACAAAACTCAGGTTCTCTGCAGTAGCACAAAGTGCTCTATCCACTAATCATCTCAATAGCCCCATAAATAGGTATTTACTTTTTTAAGGGATATAATAACCTGAACAACTATACCCCTGGGGTAAAAACATGATAAAGGAGAGATGTGCTTATTCACTTCATATTGTCTCCACATCAGACCTTTAACTTTCTTAAGTTTCTGAATATCGTGACATACCCAGCTTCCTTCTTACTATTACAGTTGTAGAACAAAAAGAGAAGACTTCCTTCTAAATGACTCTAAGTAACTTACAATTTTTATAGTTCTTACATGTTCTATACATAGTTCATCCAAGAAACAGGCAGTAATGGGCACCAGTAAAAGTGGGCTCAGTTATTTCTTTAGGGTCACCCTGTGGAGCACTGGATGATGTGGAACTCTCTCTGTATGCCAGGCTGGCCTTCAGCTCACAGAGATCCACCTGCCTCTGCTTCTCAAATCCTCGGAGTAAAGACATGTGCCACTGTACTTGGCACAATTACTTTTTAGATGAGAAATCTTTTCTACTAGGATCTATGTGCACTGGCTTGACTCCAGTGTTACCCTTCATACCTGCGTGTCAAAGACATTGTTCAGCATAATTCCATACTGATGAGACAGGCAATCAGAAAGCCATCGACAATCATGGATGACCTAAGGAGTCAGAAGGTGGAGACAGGTGTTAGAACCTGGCCACTGCCTCATTACCAAGGTAATCAGCTTCTATACCCACCTTTAAGATTCTCTTGTCTTCGAAGATCATCTGGAGTCCATTGTTGAAAGCACGACTTCCCAGAAGGAAAATATCAAACAAGTAAACTCGGCTGTTTGTGGCCACCTATAACAAACAATACCATCGAATGAGGAAAGGTCAGAGGAGGGATCTGAGGACCAAAAGCACAGGACATGGATGAAAATGGTGAGCATCTTCACAGCAGCATGGCAGCAGTCATTCAAGTGGTACTTAGGAAAAACAGCTTTAAATTGATCCTACGTTTTTAAAGAAAAAGACATAATGAAGTTTAGGGTGTGCCTCTGTAGTAGAGCTTGCTTAATATGAGTGAAGTTCTGGGATCTCTGATTTGCTATTGATATCTGATACTGATACTGCAATAAATATGATTAAAGAAACAATTATTAGGATTTTCAGAAGGACAGGAAATTGTTAACAGGTAAACTTGCTATATTGATTAGGAAAGCTTGGTGGGTTTTCTTTTTTTTTTTTTTTTCTTTTTTCTTTTCTTTTTTGGTTTTTCAAGACTTGGTTTCTTTGTGGCTTTGGAGGCTGTCCTGGAACTAGCTCTTGTAGACCAGGCTGACCTTGAACTCATAGAGACTTGCCTGCCCCTGCCTCTGCCTCTCAAGTGCTGGGACTAAAGGCATGCGCCACCACTGCCTGGCTTTTCTTTTTCATTTAAGATAGAGTAAACATGATGAATATATGTATTCATTTCCATCACTTACGATATTTTTTTATTCTTTCAAAATTTCATACATATATGCAATGTATCTTGATAATATTTACCCCTTACTCCTCCCCTCCAACTTCCTTCAGGACCCATCACATCCCCTCACAACTTTATGTCTTCCATCAATTCAAATCAGTGCTGCCCATATACACTAGAACACGGACAGAGTCATCTACTGGGGAAGGGTCAACTTTTCAGCGGCCCCACTCCTAAAGAAAAGTCACTCTCCCTCCCAGAAGTTATCAACTGCCAATAAACACAGGTAGGCCTTGGGAACCCTTTCCCTGAACATCAAATAGTATGAGTGCATGCATCTCTTCATGTGAGTGCATGCATGTGAAGTCTGCCAACCCTGGGAACCTAATTCAATCTGCAAGACACAGAGGACAGAAGGAAAGACTGACACCTACGAGTTGTCCGCTGACCTCCACACATGCTGTGACATATTCATATACTGCTCCAACCCCCACCACCAATAGATAACTTGTAAATTAAAACAGTTTTGCTTGTTTGTTTTTACAAGATAGGGTTTCTCTATGTAACAGTCCTGGCTGTCCTGGAACTCACTCTGTAGACCAGGCTGGCCTTGAATTCAGATATTCATCTGTCTCTGCCTCTCAAATGCTGGGATTAAAGGTGTGCACCACCACTGCCCAACTATTTTTAATTTTTAAAATATTATGTGTATGGATGTTCTGCCTCATGTATGACTGTGCACCACATACATGTATGCCTGGTATCCTCCCAGGTCAGAAGTGGGCACTGGATCCCATGGAACTGGAGTTACACGCAGTTGTGAGCTACCATTGGGGTGCTGAGAATTAACCATGTTCCTCTGCAAGGACAGTAAAAGCTCTTAACCCTTAATTCATCTCTACAATACCCACTGGCCTTCTTTTTGAAAAGAATAAATGAGTAATAGAAGAATGGATATTCCAAGAGCTTGGGCTGTAGTTTGGTGAAAGATAGCTTATCTAAAATATAGGAGGATCTAGGTTCAACCCCAGTATTTACAGGGGGAAAAAAAGGAAAAGTAATAACGGACATTCTAAATGAGTTCTTGAGTGACAGAAAGACTTAAAAGTATATATACATGGTCATGGATGGTAGTGGCAAAACATTTAATCCAGTACTTAGGAGTTAAGAGGCAGGTAGATCTGTGAGTTCAAGACCAGCCTTGAGTAAGTTTCAGGACAACCAATGTACACGTATGTATTTATGTATGCATGCATGCATGTGTGTGTGTGCAGTTTAGAAAAGATCTTTCCTCATAGCACTGCTTTCAAAGTGTCCCATAAGTTTGGGTATGTTGTGTCTTCTTTCTCATTGAATTCTAGGAAGTCTTTAATTTCTTTCTTTATTTCTTCCTTGACCCAGGAATGGTGCAATTGCACATTGTTCGATTTCCATGAGTTTGTAGGGTTTCTGTAATTTGTGTTGTTGTTGAATTCTAACTTTAAAGCATGGTAGTCTGATAAGATACAGTGGGTTATTCCTATTTTTTTTTTTGTATCTGTTGAGGTTTGCTATGTTGCTGAGTATGTGGTCAATTTTAGAGAAGGTTCCATGTGGTGCTGAGAAGAAGGCATATTCTTTTGTGTTTGGATGGAATGTTCTATAAATGTCTGTTAAATCCAATTGGTCCATAACTTCTGTTAGTTCCTTTGTTTCTTTGTTAAGTTTCTGTCTGGTGGTTCTGTCTAGTGGTGAGAATGGTGTGTTGAAGAATGTGTGGGGTTTTATGTGTGATTTAAGTTTTAGTAATGTTTCTTTTATGAATGTGGGTGCCTTTGTATTTGGGGCATAGATGTTCAGAATTGAGGCTTCATCTTGATGGACTTTTTCTTCTTCATCTCTTTTGATTGATTTTAGTTTGAAGTCTAATTTGTTAAGATATTAGGATTGCTAAACCAGCTTGTTTCTTGGGTCCATTTGATTGGAAAGTCTTTTCCCAATCCTTTACTCTGAAGTAATGTCTGTCTTTGAAGTTGAGGTGTGTTTCCTGCATGCAGCAGAAGGACAGATACATAGAGGAGGGCCTAGGACTTCCCTCAAATGATGTAACAGACTTTAATGACCCCCCCCATAGAAGGCCTCACCATCCTTGGTTGGGGGATGGTTTGGGGGGGGGGGTAGGGAGCATGGGAGGATGGAAGGAAGAGGTAATGGGAGGGGGGATTGATATGTAAAATGGTTGTTTCTAAATTAAAAAAGAAAATCTTTCACCTGAAGCCAACAGAGTTTCCCATGGCGACACACATTAGTTCCTTCTGCAGCCACACTCAGGACACTCTGCTTCTTGATGTGGAGCATCTGATAAAAAAAAGGAGGACACCTTTAATCCCAGCACTTGAGAGGCAGAGGCAGGCAGAGTTCTGAGTTCAAGGCTAGCCTGGTCTGCATAGTTCCAGGACAACTAGGTCTACACAGACAAACCCTGTCTCAAAGGGAGAGGTTTGGGGGAACAGATGTTGATGTGGGAGGTCCTTCTGTATGCTATGAATATATGTTGCTTTTATTGGTTGATGAATAAAGCTGTTTTGGCCAATGGCCAAGCAGAATAGAGCCATATGGAAAGAAGGCAGAATGATGGAGATGCCATGTGGCCACTGGGGAAACAGGATGTCAGGTAAGAAACTACAAGCTTCATGGTAAAATATAGACTAATAGAAATGGGTTAATTTGTAAGACCTAGCCAGTAATAAGCCTGAGCCATTGGCCAATCAACTATATTTAATATTAGTCTCTGAGTGATTATTTCATAAGTGATTGCAAGGACCAGCAAGTGGAAGAGAAACCAGTCCAATGGGACTAGGCAAGATAGAGAAAAGCTTCCAACCACATGTGGCACCCAAACATTTGGCAAGAATTTCAACATAAAACCTGACAAAAGCTTTCAAAGGTATTCTAAACATAAAACAACAGAGTCAATCAGGGCTTCTTGGTAGCAACATTTTCTTGAGTGGACTCTGTTTGCTAGAGGCAGCAGAGGCATAACTCCTTTAAGAGATAGCTTCCTGACTCAGAGCTACCAACAAAAACCACGTGGCTCTTTTAAGATTCCCTGCTACCAAACCCTTATGAGTTTATGAGCAGCCAGCAGCATGGACCTAAAATGTCTGAAGAGGTGGGATGATACAAGTGGCTCCTGCTAGTACCTCCACCATGAAGCTAGACTCTCAGGAAGCCAAGGAATGGGGTGGAGCCAGCTGCTTTAGTCCTAGCCAAGCCTGCTTAGCATTTTAAAATACTCTCCTGGTCACAAAGGGAGAACAGATACACAATAGGACAGATTCAGACAAAAAGAAGGCCCCTAAATGGGTTACAGTGTGTTTGATAAATGTGCATGGGCTTGGGAGAAAGAGGATAGAGGACAGTCATAGATTAAAAACAATTTAAGGATAATAAACTGAGGTCCTTAAAGGAGACATAAAGCAAAAAGAGATTATAATAGGCCATGTAAAGATGGAAAATACACACAGAGTCTGGATTATGTATACTATTGTGTTTTCTTTGAATTTTTTTTGACTGTTAATGACTAACTAGAGAGACGCATTTGACTGTGGGGATTGCTAAGCTAAACCAACATATATATTTTAAAGGTATCTTGACTTCAAAATTTGGGTCTAAGGATATGTTGCTTTGGAAAAGAGGTTCTGTTTTTGTTTCCACAGATGAGAAGATGAGAAGCTGTGGATTCCTTTCAGGCTAATATGGTTTAATCAAACAAGACCCCTTGAAACAGTGGCCCAGGTGATCCAACATCCATGGCAACTTCAGGACTACTGACTGAGATGGACCGAGCACACAGGATACCCCAATCAGGACTTGACCATAATTCAAATTTCATGATATTTTGAGGCTAACAACTTCAAAACTTAACCTGAGTGATAAATACTGGGTTTGAGAGGTGGGTTAAGAAAGGGCACGGTGGTAGTATACACCTTTAACTCCAGCACTTGAGAGACAGAGGCAGAGGCAGGCAGATCTGAGTTTAAGGCCAAGGTGGTCTACAGGGAAGCTCCAAGATAGCTGGAGCTGCACAGAGAAACCATAACTCAAAAAAAAAAAAAAAAAAGAGGGTTTTATATATCTTCAGGCTGCATCCTAATAAGCCACATAGCCTAAGGTAGTCTTATCCTCTCCATTGTTCTGTTTCTACTCCCCAAGTACACTTCCCATCTTACATGGTACTCATTGATTTGGTTAGACTAAATTGTCACCAGCCCCAGGAGTCTGCCTGTCTCTGCCCCCTCAGCAGTGAGGGTACAGGCATGTGTGCATGCTCCCTGCTTTTATCTCCGTGCTGGGGATTCAAACTCAGGCCTTCATGCTTGCAGAGCAAGCAGTTTGCTGATTAAGGCATCTTCCCAGCTTCTGGATTATGGTTTTGTTGTTGTTTTACCTTCCCCTGAGACAGGTTTTCTGTGTAGCCCTGGTTGTTCTGGAACTCACTCTGTAGACCAGGCTGGCTTCAAAACTAAGAGACCAACCTGCCTCTGCCTCCTGAAAACTGGGATTAAAGGGGTGGCTCTGTGTGAAGGGATGTACATACATATGTAAATGAAACATCCATTCACACTAATAGTAAATGACTGACACTACTTACTGCAGCACCAAACTTCTGCTGGAACTGATCAATGACTGTGTATGTCACCTCCTCTTCCTCTACAAGAGAAGGAAGGCATTGAATGTGTCTTTCTTCCTTAACAAGAGAATGTCTGTGTCTCTTTTTAATTTTAGACGTATTCCTTATCACCTGTTTAGCCCTCACACATAACACATGGTGAGTACTAATTACTACCCTGTTTTGTCAACTGAGAATAAACCAGAGTCCCACCAAGGATATTACAAACTGAATGAATGGTCTAGTGTTTTCTGTCATAATCCAGTACCGCTTCTCTCTTCCTAGGTTTATATACTGAATACCTTGAGGCCTTTCTGAAAGGATTAGTTTATTATTACATATGCATGTGTATGGTGTGTTGGGTGTGTGTACATACGCACACATGGATGCGGAGGTCAGATGACAACTTCTACCTTTTATGTGGATACTGGGGATTGGACTCAAACCACCCAGCAAGCACCTTTACCCATTGACCCATCTTGCCTGCCCAAGACAATTCATAACAAAAAGTAATCGTTTAAAATAAATGAGTCCTGGAAAAGGAATAATATCCCCACTGTTGGAGATTTATTTCTTGCCAATTATTACTATTGTTGTTCTTTGAGCTAGGGTCTCATGTAGTTGAGGCTAGCCTTTAACTCATTAAGTAGCTGAGAATGCCCTTGAACTTCTGATCTTCCTGCCTCTATTTCCCCAGTATACCCATCTGATGATAATGGGGATGGAACCCAGGTCATCATTAACACGAGGAAAGAATCCTACCAACTGAGCTACATCCCTAGATTGTTGTGGGATTTCAATCTGTTTAGCCAATGGCTCTTGGGGCAGCAAGCTCTTGGGCGTGGTCTTGTCTGCATACATGACGGCTTAAGAGCTGAGGGGGAGGTGTTGCTCTCCCCTCCTCCAATTTTCTGTCTCTCTCTCTCTCTCTCTCTCTCTCTCTCTCTCTCTCTCTCTCTCTTTCTGGTGGTCTGAACCAGAGCAAGGAGCAGTTGGTCCTCATCTCCCCTGGGCAGAACAGCAGGACACAGCAGCTGAATCTCAGTGGCATCTAATCTGTTCTGTAACAGTGAATATTTACCCCTATATTATACCTAAATAAATTCTTGAGACCCTTTAACAGAGTCTTGTGGGTTCACATAACAAGTGGTATCCAACATGGAAAACCCTAACTTAAGAGTTAGTTTTTGATGGCTGTCTTATTTATGGTTTCTAGTCTACTCCTATGAAGAGACACCATGACCAACCAAACTCTTATAAAAGAAAACATTTAAATGGAGGCTTGTTTACAGTTTCAGACGGGAAGGCTATTATCATCATGGCAGGGAGCGATGCAGTATGCATGGAGCTGAGCAGTAGCTGAGTGTTCTACACTCTGATCCATGAGCAGCAGGCAGAGAGGCAGTGGGCCTGGTGTGGGCTTCTGGAATATCAGAGCTTACTCCTACAGACAGGCCTCCTCAAACAAGACCACACCTCCCAATCCTTCCAAACAGTTCATCAGCTGGGACTAAGCATGCAGATATATGAAGCTACTGGGGCCATTCTCATTCAAACCGGGCAGTGACTTGACGGTTAGAAATTTTTGCTGCTTTTCCAGAGGACTTGAGTTACTCCTGGTGACCCAGTCCACTTCCGGTTGTCTTCTGATTAAAATGTAGCCAACACCATGTCTGCCTGCTATGATGATATTGGACTGAACCTCTGAACTGTGTGTAAGCAAGCAACCTCAATTAAATGTTTCCCTTTGTAAGGGTTGCCATTGTCATGGTGCCTCTTCACAGCAATAGCAATCCAATATAGTTCAGTTAGATTAAAGGCTTGGCAGAAGGTAACTGTTCAATCCCCAGGGCCTACATGGTGGAGGGCAAGAGCCAACTTTTGAAGTTGTTCTCTGACTTCCACAAGGTCCAGGGTGTGCCTACTGCATTCACAGGGGTGTGTGCGTGCGTGTGCGCGCACGCGCACACACACATACACACACATCCTTTATTTCCCAATCTCTGTAGTGCCAGGACAACAATCATTCTCCTCTTCTTTTGCATCTATACATGCGCTTGGGGGACTTCAGCTGGTCTCAAGATTTTAAAAACTGCTTATTGTTGATTCCTGAAGTTTTCTGTCTGTATCAGACTTCTTATCTCTAGGCTACATTTTTTTTTTTTTTTAAATTTCAGAGACAGGACTTCACTATGTAGCCCATGCTGTCTTACAATCTTCCCAGCCATATATCACCTTTTGTTCCCTAGCCTTTTGTTCAAACTTAAATGGACACAAACTGAACGTTACAGTTGATTTTAATGTCAACTTGCCACAAGTTAGAATCACCTGAGTAGGGCGCCTCACCAAACAACTGTCCTTATTGCCTTGACTGACATGGAAAGACCCATCCAATTGTGGGTGGGATCTTCAGGTAACAGTCCAGATAAAAAGCCTATGTCAGAAGGGATATTATTTGGTCTTTTGCTGGTTTGGTCTTTCCTCCTGCTGCTGAGTTCATCTACTCTCTTGCTGCTGCTGATTCCTTCAATGACATCAGAACCAGCATTTCCAAGCTTGCATCATGAACTAGGGAACCAGAGGCTCTCCAGGAAATTTCTGGGCTTCCAGAACCAGATGGGGACTGCTGAGGCACCCAGACTTGTAGACTGTATAATTAGCAGCTGTTGCCCCCAACCAGTGAGACAAGCTATTGTGGTACTACTCCAACTGTGGAGGCATTTAGTCTCAAGGAAGGAGTAACTAAGGGGTTTGCAACTTCTCAGATGTTACTTAGCTGTTGCTACTGACTTAACAAGTCTCTCTCTCCCTCTCTCATTCCCTCTCCCTCTCCTTCTTCTTCGAACCCTGACTAATTCATTGAACTCCTATTCAGGTCTCCAAAACCTTTTCTACATTAAGCTTCTCTCATCTTATTTTACACAACTGCCTCCATACTTGCAGATGTTCAGGTTCAAACCCATCTTTGATTCCTCTTTATGCTCTCACACACCTATCTATCTAATTTGTCAGCATGTCCCATGGGTTCCACCTTTAACACACATCTAGAAGTACAGCATTACCTACCTGCTCTATTGCTACCACTGGAGTCTAGGGCATTGTCCTTATTTCAAGGCCAGTGAGATGGCTCCTTGTGTAAAGGCACTTATACTCCAGAGTCTGACAGCCTGAGTTCAGTATAGAGCCACATGGAGGGAAGACAGAAACACTTCCTTCAAGTTGGCTCTTTTATCACCACATGCATGTCATGATGCACATACATCCCCATCCCCCCACACAAATAAATGTAATTGAACATCTAAAAACATAAGCCAGCAATGGTGGCACATGCTTTTGATCCTAGCACTCAATAGGCAGAGGCAAGCTGATCTATGTGAGTTTGAGATCAGCCTGACATATAGAGTTCCTGAACATTCAGGGCTATACAAAGAAACCCTGTTTCTCTCTCTCTCTCTCTCTCTCTCTCTCTCTCTCTCTCTCTCTCTCTCTGTGTGTGTGTGTGTGTACATAGACACACAGACACAGACACACACACACACACACCATTGAGAAGGAAGATCAGGCACGGTGGCGATTGCCTTGCATGCCAGGTTATCATGGACTACAGTGTGGACAGAAAAATGAAAACCAAAACATTGTAATTTCTTCACAAAGCTGTGTAGACTTCTGTGCTTGTGTTGTAGGTTGGTTGGCTTTTGAACAATGGTCTCTTAGCCTAGGCTAACCTCAGCCTCTTAGTAATGGGATTAAAGGTGTACATCACAAAAACAACTTTTTTAAAATGAAAAACCAGAATCACAAAAGCCCTTTGATGCTTTCTTCCTTTCTCCCTCAGAGTCTACACCCTTTGAGGGCCTACAAACTTCTCAGTGACCCACCAACCCCACCCCATCACCTATTCCTCCTTTTTCTCTCCATGTGTAATGATTTCCTTGCTGATGCTTGGCATGTTGTACCTCTAGAGCCTTTATATTTTTCTTTTCTCAGTTTTAGATACATTTCTCAGCAGGTGCTGTGTCTCATGCCTATAATCTCAGACTCTAAGGGCCCAAGGCAAGATTGTTGAGAGTTTGAGGCTAGCTTCGGTTACAGAATGAACCCTGGGTTAGAGGAGCGAGACCCTATCACAAAACAAACACTAACCAATTTAAAATTTGGGCATGGTGGCAGGTGGAGCTCTGTAAGTTCAAGGCTAGCCTGGTCTACATAGTGTGTTCCATGACAGCCAGAGCTATATACTGAAACCCTATGGGGGGGGGGGCGGGAAGAGAGCACCTGGAGTGGTGGTATTTATTGAGACAGGTTTTTGAGACAGGTGTCTCTGTAGCTTTCAACCCTGTCCTGGAACTCAACTCTGTAGACCAGGAGGCTGGCCTCAAGCTCACAGAGCTCTACCTGCCTCTGCCTCTTAAGTGATGCGATTAAAGATGTACATCACCAATGCCTGGTTGTGGCACTTGTTTTTTAATATTACCACTTGGGAAACTGATGCCAACCTGGACTACATAAGGGATATCACAGTAGCCAGAACTATCTATGACTCAAAACAAAACAACAAAAAGCATTTCTCATGATATCCAAGTAGCTCAATGCCTCCCCTCCTTTAGGCCTTTATGTAAATGTTACTACTTTAACAAGACCTGCTCTAGACACTCAAAAACTTTGAAAGCATGTAGTCCACATGCTTACTATCCTGCTATTCCTCTTTCTTGGAATTTGGTAATAAAGTACTAGCATTATATATATTTTGCTCATTTTTTTACCTTTTTTGAGACAGGGTCTCCTATACCCTAAGCTGTCATCAAACTTGCTATGCAGCCAATTCTGTCTCTGAACTCTTGATCCTCTTTTACCCCTTAATGATGAGATTAGAGGTGCAGCACCACACATATTTCCTATTCCCTCATCTTACCTAGCATCTTTTTTTTATCAGAGTTCACTGAGGGCAGCGTTCCCAATCCTTGCACACAGTATGATTCCCACATCATAAACACATAATTTATGACACTTACCTTAATTCACAATTTTTATTATTTATTATGCTTCACAAAACAAACAGCCTAGCAAATTCAGAGTTGCAGTACTCACCTGATGGGCAGTACTTGAGGTCACTGAGTAGAGAGCTGCTTGGTGCCTCTATAGCAGGTGAAGCAGACTCACATACAGTTAGGTCTTCGTCTTTCATTTTCTCCATCCCAGCTCGTTCTGTACTTAAGCTATCCTTACAAAAAATCATATTCAGATGAACTTATCCTTTGTCACTGATGCCATGTACAGATCTCCCTACTCACTAACAGTGAAGACTGTAGCCCATTTCTACACTGCTCCCATCCACACCGAAGTGCCATTTAGAGGCAGCCACACTGGCCTGCTTGTTTAGACCATCTGAGAAGTAAGCAGCTAGTGGGTTATAGTTAAGTCCTTCTCCTCTACTGAGCTCACTTAGAAAATCCCACAGTGAAGAAACTATGTGGTAATACCTAACAGAAGACGCCCTTTCTCCCGATGCACCTTGCTCTTCATCCATTAACTCCACTGAAAAACAAACAACATTTTCAACAGTTTCCGGTTGGAAAGCCACTAGCCACTCCACCCCAAACAGAGTCCCCATACCATAAACAGGGGTTGAAAGGAGAAAAAAACAAGTTCATATATACTGTACTGAAGACAAGATAAATTGTATTTTCTTTCAAATGCCTGAATAAGGCAGAGAAGTGAGTTTTCCATAGCAAATTCCAATTAGTGATCAGGGAATACAAAACTTACCATTCAAAATCTCATGCCCAAAAAACATTTTTACTCCTGGAACACTGCGGCCTGTCTCTACATTCTTCACTGTGATAAAAAAAAAAAAAATAACCCTCTGGTTAATAATGCATTTTATCTTCCCCCAAACTGCAAGAAACTGTGAAGTCTCTTAAAATTACTGAGTTTTATATTAAAAAAAATCCTTTCTTTATGGGCTGGAGAGATGGCTCAGCAGTTAAAACCACTGGCTGCTCTTCCTGAGGTCCTGAGTTCAATTTCCAGCAACCACATGGTGGCTCACAACCATCTATAATGAGATCTGGTGCTCTCTTCTGGTGTGCAGGCAAATATGCATACAGAACACTGTATACATAATAAATCTTTTTTAAAAATCCTTTCTTCCCCCAAGTAAATGTAGAATCAGTTAAATTACAGAGCTACACCCTACAGATGAGTAATAAAGAGTAAACCTCAGAATGTTCTAAAACCAACAACAACAAAAAACTTCTAAAGAGCCAGTGTAATGGTTAACAGGCCTTTAAACCCTGAACTTGGGAGGCAGAACCAGGCAGATCATTTGAGTTCCAGGCCAGCCTAGTCTAAATAGTAAGTTCTAGTCAGCCAAGGCTGCATAATGAGACCCTGAAAAAAAAAAAAAAAAGAAACTAAAAGGAAAAAAAAAATCCCCATTTCTGGGGTTAAAGACATGGGCCAGTCGGGTAGTGGTGACACCCACCTTTAATCCCAGGACTCCAAAGGCAGAGGCAGACAGATTTCCACGAGTTTTAGGACAGCCTGGTCTACAGAGTGAGTTCTAGGACAGCCAGAGCTTTTACACAGAGAAACCCTGTCTTGAAAAAAAAAAAAAAAAAAAAAAAAGACATCATGTGCCACTACACCTGTCCTATGTGGGTGAACCTCAGGCTTTCTGTGTGTTAGGCAAGAACTCTACCAACTGAGCTAGAAGCCCAGCCCTGGTTTGGGTTTTTGACATAGGCCTCAGGTATTCCAGGCTGGCTTCAAACTTATTGAGTAGTTGCGACTGGCCCTGAACTCCTGACTTCTGATCTTCTTTTTGTTTGAGACAAATTAATCCTGTACATCTGTGATATTCTTTCCCTCTGTTGAAGCCAAAGTAATTTCAATAACAAGATTTCAATATTCACATAAACAATAATTAACGGAAGTCCCCAATTTTTAAAACTATATATTGAAAATTACCTCCATTAGAACAGAGAGATGGCTCAGCAAGTCAGAGCACTGGCTGCTCTTCCAGACAACCAGGCTTTGATTCCCAGCACCCATACAACTCACAACCATCTGTAATTCCAGGGGTCCTGTCTTCTCTGGCCTCTGTGGGCACCAGGCATGTATATATCACACAGACATACATGCACGCAAAACACTCACACATTAAATTATAAGAAATTTTCTACTACAGTGTCAGTGAGTACACAAGTGAGGACCAATCAACATGGGTAGCCATGTTGCTCTGCTACAGAATAGTATTCTAATATTTTTCTCAAATCTTGTTAAAAATAGGAACAACACTACTTTCCCTGCCACTAAAGCTGCCCACAACCGTCACCCACACACATATGACTAATAGACTCAAACCGTTTTTCAGGACAACGATCTTGTTAGGATCCACATGTTGGAGCACGCCCTCAAAGATGCCAGAAACCAATGTGAGTTTCACTCTTCTCCACAAAATGTGGTTGAGGAAATGGTAGTCACTGCTGGGATCCATGCTCTTTGATTCCAAAAGCAGACTTCAAAGAATCTTCATTAAGCATCTAAACACTTGAAAATTTACAAAGAGATTATTTTGAAAATCTATTTTGATTTGGGTATGGTGATGTAGTTCTTCAATCCCAGAAGACTGAGGTCAAGGTGATTTCTGACTTCAACAGCTTGGTCTACATAGCAAGTTTTAGGCCAGCCAGGGAGATCCTGTCTCAAAAACAGTCTTGGAAGTTCGCTTATTTAGCATTTCTCCAATTTTTTTTTTGGTTGTTTTTTAAAGGATTTTATTTAGTATACAATGTTCTGCCTGCATGTATGCCTGCACACCAGAAGAGGGTACTAGATGTTATTATACATGATTGTGAGCCACCATGTAGTTGCTGGGAATTGAACTCAGAACCTCAGGAAGAGAAGTCAGTGCTCTTAACCTCTAAGCCATCTCTTCAGCTCTGATGGCTTTTTTATTGTTGTTTGAGATAGCTTTTCTCTGTGTAACAGCCCTGGCTATATTGGAATTCACTCTAGATGAGGCTGGCCTTGAACTCATAGAGATCCACCTTGCCTCTGCCCGGAGTACTGAGATTAAAGGTGTGCAACCCACTGCCCAATGGTGCATCTCCCCAAATTTCAAAGGCAGTGGTTCTCAACCTATGAGTTTCAACTCCTGTGGGTGGGTGTGGGGAGGCCAAATGACCCTTTCACAGGGGTTGCATATCAGATATTGTACAATATCAGATATTTACATTATGATTCATGACAGTAGCAAAATTAGTTATGAAGTACCAACAAAAATAATTTTATGGTTGGGGTCATCACAACATGAGGAACTGTATTAAAGGAATATGGCATTGGGAATGTTGAAAACCATTGTTCTAAGGGATAAGAATAGTTTGGTTTTGTTCATTGTTTTAGAATGCTAAGAAGAACCACAGAAAGTACAATTTTATTTATTTTTATTTTATGTATAAAGGTGATTTGCCTCTATAGAGTCTATACACCTTAGTATCTGAGGAAGCCAGAAGAGAGCACCAGATCCGCTGGAACTGGAGTTATTGGTGGTTGCTGGGAAATAAAGTTGGGTCCTCTGCAAGAGATCTTAAGCACTGATCTCTCCAGGCCCACAATTTTAATTCGTATGTGGGAAACTCAAAATTGTAGGGCTATAGGCAAGATAAGACTAGCTTTTTTGTTGATAAAATGAGCATGATCAGTGAATTATGTGGAAGAGAGGAAGCTGGAAGATTTTAAGAGCCAGAAGGGATGGATGACATCAAAGAAAGTTCCTTCTAGACACAAGAGGACTGGGGAACATATAAACTCACAGACTATGGCAGCATTCACAGGGCCTTCACGGGTCCAGGCTGGATGGGATCCCAGTGCTGAGCAGGGAAATGGACATGAGCTCCCATCTCTAACTACCAATCTATCTCCAACTGACAACTGCTCACAAAGGAAAAATTAGCTTCTTCAGTGGACCCATTGGGTATACAAACCACATTTGAGGGTGGACTGTGTCAGCAGTACATGGCCTACAAAAAATGAAAGTATTTTGTAAATACTTTCTTATAAATGCTTTCTCTGGGAATTTTTTTTAAGCTTACTTGACTTTTTTTTTTGGGGGGGGGGTTCGAGACATAGTTTCTCTGTGTAGCTTTAGAGCCTGCCCTGGAATTCTCTTTGTAGACCAGGCTGACCTCTAACTCACAGAGATCAGCCTGTCTCTGATTCCTGAATGCTGGGATTAAAGGCACGTGCCACCACTGCCAGACTTCCTTACTGGACTTTTGCTTGTCTATTATGGTTTCCAATTTTGTGTTTTTACGGACTTTCCATGTTTCTTGTGCTTTTTATTTGTTTTATTCTGGTTTGTTTATTTACCTGTTTTTTGTTGTTTTGTATTTGTATTTTTGAGATGGGGTTTCACTATGTAGCTCTGGCTGTCCTGTAACTCACCATGTAGACCAGGCTAGCCTGGATCTTACTGAGATCTACCTGCCTCTGCCTACCAAATGCTGAGACTAAAGATGTGTTTGTTTTCTAAAGAGAGGGAAAGAAGGGGTGGAATTGGAAGTGTGGAAATGTGGGGAAGATCTAGGAGATGAGGGAGGGGAACCATGATCAGAATATATTGTATGAAAAATATTTTCAATTTAAAAAATGGGCATGGTACCCCTTTCTCATCATAGCTAACTATCAGCTTTTTACTTATTGAGATAAAGTTTTAATGTGTAGCCCTAGCAGGCATATAATTTGCTATAAAGATCAGCCTGGTGTGGAACTCATAGAGATGCACCTGCCTCTGCATTCTGGATGCTGCAATTAAAGATATATGCTATGTCTGGTTCTCACTGATCTGACTTCCCAGTTCCCAAGTGTTTTTGTCTATTTATACTGGTGATGATGGGTACTGAACACAGAGCCTTACACACACTAAGCAAGCATTCTACCACTGAGATACATCCCTAGCTCCAGTATTGTGTTTTTTATTTTAGAAGATTTTTTAAACTTATTATGTATACAGTGTTCTGCCTGCACGTATGCCAGGACACTGGAAGAGGGCACCAGATCTCATTACAGATGACTGTGAGCCACCATGTGGTTCCTGGGAGTTGAACTCAGGATCTCTGGAAGAGCAGTCAGTGCTGGTAACTTCTCAGCCATTTCTCCAGCCATAATTTTAAAAGTTTTAATTTATTATTATTATCATTATTATTTTGAAAGTGTCTCACTGTGTAGCCCTGGAACTCTTTGTAGACTAGGTAGCCTTGAACTCACAGCTTTAGAGTACTAGGATTAAAGGAGTGTACCATCACACTGGGCTTTTATAATTATTATTTTGTATGTATGGGTGCTTTGTTTGCATGTATGTCTGTGAACCACATATATACAGAGCCCTTGGAGGCCAAAAGGAGCTGGAGTTACAAATGGTGTGGGCCATCAAATGAGTACTGGAAACTGAACACAAGTTCTCTACAAGAGTATCTAGTCCCAGTATTGTTATGTATGTGGTTTTGAGACAGGGTTTCTCTGTGTAACTGCCCTGGAATTTGCTCTGTAGACCATGCTGGCCTCGAACTCACAGAGATCCACCTGCCTCTGCCTCCCAAGTGCTGGGATTTAAGGTTCGTACCACCTTGGCCAGCTGTATCTTTATACTTTGAAGAAGGGCTCTCAGTAATATTGATATTTGCAAAAACCAGACCCTCATCTACAGAAGAAAACAGAGGTTCTAAACAAAGGTGTGAAGCGTCAAGACAGGTGATGCTGCAGGAAAACCACTGCTTCACCTGAGAAGGTGTATACTTTTTCATTAGAGCACACAAAAAATGCGTAAGAATAAAATGCAAACTGGGCAGTGGCGGTGCACGTCTTGAATCCCAATGCACAACTTTAAACTTTATCCCAGCACTTGGGAGGCAGAGGCAGGCAAATATCTGGGTTTGAGGTCAGCCTAGTCTACACAGCGAATTCCAGGACAGTCAAGGGTACACAGAGAAGCCCTGTCTCGAAAAACAAAACGAAGCAAAACACCGACAGGGGGAGATCGCATGCATGCATGCATACATACATACATACATACATGTGAGAGAGGGAGAGAAAGAAAGAAAATGCAAGACCGGCATGGAGGCTCAAGTGTATAATGCCTGCCATTTAAGAATTTACGAGGCTGAGACCAGCCAGGTCTCCTCTGGGTGGGGGAAAATGTTTCCCCGCTTCTAGGAAGGGTTTTATGATCCCAGGCTGGCCTCGAACTCGCTTGTTGCAACAGAAACGCCTAATCCTGCAGCCTCCTGGGATTACAAGCATAAGCATTCATGAGTGGCCAAAAAAAAAAAAAAAAAAAAAAAAAAATCCTCTTTGGAGCCAGGTGGTGCAGCCAGCCTTATCTACTGATTTGAGTTCCAGGATAGCTAGGACTGTTACACGGAGAAATCCTGTCTCTCGAACCCCCCCCCCCCAAAAGTTCTCATTTTTAAAACAAGATAAATTTCAAATAAATAAATGACAGTACCTGCTCAAGGTTCACTCTCCCTCACCTTCTCACCTTTAGGGTCGTCTACCATCCACCCACCCACACCCCGCCCCCCCAGGGCAAAGAAGTTTGGAAAACCCGGACCTTAATTTCAGTCAGAAGGTGAGTTCCTTGAAGAGGGACTACAGTTAAAGAAGAAATCTGGGGGTTATCTTGGCACAGCCTTGTCACAAACCCGGTAGAAAGCTCGCAACGCCAGCCGCTGAAGCCTCAGCGCCTACAAACGATTTGCGGCTTTCCGGAGGAGCCAATCAGCTTGCGGCCCCGAGCCTGCTCCCAGCGCCCCGCCAGGGCCTGGAAAGACGCAGCCAATGGGCGTGCGGTCTCCAGCGCCCTCCAGCGGCCAAGGGAGAGAGAGCAGGAAAGACGCAGCCAATGGGCGGCCCGGCCTACTCAGCGGCCCGGCCAGGGGAGGGACGGTGGGAGTGGGAGGAGAGGGAGAGGAAAAAGGGAGACTGAGACTGTGCTAGGCGCAGCCTGGGGATCCAGCCTAGGGTCACCTCTAGGGTGGCATTCCTTGGTGTTAGAGCCCTCAGAGAAACCTGTGCGTTACGCTGAGTCTGCCTCTGGTTTGTGGGGAAACGGTGGCTCGGCGGCACTGCCCTTTTAATCGTGTTGGCTAGCGCCACAGCGGCATCGCCCTTTTAAGGCCGGCGGCAGCTGGGGTTCCGGGGGCGGGGTCCGTCTCCCTTTGGACTCCCGCAGCCGCCGGCTGATTCATTCCGGGCTCGATCGCCAAGCTTTGACGTTGGCGCCTGCGCAGGGCGCGGCCTCGCTCCCGATTGGCTGGTATCGGGCCGCCCTCCCCCGCGCGCCACCCCTGGTTTCCCTCCCCGGGCCGCAAGAGAAACAGTGCCCTGTCCCTTCTTGACCCCTGGCCCTTCCCTCCCTCATTCCCTCTTGCTGCCGTAGCTGCTGGCGCTGCCGCTCCCGGAGGAGCTCCCGCCACGGTGATGGGGTCTCGGGCCTCCACGTTACTGCGGGACGAAGAGCTCGAGGAGATCAAGAAGGAGACCGGCTGTGAGTTGGGGTTGGGAGTGGGAAGGCGGCCCGGCGCCTCCAGCTGGCCTCAGTACTGAGGGCAGTCGCCGCTGAGGTCTTGATCTGGGTGCGGTGACTTTGTTGGGAGGGTCCCGTGCAGTCTCCGGTGCTTTGGATAACCGAAGGCTAGAGTACCTGTACGTTCATCTGTGGCTTCCCGGAGCCGGACGGTGGCTCCTCTGGTGCTGTCTTTTCTCAGAAGCTCGGGATCTCGATCCAGCCACTGAGCACAGACACCACTCCACTCTTGCCCACGAAAGTACGCGAATTTTCTTTATCGTTCCTCTTCCAGAGGCATCCTGAATAGTAGGTAAAGCAGAAGTCAATCCGGGAACCATTCAGGTTCCTTCCTGGAGAAGACGTAATACATTCCAATGAAGTTTCTCAGCAAGGACCTCAAACTACTAAAGCCACACACAGGGAAGAATAGACTCAGTAAGGCTTGTGACCGGGGACTGGAGATCTGTAAGCAATCAGGAGTCTGAAAACCTGAGACTTTTTTTATCTGAACTGGAGGAGAAAAAGCACGGGTATAGTGACCAGGTTTTTAAAGATACAATGAGGACACGTCCATATGTGTGTGTGTGTGTGTGTATTGATTTTTGCTATATTGCTGTATCTTATGAAACTGCATGTACTCCCAAAATCTGTGAACTATAACAGGAACAGGTTTTTGTGTGTGTGTGTGTGTTTTTTTTTTTAACATATAGTCTGGGTTCTTCCTTATTAACCTGAATGAAGGAGCAACAGAACTCAGAAGCACTGAGAACACCACCATACCTTTGAAAAGCCCTTGATAGTGTGCACTACAATTATATTGCTATAACCTTTCTCAGTGATCCTTTCTAAGTTGTGTCTTCATGATACCCATCTTGGATAATACTGTGAGCAGCAAGTACACAATGGCAAATAGTACTGAGAGGTTACTGGGTGAACCACAGAATTCTCCAGGAATGGAATCCTTGGGTAAATTAGAAGTTGTCTTGGCTGTCTGACAAGTTCAGGTTGGAAGAGATGTTATCTAGCCTTACCTCCTATCGAGCTGGTTTGCTTCTTTTACCATACCTCACTAACACATATGGCTGCTAAGTTTTGCCAAGATATTTAACCATGCTGACCTACCTGCTTAACCAAGGTGATCCTTTTCACATCCTTTAATGAGTGACAGAAATTACTTATCTTTTTATAGCTTTTGTTTGTCGACTCAACTTTTTGGACATTTCATGACTTACTCTGATTCCATGAGTAGAATGTAGGCAGCTGGATGATTCAACAAGCACTTAACTACATTTTGTGGCCATGACCTCTGACCACACTTGTAAACACAGTGACTTCTTTACATCTAGGATGACAGCCAAATTAAAGTATCTGTGTTTAAAGCACCGGAGTCACATCATGATGAAATGTGTATATAGGACAAGTTGTTGTTTTGTTTTTGTTTTCTTTTTTTGGCTCAAAGTTTTATTCTGTAGCCTAGACTTGCTATATAAACGGGGCCTGGTGATGTACACCGTTAGTCCCAGCAGAAGCAGATGGATCTCTGAGTTTGAGGCCAGCCTGATCTATATAACAAGCTCCAGAATAGTTGGACTACTCAGGGAAATCTTTAAAAATAAAACAGAAAGTTTCACTACATAGCCTAGGCTGCTGGGATTGTAAGTATGAGCCATTATGCCCAACTAGGGAAATGCTGCTTTTGCTTCCAAGTGAATGGGGCAGTAATATCATTCCAGTTTTGGCTATAAGACTGAGTTATTTTACCTTGTGACTCATGGACAAACCTAAGTAATCATGGAAGAACTGTTATCCTGGTTATCCAAGAGTAATTCAAGTATGAGAAAGATTGCCGCCAAAACCAATGTATGTATTGATTGGGAAACCTCATGAAACAAGTAATTAGTGAAATTTAATATTATGTTAGGTATTCAGAGCAGATGGTGAAAAGACACCCACAGCCTGGCTCAGGAGATAAGCCAAAGAGAGTTATGATTAGCATCAGGACATAAGGAAGCTGAAATCCTGTGGCACCCACCTTCAGCAATTAGGGAAGAGAGTCTTGAGCTGGCCATGTGGAGTTCAGGAATTGTATCTTGATGCAAAATGGACTCATTTTTGATAATTAACCTAGGGTGTCTCAGTGTTGGCTACACGGACAGTCCTCTACCCTAGAAACTGAGTGGGAGTTTATCTAGTTAGCACCCTTAACAAAGGCTTGTCTCCTTCTTTTTCTTTTTTCCCTCCACAGGTTCTGTGTAGCCCAGACTGGCCTCAAATATGAGATCCTGTTGCTTCAGCCTCCCAAAGTACTGGGATTACAGGTGTGTCAACACCACAAAACACCTTTCATCCCAGCACTCGGGAGGTAGAGGCAGGTGGATCTCTGAGTTCAAGAATAGCCTGGTCTACAGAGTGAGTTCCAGGACAGCCAGGGCTACACAGAGAAACCCTGTCTTGAAAAACCAACCAACCAACCAACCAAACAAACAAACAAACAAAAAAGCCAGTCATGGAAGCAGAGGCAGGTGGATCTCCAAGTTCCAGGCTAACTAGGGCTACATAATGAGACCCTGTCTCAAAAAGAAAGAAAAGAAACACTTCATTGTTAGTCTTTGTTCTATCACTTTCTTTTACATTTCTACATATTTATAAGTCAGCACATCTGAATGAAACATAATTGGGGGGAGGTTGCAGTGTATTAGAAATTTCTGTAATGACCCTTAGTTCCTTTAACCATAGGAATAGCCCGGCTGTGGATTGCCAGAAACCTTAACTTTGAGCAAAGGTTCATGCCAGCTAAATAGTGGTGAATGCAGGTTGGTTTATTTTTAGTTTCTGCCCTCTTGTGTGTGTTCTTGTGGGTATGGGCAGGGTGTTGAGCAAGGTTAGGAAGTGAGTTGTTTGTTTGGAAGGGTGTAGTGATGACATGAAGGGTGTGGGTCTCTTTAGTGCCAGCAGAGTACAACCCGACAAAGGCAGCTGCTTGAGAACAGTTTAAGACTGAGCTTCTGGCTGCTACGTCTGGGCCCCTCCTGTCCTCTCCCTGTCACATCACATTGTTGGAGAGCTCTGAGCACCGAGGACCTTCCTGTTGAAGTGGAAATGCACAGATAATATCTTCAGCAGGTTCTAGTTTTCTCCCAGCGTTCCCATTTCTGACTAGAAGGGGTAAGGAGGACAATGTGTCAAGTAAAGAACCCTGAAGGAATGGAACCTTAGGAATGAGGAAGGGGTTTTGAAGTTTACTTGAAGTTTACGTAGAAATTCAACGCCCCTAATAACAGCCGCAATAATAGAAGCTGTCTTCTGAGTCTAAGCAGAAAGACATCATGGAACTAAACAGTAATACACATGTTACATGCAATAAACACTTATGGAAGAGCGGGAACACATACCTTAGGTTGTATGTAGCAAAAGGCAAATGTATCGTGACCTGGCCTGAATGTATTAGATTCAAAAGATTAGAATTCATACCACTTCCTGATGTGGCAGCTTATTTTATGCCTGTCACCCTAGCACTTGTGAGGCTAAGATCAGAGGGTTGTGAGTTCAAGGACAGACTAGATTGCATAACATGATGCTGTCTTTTGCTGGCCAGAGGGCTCCTCAGGTAAAGGTGCTTGCCATCAAACCTGATGTCCCAAGTTTGATTTCCAGGGCCCACACAGTGGAAAGAGAATTTACTCTGACAAGTCGCCCTTTAACCTTCACATGTGGGTTGTGGCACAAACACATGTGAACATGTGTGTGCATGCACACAACTATAATTTTTAAAATAAAAAGAAGGGTCTGGAGAGGCGCTCAGCAGTTAAGAGTGCTTGCTGGAGGACCCAGGTTGATTCTCTGCTCCCACATGTCAGTCACTATTATTTGTAACTCCCTTTTTTTGGCCTCTGCCAGCACTAAGCACACACATGCTATACCTATATACAATCAGTCTTAAACAAAAAACCAGCAGGAGCAACAACCACCTGAACAAAAGAAAAACCTCAAAAGTTCAGAATTTGTACTGTAACCTTTCAGATATACAGGAAGGATGACAATGAATGTTCACTAGTACCCATTACTATTTAACACATATGTTGTTACAGTTTTGCCATATTTGTTTTATATGTTTATTTTCTGCTCATTAATCTGTTTATTTTGATATAAGGGAGTGAACCTAGAGTCTGGCTTTTGTGCGTGCTTAGAAGGGGATATGCCATTGAGCTCCATCTCCAGCCCTATTTTCTTTGTTGTTGTTGTTTAAGGTTTTATTTATTTATTACTTATGCAGTGTTCTGCCTGCATATATTCCTGCACAACAGAAGAGAGTGCCAGATTTCATTGCAGATGGTTGTGAGCCACCATGTGGTTGCTGCGAATTGAACTCAGGAGCTCTAGAAGAGCAGTCAGTGCTCTTAACCTCTGAGCCATCTCTCCAGCCCTTGTTTTTGTTTTTGCCTTACTGTGTAACCCTTGTTGACCTGGAACTCACTAGTCCAACTGGCATGAAACTCACAGTACTTTACCCTCAATTACTTTCATGTGTTATGTAGGAAGAGGGAAACATGTAACTTGATAACTGCAGTACTGTCATCGTTCCTAAGAAAGTTGATAGAGATTTTCTGTTATTTACTGGTCAGTAATACTCAAGTTTGCCTCATTCTGAGAAAATGCATTTTGTTTTGTTTGTTGTTTTTCTCTGAGATAGGGTTTCTCTGTGCAGCCCTGGTTGTCCTGGAATTCACTCTGTAGAACAGGCTGGCCCTGAGCTCACGTTTGTCAGCCTCTTCCTCCTGAGTGTTGGGATTAAAGGCATGCCCCACCACCGTTTAATTTTCAGGAGAAGAGGTTAGATCTTAAAGTCGGTGTGAAGCAGTAAAAGGAATAGGTAGAGGTATAGGCTCAGCTCTGCATCCCCCCAGAGCTGCTGTTGCCTGCAGTTGTATGCTTTAACCCAGATTGTCTTCATCAAGGATGAAAATGATTTCACTCATCTTCTTTAACTCTTCATGCTCCCCCTGAAGGGATGCTGAGGTGATGCTAATAGTTAGTTCACTTGGTGTCTTTCCAAACTCCAGGCTTCGCCTTTTCCTTTCATCAGCATTCACATTCCCACTCACTTACCCCTAGGGTACTGTGAATGGAATTAGAATCTCACTACCTGCCTGTAAAGTGTGTACCCTTTACAAAGAGCTGCTCAAACCTGCCTGGCTGGCAACAGAGTGCCCACCTGAGTCCTTTAGCAGCCCTGCCCCTGCTTGCTCTCTGCCTGATGGGAGCAGTTGTGCCTCCTCCTCTGTTCTATCCTCTGTGCACCTTAGTTCTTAGAGCTCCACCTCAAAGATGAAGCTAATGCCACAGATGTCACAGCTGCCCTGATGTGTCTGTCCTCTCTGCCCTGTCAGTTTACTTTGTTTCATTGTTCCTAATGCAGCAAGTCCAGTCTTGTTGCTGGAGCTTCAGAGGACAGCCGCCAGAAGCACATTTCCATTAACCCCTAATGCCTAGTGGGTACAACAGAGACAAAGTCTGAACCTGGAGTCTTTTCTCCTGCGGTTACTCTGTTTTTTCTTCTTGCCTCCAATCTACCAAAGACTAAGCTGATGTACACCTGCAGTTATAAACTGCTTTTAGCTGAGCTTGTGCCGGAAGTCATGGAGTAACCCAAAATGAGGAGCTGTTAGCTTCTCTTGTAGATGTCACCCGGTCAGAGCATGGCCACTTTGTCACAGCAAACAAGCTGATCTCAGGCTGTGGTATATCATCTGATAGAGTCCTGAAGAAGAGGTGATGTTGCAGTAATGGGCAGAAGGAAACTAGGCTTTAAAAACAGAATTGTTTGATGTATCAAATTATCAATTTAGAAATTCCAGTGTGAAGAGCCAACTAACAGGTTTGAGTTGGATTGTTTTTTTCCTTTAACTTTATTTCATTTGGAGTGTAGGTGTGTGTTGCTAGGGAACAAATTGAGAGCCTTGCTCATACTACTGAACAGGTACTCTACAACTGACCCTGTATGTAGTCTTTGCCCCCCAACACTTTTTTTGTTTGGTATGTGGAGGAGATTTTGAGATAGGGTTTTTCTTTGTAGCCTTGGCTGTCCTGGAACTCGCTCTATAGACCAGGCTGGCCTTGGATTCACAGAGATTCACCTGCCTCTGCCTCCTGAGTGCTGGGATTAAAGGCCTGAATCACTACCTGGCAATTTTTAGAAAAATATTTTTGTGTTTTTACACTGTGCGTGTGTGCGTGTGTAGATACCCATGGAGACCAGAAGAGGGCTTCATTCCCTGGAGCTAGAGTTACAGATGTTTGTTAGCAACCTCACTTCATTCCCTGGAGCTAGAGTTACAGATGTTTGTTAGCAACCTCACTGGGTTTTAGGAACTGAACTCAGGTCCCCTGGAAGAGCAGCAAGTGCTCTTAACCGCTGCATTATATCTTCAGCCCCTGTTGTTTTGTAGTTAGGTTCTGTTGGAAATGGTTTGGTTTGGTTTTTCCAGACAGGGTTTCTCTGTGTAGTTCTGGAGCTCATTCTGTAGACCAGGCTGTCCTTGAACTCAAAGAAATCCAGCTGCCTCTGCTTCCCAAGTGTTGAGATCAAACTCCTTTGCCGCCACTGTCTGGCTACCACTCTTCATTTTCAGAGTCATTGTCATTGCTTTTGATTTAGTTTCCTTTCCAGTTCCTCCTCCTCTCTTTCTTCTTTCTTTTTCTCTTTCTTCTTTTTTTTAATTTGCTGTTTTGACATTCTAGAAAAAGTTGCACAGCTCCCCATCTCCCCACACTGAAGCATGTGATCGGTTGTGGGTGTAGTGTGAATGCTTGTCTCCTTCAACTGGGACTAATTTTGTTCTCTTTAGTTTCTCACAGTCAGATCACACGCCTGTACAGCCGATTCACCAGCCTGGACAAAGGGGAAAATGGGACTCTCAGGTAAGCACTTCCTACCAGCTGTATTTATTCCAAGGGTAGGCACACTAAGTGTCTTGCATTTAGAGGACAATAACCATTTTGGCCATGGTATTTTGGTTTATTAGTCCACCAAGGAATTAAATAAGCAGAACAGTGATGCTAATTCATGGCTGAGTTTTTATTGCTTTATACCAACTCCTTCTATGTTTAGGTGGCTACTGTTCTAGTTCTACTCCTAGTTTGTTATTGTTATTTTATGAGACAGGGTTTCTCTGTGTATCCCTGGCTGTCCTAGAACTCATTCTGTAGACCAGTCTGGCTTTGAACTCAGAGAGATCCTCCTGCCTCTGCCTCCCAAGTACTGGGATTATAATCTTGTACCACCGCCACCTGGTGCATTTTATTTTATGTGCAATGGTGCTTTGCCATGGGCGTCAGGTCCCCTGGAACTGGAGTTACAGACAGCTGTGAGCTGCCTTGTGGGTGCTGAGAATTGAACCCAGATCCTCTGGAAGATCAGTCATTGCTTTTAACCACTAAGCCATCTTTCCAACCCAACACATTGGTTTATATAAAGCTGACCCATGCATGGCCTGGATTACTCTACTGTCTATCATGTACCAACCCATAACTTTAGGGAGCATCACTTTATATTAATGCTAGACTAAGTATTCATTACGTTGTCTAGATCACTGGTCTGAAGGCTGATTTACCACCCAGGGACAAATTGTCCAGAAGCATTTTTGGTGGTCATGACTGGCAACTGCTGTAGAGATGTAGCCAGCTATCCTTTAGTAGCACCTTGACCAAGAATTATGCTACACTAGGGCTGCAGAGACAGCTCAGCGGTTAAGACCACATATGTTTTTGCAGAAAACCTGAGTTCTGTTCCATAAAAGGCTGCTTACAACTGCCTGTATCTGCAGCTGCAGAGGATCCCATACCCTCTACACCTCTTGACCATCTGTGTATTAAGACTAGAGATGAGCAGGTCGATGGTGGCACAGGCCTTTAGTTGCATCACTCATGAGGCAGAGGCTGGCGGATATCTGAATTCAAAGCCAGCCTGGCCTACAAAGCGAGTGCCAGGACAGGCTCGAAAGCTACACAGAGAAACCCTGTCTCGAAAAACAAAACAAAATAAAAAAGACTAGAGATGAACATCTATAATTCTAGCTTGGGAGGTTGAGGCAGCCTGGGGTTCACTATGTAGCTATTACATAGTAAGGTCCTAGCTTTAAAAACAAATAAACGAAAACACAATTGGTATTGAAAGACAGAACTTAGGTTCTTATGACATTGGAAATCCTGTTTAGGTCCTATCGTAGAGTCTGAACTGATATGGCTGGATTGTACATCCACTACTTGATACTTGTTATTTATAGGTATGTGCTTTCAGCTAAAATTAAGGTCATAAGCCTTTGTTTTCATGTAAAAGTGAGGATTTTTAAGTATGTACTTCCTTTTAATTAATGTGCACAGGTGTTTTGCTTGCATGTGTGTCTGTGTGAGGGTGTCAGAAGTCCTGGGACAGGAGTTACAGGTAGGTGTGAGCAGCCATGTGGTCCTGGGAATTGAACCTAGGTCCTCTGGAAAAGGAATCAGTGCTCTTAACTGCTAAGCCATTCCTCCAGCCCCAAGGTTTGTTTTTTACCCTCTTGTTAGGCAAGAGGAACTACATTTTGTTGAGCAGGTAGACTTTTGTATTACAGCACAAATTATATAATAAGCTTTGCTGAATTAAACAGTCCGGGTCCTAGTAACCTATCTTCTTTATCATCTTAATAAGTTTTTGTTATTCATTGATAACAAAATTCAGTTTCCTAAATGATCAAGGAAGACTAAACCCAGGACTGTCCTAGGGCTTTACTCTCAGCCCACTGGTCAGTTTCTGCCCGTTACCAGGTGTCTGGAGGGGAGTTTAGCTCAGTTCATTAAACACCGGGGAAAGGTTAAACCACCACTGGAAGAGCGTGAAGACTCCTAAGTGGAATAGGAATGTTTCGTATACTGTCATTAGCATTTTCTGTTAGGAGAATAATGTGCCCATTGTTTTCTGTTCATATACTTCTTGGAGTCAGGCATGAGATGCATTCAAGTTTCTGGAGTTTTTAACTTATTTCCTTACAGTTATTTATTGTGTGTGTGGGTAGGTGTTGGAGGGGACATGTGGTGGAATCATATACCAACTTGTGGGAGTCAGTTCTCTTTCTACCATGGAGCAGTCTAAGTAGTAAGTACCTCTACCTCCTGAGCCAGGTGTGAGCTGCCATGTTGGTGCTGGGAATTGAACCTAGGTCCTCTGCTGGGACATCTATGCAGTCTTCCCCCACCCTCACCCCCACCCCCACACTAACATTTTGTCATATATTTGGGAGTATATTTCAACATGAGAAAAACAAGGACTGAGAATATAGCTCAGTTGGTAGGATATTTGCTTATCACCCATAAAGCCCCAGTTCAATCTCCAGTATCTCACAATTGGGTCTGGCCACACATACTTGCACTTAGGCAATAGAGGCAAAAGGATTAGATGTTCATCCTTGGCTACATAGCAAGTTCAAGGCCAGCCAGTGCTATCTGACACACTGTTCATTCATAAATAAACAAATAAATAAATAAGGCCTGGAGAGAAAGTTCAATAATTAAGAGCACTGGCTGCTTTTTTAGAGGGCTTGAGTTTATTCCATCAAAAAAAATTAATAGAAAACTTTATTGTGTAGGGTATGGTGGCAACAGCCTGTAATTCTAGTACTTGTGAGGTAGATTTAGGAAGATCAAGAATTTGAGGGCAGCTGGGTCGCAATAGCATATGCCTTTAATCCCAACACTCTGGAGGCAGAGGCAGGGGGATCTCTGTCTGAGCTTGAGTCATCCAAGTCTACATAATGAGTTCTAGGACAGCCAGAGCTACATAGAGCGACATTCCCCCCACCCCCAACAGAAAAGAAAAGGAAAAGGAAGGGCAAGGGGCTGGGAAAATGGCTCGGTGGTTAAGAGCACTGGCTACACTTCCAGAGGATCCAGACTCCGTTCCCAGCACCCACAGGGCAATTCACAGTCCTCTGTAGCACCAGTTTCATGCCTCCTCAGGCATTAGGTACACACATGATACACAGACATACATGCAGGCAAAACACCCATACACATAAAATAATTTTAAAATTTAGTATTTTGATACAATACTATCTTGTAATAGTCTGTATTAAATGTGTCTATATTCTATATAGTTGATATATAATATGCTTTACAGCATATTCTAGTCTAAAATCATGTATAGTATTTATATATCTATTTCTTGGGAGTTTTTTGTTTGTTTGTTTTACATTTATTTATTTGCATGTATATATGTTTGTGTGTGGGAGTTATTACACCTAGAAGCTGGAGAGACTGGGTCTGATCTGGGACCCCCTGTAAGAGAGATGTCTCTCCTCTTTCCTGGAGGCATGCTGCCACATTGGGCCTCCTTATTGAGTTTAAACCTTGAAGCTAAAACCTTACCTGCCTCCAGAGGACTTGGACATTTTGATCCTGTTCCTCAGTGTCGCATCTTGGTGGGACCTCCAGATATTACACCTAGCCCATTAAGTGCCATGAAGGAGAGAGAGAACTAAAGATGCATAATGACTTTCTATGGTTTAGGGAGGAGGTTGTGCTGTGGAATAACCCTTCTGTATGCTGTGAATGAATATGTGTTGCTGTCATTGGTTGATAATAAAAGCTGCTTTGGCCTATACCAAGGCAGAATATAGCTAGTTGGGAAAGCCAAACTGAATGCCCGGAGAAAGAAGGATGAAGAGACACAAGCCAGCTGCTCAAGAAACAAGATGCCAACCAACCAGTAAAAGCCACAGCCATGTGACAATGCATAGATTAATAAATAGAATTGGGTTGATTTAACTGTAAGAGCTAGTTAGTAATAAGCCTGAGCTATAGGCCAAACAGTTTGTAAGTAATGTTAAGCCTCTGAGTGATTATTTAGAAGGAGTTGTGGGACAGAATACAACAGAGAAACCTGTGTTTACAAGGTTGGTCAGCCATTGGAAAGTTCTCGGCTCTCCTAGGGCTTGGGAACCTGAACTTTATTTTACCTTTCAGGTAAAATGGAGTCTGAAGTCAAAATGGCAGTACTTAGGCCAAGGTGCTTTTGCCTGCTTCCTTCAGAGGTCAGAAGACAACTTGAAAAAATTGACTTTCTGGGGACTGGAGTGATGACTCAGCAATTAAGAGCAGTTGTTGCTCTTGTAGAAGACTTTGATTCAAATCCCAGCACCTAATTGTTGGTTCATAACCATTTGTGACTCCAGTTCCATGGGATCTAATGCCCTCTTCTGACCTCCCCAGGTACCAGGCATGCAAGTGGTACACATACATACACATAGTTAAAACACTTATAAAGTAAAATAAATGAACCTAGAAAGAGTTAGCTCTCCCAGTCACCATGTGGGTACTGGGGATCAAACCTAATGGCAAAAGCCCCATCTGATGGGCCATCTCTTCTACATTTGGTTGTTACTGCTCCACACCCCCACCTGGTGCCTGTGTGCCTGTGTCCATGCATGGATTCCTGCATGGGTGTGCATACACTTGTGTATATGTGGGTATAGAATTTATAGGTCATAGGCCCGCATTGGGTGCCTTCTCCACTCTTTTTTTTTTTTTTAATTTATTTTTTATACAGGATTCTCACTACTTATCCTTGGCTGGCCTGGTACTCACTATGTAGCCAGGTTGACCTCAAACTCTGAGAGCTGCATGCCTCTGCCTCAGCATCCATAGTATTGGGATTGAAAAATGAGCTACATGACCCAGCCAATCTTTATGTTTGAGACAAGGTCTCACTAAATCTAGAATTCATCAATTCTGCTAAACTGACTGGCCAGTGAGGTCCAGGGATCTGCCTGTCTCTACCTCTCCAGTGTGGGAATTACAGATGTGTGCTGCCACACCTGGCTTTTTTGCGTGAGTGCTGGGGATCTGAACTCAGGTTCTTATGCTTGTATGACCAATGGAGGCATCTTACCAGCCCGTTGTTCTTTTGTTTTGTTTTTTGAAACAGGTCACATGTATCCTTGGCTATCCTTAAGTTTGTTTGTTTGTTTAGGTTTTTTCCAAGACAGGATTTCTCTGTAGCTTTGGAGCCTGTCCTGGAACTCACTCTGTAGACCAGGCTGGTTCACAGAGATCCACCTGCCTCTGCCTCCTGAGTGCTGGGACTTACAGTGTTTGCCACCACCGCCTGGCTCTGCCCTTATGTTTATTACATAACCAAGGGTGACTTAGAACTTCTGACCCTCCCACCTCTACCTTCCTGTTGTTGCAACTTCAGGCATGTGCCATTTTGCCCGATTATGTGGTGCTGGGATTGAACCCATGACAGCTTCAGCTACCATGCCATAATAACAACAACAACAATAATACAATACAGGAAAGTCTCTTTAAACACACATTTAAAACACATTTTGACTTAGATTTAAACCATTTCTGCCCTTTGGTTGTGGCTCTCTTATTCAATTTCCTCTGCTCTACAAGGGCACAGATAAATGAGAAAAGAGTGATACTGTATCAAGCTGGAGCAGCACAGGATGTATGTATAATAAATGGTATCACAAACTCCATGCTATTTGTCCATGGCTCAAGGTTAAATCTCCAGTTCTTGTCTGTGAAAGGATTCTTTCCCCCTTTCTTTTCTTCTCTCTCCCTCCCTCTCTCTCCCCTCTCTCTCTCTTATTAGTTTCTTAGGAAACTGTGAGAGGGTCTCATGCTGTAGTTCAAACTGTACTAGAACTCACTTATAGCTCAGATTGCCTCCAAGTTCTGGGACCATAGGGTGAGCCACTACACCCTATAATTCTGTAGTTTTTTTCTTGAGTGGTAACAGCTCAAGAATTTCTTGCATTTTGTTGAACACCTTTAATCCCAGCCCTGGGGAGACAGAGGCAGGTGGATCTCTGTGAGTTCAAGGCTACACAGAGAAACCCTGTCTCAAAAAATAAAATTAAATTAACCAAATAACTACAAAATGGTAATATTTTAAAAAAAATTATTTACTAAGGAACAGCTTACTATTTGATCATTATTTGGTTTATTGACATGACCTGTTTGCTGAATTTACTGGAAATGTAGCAAGATTAAATTTTGCTTCAATCACACCTGAGTTGGTAAAAACACACTTGGTAAATATTCTAGTTACTTGTATAATTTGCCACAGAAATAATTTCAGGAAGCAATATTTTTACTGGGTTGTACTCCTTTGGATTTAAAGGAGTTCATGCCAAAGGTCTAGCTTAAGGTGATTCTCTTGGCAGCCGTGAAGATTTCCAGAGGATTCCAGAACTTGCCATCAACCCACTGGGGGACCGGATCATCAATGCCTTCTTTTCAGAGGGGTGAGTTGGGATGGCTGTTGCTTTTGGGCTTGGTTTTGGCTCCTTCCTTTGTTATCTAACCTACATTAGTTGCTAATGTAGAATAACTATAGTAGTAATAATAACAATAATGTAGAATAGAATAATGATAGTTGTCATCTCAGATCATGGTTGCCCCTAATTATCTCTTGTGTTCCACTCTCCTTGACTTTGTTCTGTTTACTTTTGTGTCTGGATGTACACCACCTGTGTGTTGCCATCAGAGAGTTTTAGATCTGCTGGGAAGAGAATTGTGGATGATTGTGAACTGCCATGTTTGTGCTGGAAGTCAAATCCTGTCCTCTGCAAGAAACGCACATGCTCTTCACCATTTAGTCCTCTATATAGCCTCCTATTTTACAGTTTTTGATGTTAAAAATTGAAGTCTACCACAGAATTTACAGCACACAACACATTACTGGCTGGCTGTTAAAGTGTTGGGCAATGCACTTGCTTCTCCCTTGATACCTCCTCCCCTCCAAGCTGTTTCTGTTTTTTTGTTTTTGTTTTAATTTCTTCCTTCCTTCCTTCCTTCCTTCCTTCCTTCCTTCCTTCCTTCCTTTCTTTCTTTCTTTCTTTTTGCCTTTGTTTTTGAGCTCTCACTGTATAATCCTAGCTGACCTGGAACTCATTTATAGACCAGTTGGCCTTAAACTCAATGAGTTCTGCATACCTGTGCCTCCTGAGTTCTGATATTAAAGGTATGCCCTTCCATACACCTGCTTTGCTTTTTTGCGGGGAGGTGGGGGAGCTAAGGATCAAGTGTGAGTATTGATGTATGCTAGACAAAGATTTATCACTGGGGCATTTCCCTAACCCCCCTTACCCACATACTCATAAACACTCCCTTCTTTCCTCTCCCTCCCTTCCTTGGTTCTCTCTCATATATATGAGTTTATATATACATATACACAGACATATAATACATGCGCACATAGTCCTTTTTCACATTATATAGTACATAAATGTGTGCCTGTTCACATAATCATATTTTTTAACTATTTGAGGGTAAATTGCATTCATTTACCTATGAATGCTTCAGTATATGTTTGTTTAGGAGTTATCCATTCTAAAATTTAATATTGATCACTTACAGAACTGGATGATAATGCATGCCTATAATCCGAGCATTTGGGAGGCTGACACTATAGATTGCCTCCAGTTTGAAGATAGCCTGGGGTGCAGAGTAAGACTTTATTTCAAAAGCAAAAGAAGATAGCTGCTGCTGCTGCTGCTGCTGATGATGACGATGATTCTGCTAGTGCTATCAGATAAACTGCCTGGATGGAAAATTTTAGGACTATGAATTGAGAACAAAGGAATTTGTTATTGAGATGATGGTGGCTGTCTCAGTTACTGAGGGAGGAAAGGGTTTATTACAGCTCACAGTTCACATCACAGTCCATCATCGAAGGAGGTCAGGAGAGGAGCTCAAGGTTGGAACCTGAAGGCAGGGACTGAAGTAAAACCACAGAGGAGTGCTGTTTACTAGCTTGCTACTCAGCCTGCCCCCCCAATCCCAAGACAGGGTTTCTCTGTGTACCCCTGCTGTCCTGGAACTCTGTGTGTAGACCAGGCTGTCCTTGAACTCCAGAGATCCACCTGCCTCTGCCTCCAAAGGCATGAGCCACCACCAAGGCTTCAGCCTGTTTTTTTATACTATCCAGGACCATGGGGGCCCAGGGGTAGCACCACCCACAATGTGCTGGGCCCTCTCCCATCAATCACTAGTTTTAAAAATGCCTCCAAAGCATGCCTACAGGCTAGTCTAGGTTCTTTCTTCCCAAATGAGTCTAGCCTATGTCAAGTTGATATAAAAACTAGCCAACACACACACACACACACACACACACGCACACACACACGCACGCACGCTCCACAGTTATACATGCCAGCAAAATAGCCATACACATAAAAGGGTTTTTGTTTTGTTTTGTTTTGTTTTTTAATTGAATAACAAAACTCAGGGCCAGTTAGATCAGGAAGGGTAGCCGGGATCCATTCAGGCAAAGGCGCACTCAATTCAGAGTCCTGTTGAACCTGGGCAATCTTCCGTGCTCCTTCCCTTTGGCCTCTCTTGCCTCCTTGCCACTGTTACATGTGTTTTGAGAGCCAGCAGAGCACTACACCATGTCCAGACACAATCTTCACAGACGTGCTTCATACACAGACTGTTTGCAATGGAAAGTAAATTCACTAGACTCATTTTGTCAGCTCCTTTTTCAGAGCTCCTTCGTTTCCATCAGTTACTTGGAGAAATATCTTGTGGAAGTCTTTTTCTTCTTCTTTTCATGTTTTAACATTTATTTATTTGTGTGGATATAAATTAGAGGACAACTCTCGGGAGTTAGTTCTCCTCTGCACCAGTTGGATTCTAGGGAATGAACACAGATCATCAGGCTTGGCAAGAGCCTGCCCCACTGAGTCATCTCACCAGCCCTGGAAGTCTGTTTCCCTCTGGCTCGGGTAACCTCCATTTTCTCTGGTCTGCTGCAAAGAGTGCCATGGCCTCTGTGGCCAGGCTTAGGCAACCTGTGCCGCTGCTTCCTGTTCTTATCAGACACTTGGCTCCCAGACTTTTATTTTTCCTGTCTTAAAAAGGGAGGGTCTTTCTGTTCTCTTTGTTTTCTTTTCTTCAGAGTGAAATTTGATAGTAGAACATAGGTGTTGCATTCTCTGTTGCGTGCACATTGTGCTAATATCATTACCTACACCCCCATCCCGGCTACCTGGTTCAGGTGTTACTCCATATTGCTTGGTTTCTCAGAACTTACATTTTGTTGCAGATACTATACTCCACAAGGAGTATGCTTCCATGAAGGAATCAAAGATCACCCTTTTGAGCTAGCCTTCCCTTGATCTCCCCCACAGGTCTTTGAACTGTGTCTACCTGTCACTTCTACACTAAGAGACCAGGTTTTTTTTTTTTTTTTTTAAACCCTATTTTATTTTTGAAACCTGGTCCCTTTGTAGTACATAAGGAACTCAAATTCAGAATACTACTGCTGCTGCCTCCTAAATGCTGGGGTTACCCAGCTAAGGCTGGAATTTTGTTTTGTTTTTCGACACAGTTTCTCACGCTGTCTGGATTTGGGTGACCTGGAACTATGTAGACCAGGCTTGCCTTGAATTTATAGAGCTCTACCTATCTCTGTCTGCAAGGACTAAGATTAAAAGCGTGTGCTACTATGCCTGGCAGGAGTTTTGTAGGTAGCTCTAGGAAGCAGGCCCCATGAGACTGATATGATTGTCTAAAGTAAACAAGTCCCATGCGTCACCCTTTAACTGTTAAAAATTCATTTATTTGATTTTAAAGTTATTTCCTTTATGTTGTTGCTGTTTTATTTTTTATTACTGTGTGTGTGTGTGTGTGTGTGTTAGTCATAGACATGCATGCATGGAAGTCAGACTTCCTGGAGTCAGTTTTCTCTTTCTACTGTATAGGTTCTAAGGTTTAAACTCAGTCGTCAGACACAGCAGCAAATGCTAAGTCAATTTTATGTGATACTGGGGTTTAAGAACTGGGTCTCATGAATGTTAGGCAAATAAATACTCAGCCAACTAAGCGACATCCCTAGCCCTTTTTTGTTGTTGCTGTTTTGTTTTTGATTTTTTTTTTTTTTTTTTGGAGACAAAGCATTGCTTGATTCTTTGGCTGACCTAGTACTCTTATGTGCCCTAAACCGAACTTAAACTTGAAGCAATCCTCTTGTCTCCACCTCCTGGGTGCCATTGCCATGCTTTACTGCAGTGTTGGTCTTTACTGTAATAGCTTTTTATTTTTTTAGGATTAAAATAGCCAGGCAGTGGTATGTATGTCTGTAATTTCAGCACTTGGGAGGCAGAGGCAGAGCATTGTCAAAATTAAGGTCATCCTGGTATACACAGTAAATTTCAGGGCAACCAGGATTACATGCTGAGATACTGTTTCAACAAAAGAAAGTATAGGACTGGAAAGATAGCTAATCAGTTAAAAACACTGACTGCTTTTCTAGAGGACCCATGTTCGATTCCAAGCCCACCCATGGAAGCTCACAATTGGCGATAACTCCTATTCAGAGAATTGGATGCTCTTTTCTGACCTCTACAGGCACCAGGCAAGCAAGTGGTGCACAGACAGCTATGCAGGCAAAACAGCCATACACATCAAATAAAGTTTTTGTTTTGTTTTTTAGGCAGTAATGACAGTGATTTACTTAAAGTCATTATTCAGTCTATTTTAATGTCTTATTAAAAATGACTGCTGTTGGTCTTTTAGTTTAGATTTTTCTTCATGAGATATAGTTCATTTTTTATGATAATATTTTTATTTAAATTTGAAACGAGCTTGTTTTATATGTCAGTCCCAGTTCCCTCCACTCCCCTGTCCTCCCTCCAACCTCCATCCCATCCCCTTTTGCTCCCCAGGGAGGATCCCATGGGGGATCTTCAAAGTCTGTCATATCATTTGGAGCAGGGCTAAAATATGAGTTTTTTTTTTTAGGAAGGAAAGCTGTATCTATAGCTCAGTGGTAAAGTGCTTGCCTAGTATAGCTGAAGTCCTGTGTTTGATCCCCAGCACTAGAGGAGGAAAAGAGGAAGAAAAGCATAGCACAGTTACTGGGCATGTTTCCGTATACCTATTACCCTAGCACTTGGGAAGCCAAAACAGGACTGCGGTGAATTCAAGCTAGGTTGGCTACAGAACAAGTAGACAAAAAAAAGCAAGGTTTCTTAGAATATTTTAGGCATACTTTATTGTACTAACATATTGGCTGCTCCAAAGTGCAAAGCAGAGAGAAATTATTCCTGTGTGGTGCTGGCCCTTCTCTACATCCAACTTTTGGAAAAAATATATAAGTGAATTCAGTTGATAACTCTGACTATAGCTAAGTGCTTTCCTTCTTTCAGCCTAGTTAATCGTTTAATAAATGAAAATAATATACCGCTTCACACAATTGGGGTGAGGGTTCTGCGATGCAGACATTATATAAGCCCTGAGGAACGATGCGTGCATATGGAAAGAAAATATAGTTAAGCACCAGAGTGCTTACTGAGCTGTGGAAGGCTGAGTCTGGTCCCTAAACACTGCAAAAAGACAAAACCTATAAACAGAAGAGCCCACCCTGGTTAACATGGTGTTCTGTTGTTTCCTAATCAGAGAGGACCAGGTAAACTTCCGAGGATTCATGAGAACTTTGGCTCATTTCCGACCCATCGAGGATAACGAAAAGAGCAAAGATGTGAATGGACCTGAACCACTCAACAGCAGAAGCAACAAACTGCACTGTAAGGAACATCAGTTGTGTGGCTTAACATGTTTCCTCCTCTCCCCGAATCATCTGTGTGCTCATTTACTCATTCAACATTCATAAAAGCAGAGTGCCAAGTGGTCAGACCGTAGAGCTAAGCTGAGTTGGAATTCCCAGTTTACCATTTTTTGCTCATGACACTTTGGACAGGTTACCTGACATCATTGAGCTACAGTTCTCTCTTGTGTAAAATGAGATATTAAGGGACTTTATAGATCATTTCATAGCTCATTATGGGATTTTGGTTGCTGTTAGAGATAGGGTCACATGTTTCCTAGGTTAGCCTCAGACTTACTATGTGTATGTAGCTAAGGCTTGCTTGAGTTCCTGATTCCATTGTCTGTACCTCCCGTGTGCTGAGATTACTGGCTTGTACCACCACACCTTATTTTTTAGGTGCTTGGGCGCTCTTACTACTGAGCCACATCTGTAATCCCCACTAAAGGATTCTTCCTGTTTTAAGAATTAATATATGTCAAGTGCTTCAAACAGTACCTTGTGTATACTGGTACTGTATATACTCATAAGTGTTACCTGCAATTTATAATTCATTATCTCTTGCAGGCCAGGCACTGTAGAAGGTACTAGAGTGACAACTGGGAGCAAGGCCCCAGGCCTTGCCTTTGAGAGATAATATTGGTCCTCCGTGTATTCTGGAATTTGGTAGATTATGGATTTGACTAAAGTTCCAGTCAGAGAGAGGCAATGTTTAATTTTCTGTGCCTGTTGCCTCTTGCCTCCTTTCTTTAAATACTTACTAGATTTCCTTCTGCCCTTACTGGTTCATTGCCCAATCCCTTACAACACTTTTCCAGGAAGCTGAAGTTGAATTTCTACTTTTCTTTCAACACAAGTTGATATCGAAATTGTATGAAACTGATTGAGCTCAACCCTGCCTTGAAAGAATGCACGGTGGTGCTCAGCAGTTTGTGAAGCCTCAGATTAATGGATGATTTAAAGATACTAACTGGAAGGTTTTTAAATATTAGAAGAGCCACATTTCCTTTCTTCAAGACCAAATACTGTTTGCTTCATGCAAAGCCTTCTTTCTGTCTGTGGGTTGTTAGTATCTTTTATTTATTAAGTTATTTTCAATTGTTTTCTAGACAGAGTCATTGTAGTCCAGGCATGGTCTGGAACTCTAGGCATGGTGTAATCTAGGCAAGTCTCAGACTGGGACAGTCCTCCTCCCCTCTGCCTCCTGAGTGCCACCCAGTCCAGCTTTGATAGTGTTTTAATATACTTCTACTATATGCCTGTCTGATCTTGAAACTATATAGTAAAAATTTATTTGCCAGCCTTCTGACAAGGAATCAGTGACTAATTGGAAAAAGTCAAATGTGTACTAGAAAAGTGCACATGATTTAACATTTTCTTTTACTTTAAACTACTTTAGGACTGTAAGCCAGTAGTTTTCTTTCTCTCTTTTTCTTCCTTTCTCTTCATTTCATCCTTTCTTCCTTTCTGTCTTTCTCTCCCTCTCTTCCCTCTCTTTCTTCTTTCTTTCAATCCACCTGCCTCTGCCTCCCTAGTGCTGGGACTAAAGGCATGTGCCACCATAACCCAGCAGTAGTTATTTTCTTTGAGACAGGGTCTCACTATGTAGCTTTGGCTGTCCTTGAACTCTCTGTGTACAACAGGCTATCTTGTAGACAGAGAACTCAGCCTGGTAGTGATGGTGCACACCTTTAATCCCAGCACTGAGGAGGTAGAAGTAGGCAGATCTTGGTGAGCTTAAAGCCAGTCTGGTCTACACAGTGAGTTCCAGGTCTCACTACACAGGCGACCAGAGCTACACCAAAAAAAAAAAAAAAAAAAAAAGCTATGTAGGGAACTCATAGAGACCCATCTGCCTCTGAGCACTGGGATTAAAGGTGTGTGTAGATAGAAGTTTCTGTCCATCCTGGTCCCGCAGCCGTTCAGTCCCAAATAAATACACAGAGGCTTATATTAATTAAAAACGGGTTGGCCTATGGCTCAGGCTTCTTATTGGCTAGCTCTCTCTTGATTATTAACTCATTTCTATTAGTCTGTATATCTCTACATGGTCTTGGCTTACCGGTGATACCCAGGTCTCTTGCTTCCTTGCCCTGACAACTCACTCTCTGCCTTCCTCTTCCCAGTCTGGTAGTTCCACCTATACTTCCTGCCTGGCCAGTCAGCGTTTTATTATAACCAACATTATACAAGAGCATTGTGCTGATGGAAGTTGTATCACGTCTTTATTATACATTAAGTAACAGGATGTAGTATTTAGTCAAAGAACAGTCTTAAGCCTTAAATTGATGAGAAGCACAAATGGTAAACCTGAGAAACCAGCAATATATGCCATGTGAAACAATCCATTTGTGCTGCATTCAGAGTCACAGGTACCTGTCTAGTAGACATTTTGAAAAGAAAAAAATTTTTTTTCTTTCCACAGTCACAAATTCCTTTGTCTGTGAACCCAGGGGCTAGAAAGAATATTCTACAGCAACCTCTGTTCTTGAACAAGGAATTGAAACATCTCCTAAAGCAGCTTTGTCTATATATCAACATGATTTCTCCCCCTGCCACACACACACACACACTCTTTTTCTCTCCCTTTTTTTTAAGGCAGGGTCTCACTATGTAGCTTTGGCTGGCCTATAATTCAATATATAGACAAAACTGGCCTCCAAACTCAACAGAGTACCTGCCTGTCTCTGACTCCCAAATGTTAGGGTTAAAGGCATGCACCACCATACCTTATTGAGAATCAATTAAAAAAAAAAAAAAAAAAAAGAACAAATACTTTACAGGGAGGCACGACTCACAGGTTAAAAGCACTAACTGTGCCAGGCGGTGGTGGCACACATTTTGGATCCCATCACTCAGGAGGCAGAGGCAGAGGCAGGTGGATTTCTTGGGTTTGAGGCTAGCCTTATCTATAGAGTGAGTTCCAAGAGTGCCAGGGCTACACAGAGAAACCCTGTCTCCCAAACAAACAAACAAAACCTCTAGCTGTTCTTCCAGAGGATCCAGGTCCTATTACCAGCACCTACAGGGTGGCTCAAAACCATTTATAACTCCAGTCCCAGAGAAATCCAATAACTTCTTCTGGCCTCTGTGGGTACCAGACATGTACATAGTGCACAAACATGCAGCAAAAAACCCATATGTATCAATAAATAAACTTTTAAAAATTTATTTAAAGAAAAATGCTTCTGGGGGCTGGAGAGATGTCTCAGCAGTTAAGATCACAGGCTGCTCTTCCAAAGGACCCAGGTTCAGTTCCCAAAACCCACATGACAGCTCACAACTGTCTGTAATTTCAGTTCCAGGGGATCTGACACCCTCACACAGACATACATGTAAGCAAAACACCAATGCACATAAAGTAAAAATAAATAAATCATTACAAAGGAAGAGGCAGGCAGGTCTCTGTAAGGCCAACATGATCTACAGAGTGAGTTCCAGGACAGCCAGGATTGTTACACAGAGAAACCCTGTCTAGAAAACACAAACAAACAAAAGTGGTAGGTCCAGGCAGTGGTGAAGAGCACCTTCAGGCAGAGGCAGGCGAATTGTTGGATTTGAGGCCAGCCTGGACTCCAGAGTTAGTTCCAGGACAGCCAGGGCTATAAAGAACTATTCTCTTGAAAAATAAAACAAATAGATAAATACATAAATAAAAATAAGTTTTAAAAAAGATCTCCTTGCCATTGGTTCACAACAATATGAGTATACTTAATAATAATGAACTATAGTTTTAAAATAGTTAAGATTGCAAGTTTTGTTATATTTTTTACTATACACACAGGAAAAAAAAATCAGGCAGATACAGTTGTGTGTGCCTATTATTCCAAATACTTGGAGACTGAGTCTTGAAGATCACAAATTCAAAACCAGTATAGGTAACATATCCAGACTTTAAAAAAAAAAAATTATTAAAAAAGGGCCTGAAACCCACAGGACATGGTGGAGCATGCTTCTGGTAATAGCAGGCCAGCCTAAAAACAACAACAAAAAAGAGTCATAGAAATGACTCCGTGAGTAGAGACACCTGCCACCAATCCTCATGACTCAAGATCAAATCCCAGAGCCCACATAGTGGCAAGAGAAAACCAACTCTTGCAGGTTATTCTATGACATTTATCAAAGGCATGACAGTAATAGTAGAATCGTGGGTGGTGGTAAGGATTGGACCACGTGGGAAGTCTTACCCCCTTAGCCTTTGTTTGAAAGGAATTAACTACTATTTCTCTGAGTTTGCTGCCTCTCCTCCCCCTCTTTCATGGGTATGGGCTTGCTGTCATGCTTGCATGTGAATGTGTAGGTCCACATTCATGTGACGAGGCCAGAGCCAGATGTTGGGGTTCTTTCTCCATCTCTCTCTGCTTTCTTTCCTTGAAACAGGATCTCTCACTGAACTTAAAGCTTGCTGATTAGGCTACTCTTGCCCACAGAGTCATCACCCCAACCCATCTTCTTTTAAAAAACAAAATCATTTTTATTCTTCTTTGTGTATCTGTGTACACTCATATGTGTTCTAGAAGGTGTTATAGGGCCCCTGGAACTGGAGTTAACTAGGGGTTGTGAGCTTCCCAATGTGTGTTCAGTTCTCAGGAAGAACAGTAAGTTTAAGGTCAGTCTGGGTTATATAAGACCCCGTCTCATTTTTTAAAAAGTGTGTGTTGGGGTTGAAATGATAGGAGAATCCTCATTCCATTTGCCTAGTCAAGAAATTAAGAGCTAGGCATGATGAAACATGACTTAAATCCCAGCATTTGGGAGGCAGAAGCAAAAGATTTCTGTTAGTTCAAAGTTCAAGGCTAGCCCAGACAACAGTGAGACCGTGTCTCAAAACAAAACAACCACAACAAAACTACAGTTAATAGTATTTGCTGTTCTTCTAGAGGAACTGGGTTCAGCTCCCCTTTTATTTATTTTTGCTTTTGACACAGGGTCTCATGTAGCCTAGGTTGGCCTGGAACATCCTGTGTAACTGAGGTTGGCCTTATATTCCTGATCCCCTTGTCTCTACCTCTCAATTCTGGGGTTATAGGTGTGCATCAGTATGCCTAGCTTGGCAGTCCCAATTTGGAAAACAAAATTTGAAGCCAGGCTTGGTAGATCAGACCTGTAGACTGAAGCAGGAGAATTGCTGTGAATTTGAGGCTAGCCTGGACCACATAGTTCCAGGCCAGTGTAGGCTCTAGAACAAGACCCTAACTGAAAGGGCATAATAAATAACCAGAAATCAGTGACTTATTTGAAATAGTTTAAAACCAACTTGAATTCAGTTATTCAGTAGTCACCTCTTCAGTAAGTTCATCTCTTATTCCTATAAAATCACCACCTGTTCTCAAATACTACTCACATAGTAGGTCTTAAACAACATGGTAAAAAACTGAATAGGTTTTACTCTTTTGAATTTTCTCTTATATTGACATAAGCAAAGCTTTTGTATAGCCTGCTTTCTAAAAGGTTTATGTGTTGTTTAAGAGAAAAACATGAGATAGCTCAGAGATTAGAAGCACTGACTACACTTCTAGAGGTCCTAGGTTCAATTCCCAGCAACCACATGGTGGCTCACAACCATCTGAAATGAGATCTGGTGCCCTCTTCTGGCCTGCAGGGATACACTGTATACATAATAAATAAAGTAAATCTTTTTTTTTTTTTTTTTAAGAGAGAAACATAAGGCAGGGCAGGAACTGAGAGGTGACACAGGGTGTGCAGGCACTTGCTGCACCATCCTGATGACTGGAGTTTAGGTGCCCCACTTGAATGACAAGTCAGGTGTACGTGCATGCCCATAAGCCTAGTCTGGGCAGTGGGATGGGGATATATAGACATCAGAGTTTTGTTGATTTTTATTTAAAACTCCAGTCCTTGCTGGGCACTGTGATGCCTATAATCTCAGCACTTAGGAAGTGGAGATGGAAAGCTGTAACTGAGTGTCAGTCTCTAGGCCAGCTTCATCTGCATAAGAAGTGTCTCAAAAAGGAAAGGAAATTCCAGTATACTAAGGGAGAGTAGGATTTGAACTCTGACCTAAGGTCTGTATATTAGGTATCAGTTTTCTGTCTACTAACCTTTGTGTGCTCAGCTCCTTGAAAAAAGGTCAAAGCACTGCAAAAATTACCCACTGACTCCTTGTGTTTTCCTACCAGTTGCTTTCCGGCTGTACGATCTGGATAAAGATGACAAGATCTCCCGCGATGAGCTGCTGCAGGTATGTGGGGAAGTCTCGGAACAGTGTGCATTTGGGGCCCTGACTTCATTTTTATGGGCAACAGTTGTTCTACCTTTGCAGTAAACATTCATTGAATCCCTGCCGTGGAAAGAGTCCTGATGCAGATAAAAGGCAGAGAAGACCTGCAAACACTTGAAATGGGTCACGAGGTCTTCATGGTTGGGCAGTCTCCACCACTTAAAAGCCGCTGTCTCTGCGGTGCTGAGGAAGTACACAGTGAGCAGGGTCGGATAGCTCACTCACTGACAGGTCAGCTTGGTAGCAGTCATTTTATTCCAAGGACTCTGAAGTAAATTGTGCTGTTTAGTCTCTCCTTAAACTTGGTGTCAGAGGGGACTGCGGTAGCACCATCTGCCCAGTTAACCACTCCAGTTGGTAGTTCCAGCCCATGTGTCCCTGTTTTCCAGCTATGACTGACAGTTGCATGATTTGCATTGTTTACTATCCCTTTCTCTTTGTAAATTTAGGGCAGTAGGGAGCTGTTCCCTTTTTCGAATCTGGAAGACCCCAGGTAGCCAGCACATTGAGGAATTCCCCATGGGGCAAGATGTTTCAAGATATATCTAAAAAGGGAAAGTGCTTCCTGCTCTACACTAAACCAGAACTCAATTTTTTTGTTTTTAAAAAACTTACAAGTTTCCAGGCATGGTGGTGTACACCTTTAATCCAGGTAGAGGCAGGTAGATCTCTGAGTCAGCCTGAGCTACAGATCAAGTTCCAGGACAGCCAGGGCTACTCAAAGAAACCCTTTCTCCAAATAAATAACAAAAATCTCACAAGTTGAAGCCTGCTACTCAATCTTCATTTCAATGAGAAGACCTGAAACAGGAGGCTAATGGTAGGGTATCTTGGCCCTTGCTTTAAAAAAAAATACACATAATATTTACTATTTATTCTTTTGAGAATTTTATATAGGTATGATATTTTTGATTATATATGCCCTCTTCCTTCACTTCTTATTCTCTCCAATACACCCCCCTCCTTAATGTATATCCTATTTGAAAAAAATAACCCACTGAGTGCAGTTAGTGCTAACTATGTGCGAATGGATGTGGGACCATCCCATCCATCGGAGCAACAACATGACTCTCCAGCCTGTTCTGCAAAATGAGTTCCAGGACTGTTATACAGAGAAATGCTGTCTCAAAAAACAAACAATAAAACCCAGAAGACTCCATCCCCCAGTGGCCACCTGCCAATAGCTCCTCAGCTATGGGTGGGGGTCTCATGAGCCCTCACCATCCATACCAGATGTTGACTTTACCCTTTGCTTTTGAGATGGGAATAGCTCTTTTTCTTGAGACACTTACTGAAAAGATGGAGACAGCTACTCTTGAGTTGCACATTTTCATCCTCTGGTCTAGACCTGGCTGTCAGAAAGATGATTTTGGAATGGAGAATTGATATATTTTCTGTCGCTAGAAATTGTGTGGCATGGGATGGGAAAGTCACTGTGGGGCAGGAAGAGCTTTGTTTCATATGTGCTCCTGGGCTGTTGAGGTATTCAGACAAGTTTTAGCCTAGCAAGAAGAGAATAGTTGTCTACAGTAGAAGAGAACATTCATTTGTCTTTCTACACACTATAATTTATAAAGCATTTGGTAAATTATTTCTATACCCTGTCAGTTATACTTCAGTAGAGCGGGTTGCTGTGTTCAAAGACCCATTTCATGAGGCTAGCACGACTCAGACACAAAACCTTTATAAAGATAGTGTGAGAAAAATACCATCCAAACCTTTTCATACCGATTTTTAAAAATTCCAAACATCGGGCTGGAGTGATGCTCAGAGGTTGAGAGCACTAGCTATTCTTGGAGAGGACTCTGATTCCCTGATTCCGTTTCCAGCGCCCATAATATGGCTCACAACCACCTATTACTCTAGTTCAGGGCATCCAGTGTCCTCTTCTGAAAAGAGTGCTGGGGATTTAACTCAGTGGCAGAATGCTCACATGGCACATGGAAGGCCCTGGGTTTAATTGAGAAGACCACACACACAAAAAAGGGAATATGCATATAGAAACTAAATAATAAATAGTTAAAAAACAGTAAATTTCCATTGGTTAGTAAACTTCTAGCTGGATTAGTAAGTGGTAAGGTAGACAAATGGAAGAAGTATTGATCTGGGAATTGAGGCCTGGAGAGACAGCATCTGTCAACTGGTTCATAGCACCTGGATCAAACCACTTCTGGACCTCTTGCCCTCATTAATGGACAAGATAAAGGTATTTTATTGCACCCACTCTTGTCTACCTCCCAACAAGAACATATACACATACATATTCTTAACTCTATGATTCTTTTTGTGTATATAAAGTTGGGAATGTGTCCAGGGCCTCACACATGTGAGTATTCTCCCCACAAGCCTCTCCACAGCCTAAGCTCTTATCATTCTCCAGGCAAAACACCCCAGGAGGCACTAATTGAATTGAGATCTGAGGAGGCTACCACTTGGGGATCAATTTATCTGCTTGGTTACTTGGTTTGGGAGAGGTGGAAATGGTTTGCTAAAATGATATCTTAATCGCTGATCCACAACTTCTAGGTTGGTTAGTTTGTTTGAGACAGGGTTTCTCTGTGTAGCCTTGGCTGTTCTGGAACTTTCTCTGTAGATCAACCTGCCTCTGTCTCTTGAGTGTTAGTATTAAAGGCATGCGCCACCACTGTCTGGCACAACTTTTGGTTTTTAAGAATTGGTTGATTGCCCTGTCTCGAAAAAACAAAAGAATTGGTTGACAGTTATGTAAGTAGTATATGTAACTGGTAAGAGCTACTTGACAAGCTAAGGAAGATAATTGGAGTCTAGGCAGTTAAGGCCAGTGCCAACCAGAGCAGCATAGTAAATCTATCTAAAAAATAGTCCTCTTTTGCCTGCCCCCACCTCAACAAAAATAATTGGTAAAAAGTAGAAACCCACTGCTGATACAATTTATTATTTCCAGAAGGATGCAAATGAATGGGAAAAGGAAGGCCTGTGAGCCACTAGGCAAGAGGACATTGAAGTTACTTATTTTGTTTAAGGTGGCATGATTGTGTGTGGTACTGGGGCCTTGTGTTTGCTTTGTGAGCACTATCCCAGACACCCCCACGTTTTAAAAAGGTCTTCACTGAGTTCACCCAAACTGGACTCAATTTGTAATCATCCCACATAGGCCTCCTTCATAGTCTTCAAGGAGGTTTATGTGGGCTGTAACCTGAAATAAAGGCTCAGTGCCCCCCCCCAGGTCTGCTTCTGTATTGGATTCCAAAACAGCCCACCAAGCTGACCTACATCAGTAAAAAACTGCTTTGCCCCATGTAACAGAACACCCAGGGATAGGTTATCTGGGTATCACAGTACCTGAGTATCCCAGCTTCTGCTCTGTTCTTGTGTGGAATTTATAACATGTGTGATGTACCTCACAGCCCCAGTATGACTGCTGTGCCAGCAAACATGCCTGTAGTTTGAGCAAGAAGAATCAGTCTGTCCATATGGAGAAGACTCTTCGTGACTTTGCTGGAGTCACACTCACTTCCTTGTTTTAGAATGGCCTAGATAAGAAGCTAAGGATTTCACCTCTCCTGCTGGTGAATCAAAGGAATCAAAGGGAGGAGGAGTTGAGGTGGCTTTTTCTCAAGCCTCCTCTAAGGCTTTTGGTCTTGTAGGTCCTTCGAATGATGGTTGGCGTGAACATCTCAGATGAGCAGCTGGGCAGCATTGCGGACAGGACCATTCAGGAGGCCGACCAGGATGGGGATAGTGCCATATCCTTCACGGAATTTGTTAAGGTCTGTCCACATTTTTATTTTTTCCCCCTTCCATCCTTTTTTATTAGCATGTATTATTTATAATGAGTTTTAGTGTAACATTTTTATACATGTATATATTGTAATCATATTCACTCTGTCTCCCTCTCACTTGCCGATTCTCTTATTTTCCTCAACTAATCTTTTATGTTCTTTTCTTTTTGGAGGGTAAAGATAAGAGTTTAATTGGAGTTACTTACAGGGCATGGGGGATCTTATGAAGGTCTTCATAGCTGAAGGAAATGTCTCTCCCCAGCAACCATTAGCTTGCCATGGATCCTCGGGGAGGGGTGTGCCCTTATGAGCCTTTCCCCCTTACCTTTTGATTTTAAGTTCAATTCTGTTGCATAGAAGGAGGAAGAGAACACCCATTATTTAGAAGGGTGCTCAGAATGGTCATAATCTTAATGATAAATTGTTTGTTTGTTTTTCAACTCCAGGTTTTGGAGAAGGTGGATGTAGAACAGAAAATGAGCATCCGGTTTCTTCACTAAAGGACAGGACCAAAATATTCTTGCTTTCTAGTATTTAAGAACTGGAACTTCCTTCTGTCCTCCAGCCCCACCCCTGTCCTGTCATCCCCCTTTACCAGAATACTACTGCTCTTGCATGACAACCTGAAGTCTTTCCTGTCCACACAGACTTGCCTTTGGTGTGTAAACAGGGCGTTACAGAATGGTACCCTCAGTCTATTTCTGTTCGTATGTACCCACCAGGTCTCTATTTGTAACATCTTCCCTTGTTTTGCTGCTGAATGCCATGCATCCATCCTGTCTGGGGAAATGAGATAGGGACTCGTGTCAAGAACATCCAGAAAAGCTCCCACTGGATGGAGACCATATCCATGCTACCTTCCCTTCATCAAGCCTTCATCATGTTCCTATGTCCTTCTTGTGTCTTTTACTTCCTACCTCCCTGTCAACCAACCGTGTATCCATTTGATCCTTTTGATTGAGATTCCCTGTGTTCTCCTTGATTCTGGGCTCTGCTGTCAAGCCTGTCTCCAGTGTGACAGGATAGTGAATGGTCCGGTGGTTTATATCTACCTTCTTCTGGATGTGTCTCCGAGACATTGCCTATTGAGGAGATTTTTGGCAACAGTACAACTCTTGGAAGCATGTGACTCTCTTGGTCCCCTGCACTGTTTCATCACAGGGCTTATGAACAGAGATATTCTAGAAAGGTAGTCATGGTGAGGCTTGTAGAACCATGTCTCCTAGGTGGTTTCCCCAGGTCTCTCTACCTCTGGTTTTTTATTTTCAACATATTTATGGGGCTTCTTTTCTGAGTACAGTGTTGACATTCAGAAAATAGTCTTAATGCCTGACAGTTTGCTTCTCTTTGGGACATTGTCACCAATAGAGTAGCTGTTTTGACAACATGGTAGTGGGCCTTCTTGTAGTTTTCTGCAGAGGCTAGGCACCCTGGAGAGCTGCCCACATTCACTCTGCCCTCAGTGTTCTGTATCTGGAAGACCTTCACATTTCCAATAGAAAGACAGACTAGTGTTATGGGAGTGCCTGATTTATCTCAGAACTCCTGAATTAAATTGTCTTCGATGTCTTAAAGTTTTGCACAAAATTCTGAATGAATCTGATGCTTGGCAAATTTTAATGCTGGAAGCCCTGTCCATAACCCTGGTCCAGGTGTTGAATGCGTTGTCTCATGAGCTTCCTGATCACATGACCTTCCTAGCTCCTTGTGGAGAGTGTAGACCACTGCACACCCTCTAGGAGTGTAGGGCCTGGCACTGGTGACGCCAACGGAAGTGATAGCAGAGGTCTTTGAAAGGCCTAGCTCCACTTTTGGGCCAGTGTCAGCTTGCTTTAGACCTCACTGAGTCAGGCTGCTTCTATCCTGTGTCTGTGTAAGTCCGCTCTTGACTGACTCTCTCTGACATTGTTTGCTTGCTTGCTTGCTTGCTTGTTTCTTTGCTTTGGAAGGCTATCCAAGATGTGTAAACAATTCTTTAGGAAAGAAATTGCTATTAAAAACCCAGACAAACAAAACACTGCAAAATGGAAGGATAAGGGTGAGGAGCAGGGAGTGGCCAGGATGGATGGCTGGAGTCCACATGAACTGGGGAATTCTTTATGAAATATCTGTCTGACTTTGTGATCAAATGATGTAATATAAGAATTGTATAAAAGGGAAGAATTGTCTGATACTGATCTGTTTGAGAAGTACTTCAGAGGCTTCTTGATTTATATATTTAAACTTTCTAAAATTATGCCCCCCTTGGCTGTATAGCAAACTGTTTTAATCCACAGTTGTGCCTTATTGTCCCATTAAAATTGTATTCCTCAATCCATCAATAAATTATCATTAAAACAAAAGAATTTGGTTGACTTTTATCTGTGTGTTCTATAATTTTATATAACTCAAGTGTCTCAAGTTTGAAATAATATAGTGTCTCCCTTGCACAAATTTATGTTTATAGTATCAATTGCAAGGCCTGTGACATAGAGATATTCATCTAGGGGCTCAGTCTGCCAAGAGTCATGGTGTTTCATCTCTGGCACCTTCATACTAATTCCAAGTAAGATCTAATCTAATTTCCTTCTTTCTTCTTTCCTTTCTTTCCCTTCCTTCCTTCCTTCCTCCTTCCTTTCTTTCAGGAGTGGATGGGGTATTAGGGTGGGGTTTTGCTTGCTTATTTTATTTTTTGAGGCAGAGTCTTGTTTGCCTGACTGGCTTAGAATTTACCAGGTAGATCTGGCTGGCCTCAAACTTGCAAAGTCCTTCCACCTTAGCTTCCCAAAACACCCAGCTAAAATCTCTGTGTGTGTGTGTGTGTGTGTGTGTGTGTGTGTGTGTGTGTGTGTGTGTGTGTTATGTGGAATTCAGTTAGGGCCTTACACTTGCTAGGCAAGTGCTACATAGCTGAGCCATGTGTCCATCTGTCAGTTTCTTTTCTCTAGTCTCTAAATCTAAGAAGCATTGCTTACAGAGGAGGTGTTACAAGAAAATAAATAGCAAGTTGAGTGTGGTGTATACCTACAACACAAGCACTCTGGAGGTGGACACATAAGGATCAGGGGTTCAAGCTTAGGTTTGAAACCTTGTTTTAAAAAAGAAAAAAAAAATGAGACTGGACAGATACTCAGCAGTTAAGAGCACCTGCTGTTCTTACAGAGGGCCAGGGATGGATTCCCAGCACCTGTCCAGTGGCTTTACATTTGGTTTTTAACTCCAGTTCCAGTGTATCTGTACCCTCTTCTGGCCTCTGAAGGCATCAAGTACACATGTGCATAGATACACCAGGCAAAATATTCATTACACACACACACCTTATTTTAAAAAAAAAAATCTAGCATTATAGACATTCTAATATAGATCAATAATCTCAGCAGTTCATTACCCCTGCTAGTCTCATAACATATAAAAAAGTCTGCAAAGCCCATTGTAGAGCTAGTTGGTGATTCTAGCACTTAGGAGACAGAGATGTGGACCTGGAGAGGAAGCTCAGTGGTTAAGAGCAACAGCTACTCTTCCAGAAGACCCAGGTTCAGTTCCCAGCACCCACACGGCAGCTCACAGCGGTCTGTAGCTCCAGTTCCAGAGGATCAGATACCCTCATACAGACATACACACAGGCAAAACAGCAATGTGCAATCTTTAAAAGAAGAAGACAGAGACAGGAGACTCAGGAGTTCAAGGCCATGCTCCACTCACTACTGAAGTTTGAGGCCAGTTTATGCTACAGGAGACCCTGTCTCAAAAACAGCAACCAGTGAGGTTGGAGGGATGGCTCAGCAGTTAGCATGTTGCTTTTGTGGAAGGTCAGAGTTCAGTTCTCAGTATCCATGTTGGTAAATTCTCAGTGCTTGTGACTCCAGCTCAAGAGAATCAAGTGCTCTGGCCTTACTGCTCACACCCACACTCAACAAACACACACACACAAACATGCAGTTAGAAATCTGTTTGTTTTGAGACAGGTTTTCTCTGTGTGATAGCTCTGACTGTCCTGGAACTCAATCTGTAGACCAGGCTAGCCTTGAACTCACAGATTGGCCAAAAAAACTTAAAAGATGCATTCAATGTCTAAACTGTGTTGGAGCTTATAGGCTTAAGCACCAGTGGAAATCTACTTAAACATTCCTGGCAATACTAAAAAGGGAAATTTAATGCAATTGTATATTATTCAGACTGGATCACACCTGAATATTTGGAGGATTGAACCCAACCATTCCTGTCTGATATTTTTTCTTAGGGCCTTGAAATCAGAAACTTTTATTGATAAGACTTGGAAGCTTATAACCTGAGAGCACTGTGAAAAAAATCCCCTTGTGTCATGCCGAATTCCTTATTTACTTACTTACTTGCTTATGAGGCAGTCTTCCTGTGTAGCCCTGGTTGGCATGGACCTCAAGATGTAGATCAAACTAGCCATGAATGCAGAAATTCTCCTGCTTCTGCCTCTTCGGGTGGAGTAAAGGTGTGTGCCACCACTCCTGGCTGTGATGTTCACTTTCTTGAGAGGAGGAGTTGTCTCTTCTCAGCCTAATCTAAGAACAAATTTCTAGCTGCCATTAAAATATGTCCTATAGGATGTCATTCTGGAGACTAGCCATGGAGAATTTTATCTTCTCAAAATTGAAAAAGCTTCAAAGAATGAGTGTGCTATTTTAATGTGTTATGTGCTATATCTTTGGTGGATAGGGAGCTAAGCAGCCTGTAATCTGTTGTAACTGTTGTGTGAAATCATTTGTACCTATTACCAAGGGCATTTCCGTTATCCTTGTATCAACATAAAGTCAGAAGAGAAGGGTGCTTGAGAAAAAAAGGTGCTGGGTGTGGCTTGGGTCCTGACTTGGGGCTTCTAGAGAATGAAGAATGGACAAATAGACATGCATACAGACAGTAAAGCTCTAAGTCAGTTCTGTCCAGACTACCCCTGCAACCAGGAACCTCGGTGTGTTAGGTATAGCAGAGGAGCGGTTGGCTAGTCTCAAGATCTCTGTAGAGCAGTCTCAGGCTGTAAACATCTGGAAGGAGAAAGCTGTGGTTCCTAGTATGCACACACTGATCCATGAACACTTGTTCTCAGATTCCTCAGGAATGCTTTGACATTTCTACATGGGTAAAAACTTTGTGAAATTGTTCCATGGGTCCATATCAAAATACACATTTACTCAGGGCTTCACTCACTCAGATCTTCCTCCATTCCATACAGAAGGGGAAGGAAGACACAAATACAAACTGTGTTAAAGGGCTAAGGGTAGACTTCAGAGACAGTCTTCTTTCTATTTGGTAATATTTTCCAAGGGATCTCACAAGGACTCATGTGGTTGTGAAACTGTGGAAAGCAATTCAATGAGCACTGACTGATAAGCTGATGTTTTTGACAAAGAAATAAACATGTCACACTACTCTTCACATATTGCAAGGCCTATTCATTTTATCGCTTTAAACTTATATACAAACATATATATGCTATTTTATATGTATGAATGTTTTCCTACAACATGTATGTTTACTTATTGTATGTATGTTTGATGCCTATGGAACTTGACTTATGAATAGTTGTGGATGACTATATGGGTGCTGAGACCCAGAACCCAGGTCCTTTGCAAGAGCAACAAGTGTTCATACCCTGAGCTTTTTTAACTGTCAGACAATGCTGCCACAATAAAACCTTTGGATGTTAATGTCATGTTGGTAAACCCCGGACAGATCTAGTTTGTCAGGATTAAAGGATTAGGATAAACAAATAGGCTGAATAGATGTTTATTCAGGGAGAAATAACTTACAACCTAGACAGATGAACACCAGGAAATTCAACCCGATCCTCTCCTGTCTGAGTCACGCCAGAAAGAGAGTGCCTTTCCTGGCCCCCTCCGACCTCCTACCACAGGTCACTCCGCCCATGGCTCCACCCCCAATGGGCGTGGCCAGTGCCACAGAACTATCTCACTACAAAAGTCACTTGGAGCAATCATCCTCCCATTTCAGCAGAGCTGCTCGGCTTGCACGCGTTTTGTCTTGTGTTACAAGTAACTCCAAAAGTCCCCTTTTAACAAAATTCTGCTTGTCATAGTTTGTTAAGAGCTATTCTACAGGGACCGGAATCAGAAGGATCGTCTGCTGCCAGACAATATTTGGCAGCACACTTCTAGGCAGAACCGGAATAAGACGGGCCTCGGCAGCTAGGCACTATTTGGTGACACACCTCCAGGCGTAACTACCACAAGCATGCACAAAGTTCTGGATTCCATTCTTAGCACTGTACAAAATCAGGCTTGGTGGCACACATCTGTAATTCCAGCATGGGAGGTGGAGACAGGAGAATCAGAACTTCAAGATCATCTTTTAACTTTATTTATTTTTATGTGTATGGGTGCCTACATGCACATCTATGCACTATGGTGGACAGAAGAGGGTCTTGCAGCCTCTAAAACTCTAGTTACAGATAGTTGTGAGCTACCATGTAGCTGCTGGGAATTGAGCTGTCCTCTAAAAACCACTGAGCCATGTCCCCAGTCCCTCAAGGTCAGTCTTACTACAGGAGATCCGGTCTCCAAAAAAAGAGAATAAGTATATATGTGTCAGATCAATGGCATAGGCACAGTATTATTGATATTAATAATAGTATTCACATGGTTAAATTGGAAGAAAATTAGTTGGATGATAATTGAATACCATATAGTAAAAATGTAGAAGACCAAAGTTAGCAATATTGGAGAAATAAATTTCAAGAGTTACCTAGTATAGTGTTACAGTAATGAAGATATGTGGTAGGAGCTGGAGAAATGGCTCAGCAGTTAAGAGTACTGAGTGTTCTTCCAGAGGACCCGAGTCCAGGGGACCTGACAGCCTTACACAGGCATACAAACATGCAAAACACCAATACGTATAAAAATAAATAATTAAAAAAATTATGTGGGTATTCTTCAGCCCCAATTCTTTTTTTTTGTTTTGTCTTTTGTTTTTTGAGACGGTTTTTCTGTGTAACAGCTCTGACTGTCCTGGAACCAGCTATGCAGACTCAAATTCAGAGGTCTGCTTACCTCTGCTTCCTAAGTGCTGGGATTACAGGCTTGAGTCACCACCACTCAGATAAAGATTTTATCTTTCTTCCTTTTTTCTTTTTCTTCCTTCCTTCCTTTCTATCTATCTTTCTTTCTTTCTTTTCAAACAGGGATTCTCTGTGTAGCTTAAGAGTCTTCTAGAACTCACTCTATAGACCAGGCTGGCCTTGAACTCACATCGATCTGCCTGCCTATGCCTCCTGAGTGCTGGAATTAAAGGCGTGAGCCACCACCACTGGCCAGCCACAATTTTTAAAAGTAAAAGTTTTCAGGAAAACTACAAACATAACCAAATAAGATGGGGTTCAGATGGCAGAGGAGGGGGGATTGCTGAAGGGTTAAAGTACTTTGGAGAGATGGCTCTGCAGGTAGAGAGCACCTGTTGCTCATGCAGGGACCCAGGTATGATTCTCAGCACTGACGCGGTGATTCACAATGATCTGTGTGTGACTCCAGATCCACGGTAACTGACACCCTTTTCAATCTCCTCAGGCACCAAGCAAGCATGTGGTACATGTATATAAGAAGGGAAAGCATTCATTTACATAAACATTTTAAAATATGTTTAAAATAAAAGTAGATAGGAAACATGGATATGGGTATATTAAATAGAGGGCTGAGGATATAGCTCAGATGAGTGTTTGCCTCATATGCAACTATGCACACATACAAATCAGGCAGGGTTACTGAAAGCTACTGAACATTGCTCACCTATACTCCATATAAATAGTATGAACACAGCACTTTGCTCCAGTGGTAACAGATCCTCCCCCGTGTCATCTGACCCCCTGGTTGAGTGAGTTAAGGATGGATAAAAAACAATCTCTGTCTGTTCTTTGGGCTTCAGCTTAGCATAGGCGCCATTGCTCGATATTGCTCATTTGAATTACTGTTGTCTGTGTAGCCCTCTGTCCCTACTCAGTCCCTACCTCTCCATAACCCTTCTTGGCAGCTCACCTAGACCCTCCAGCTAGCTTCAGTATGCTGTGGCTTTCTAACTGGGTTAAGTAATATCTAGCTAACCACAGTGACTCTTTCCCAATTGTACCAGCTCTGTCTGAATGCAATAAAACAAACATCTTTGAACACAGAGGTTTATGTAATCCTTTGTAGGCATTCTGTAAACTACATATATACATCCTATAAAATACTGTGTGAAATGCAATGATACGATACACAGTTAACACTGGAAGAAGAACCTGTGTTTGGGTTGAGGACATAGGTTGTTCAGTTGGCAGGCAGGACATAACCAGTGTGGTAGATTACCTTCTGCTACATAGTGAATTTGAGTCCAGCCTGTACAAGCTAACAAGGGAAATCAAGGCTGCTTGATAAATTGCAGCCAGTGAAGCAATGTAGCTTGTGAATTTACCGTTAATAGATTCTGACATTGTGGAAATCCACAACCACGTTTCCTCTGTGTTTGGCAGAGTACCCTTACCGAAGAGGGTTCAGCCTAGGAATTTGGATTCAATAAATGGGCTAGATGACTACCCTGTTGTTCAGCAAGCATGGGAGAACTCTCCTCATAGTATGGAAGAGTCACAAGATTGCCTTCCCTACCTCTCCTGGAACTATAGCTAAAGAATCTTTAAATCTTAGATTTGGGAAAAACAACAAAATTGCCTTTTATCATTCTCTCATTCAGTTCAGCACACAGGCCCTCAGTGGTGAGGAAAATTGCGCTCCTGTGTTGACCTTTAAACAGCAGGCTACGTTCGGGCTTTTAAGATTCTAAAAGAGTCAAAGTTAGAACTGAAACCATGAAATTGTTCCTCTGTGTAATGTAATCTTTCAGGCCAAGACAGACATTACTAGTAACAGTTTATATTTTAACTTATATTTTAACAGTAGTTTTAAAAACTCATTCTGCCTTGACACACTATCTTACTAAAAAGTGGAACTGCCTCCGTGCGACTTTTTTTTTTTTTTTTAACTCAAGTGAATTACAGTTACCCTTTCAATCGCTAACTTCACCTGAATAATATAAGCTCCAACGACAGCAAAAAAAAAAAAAAAAGCGTGCTGATTGATGAGGCTTCCAGCCAATCTGCGACGGAAGGTGAGCGCGCGAGCAAGGTTCTGTCCAATCAGCACTCGAAGGTGGGGCGGGACCTTTCGCGCCTCCGCCCCGGGGTTGGCGGACTGGAGAAGGAGCGAAGATGGCGGAGTGAGGCGTTCCCCGGGCAGCTGGCCTCCGGGCCCGGGCGGGCCTCCCGCGAGAGGCGGAGTACTTCTGCTGCACCGTGTGAGGTGAGCTGGGAAGGTCGTCCGTTCATCGGGCGACGAGCAGCCGGTGTGGCGGCGTGGAATGGGACGGGATGGCCACGAACCTAATGCGGGAGCCGGCGGGGCCTGGGCCAGACAGACTTGCCTTGCGCCGCCTCCTGGTATGTGGCCACGTCCTTCCCTAACCCGCGCTCCACGCCCTTCTCCGTGCCCTTCGCTTTGGCCCCCGTGTGCTTTACCTTAGTCCTCCACGATTGCCCTCGCGCGGTCTGTACCTGGAAGCCGCTGTGTGCATCACCCATTTATTTTTCTAAGAATATCTCCGTATCGTTTTTAACATCCACAGTGACCTGTTACCGAAAGCGTCATCAGTCAAGGTAACAATGAGGCCTGTTGCAGCTCTGGGTGTTTCGTGTCCCCGTGCGTTGACCTTGAGATTTACGGTAACTGGCTCCCCCTGGTATTTTCATAAGAGAATGTGGATTACAGATAGACTCTTGCAACCTTTATCTCATGACTCGCACCCGCCAAACTTTTATGACCATAGTAAGCAGAGCGATGTCCTTCCTTATAATGCCCTTATGGCGCATTAATTTCGGCTGACAGGTCTCAGTGGAATTCACCGTTGTTGATTTCTTGCCCAGAATTAAGAAAAACGGTTTACGATGCTTTTTAATTTTTTTAAAAAATTTATTAAGAACAATAGTTTTGGAAATTCTGTTAGAATATCATTTCGGTAGCTGATGTGAATACAAAGTATTAGTACTGTCAGACATTTGTATTTGGTTCTTATTTAATTTTATGAGGCATTTCTTTGTAATTTGGAGCCCCTATATTGGGTGTCAGTTCAATTCTAGGCATGTCTGCGTTTCTGATTTCTGAATTGCAGAGGCATATACCTAGTGCACAGATCTAGAATATATCTGTCAAACACTTGTCTCAAAAATAAATGGCACGGCTGTGATGGCGTACACCTTTGATCCCAGCACTTGGGAGGCAGAGGCAAATGGATCTCTGAGTTCAAGGCCACCCTGGTTTACAAAAAAGTTCCAAGACAGCCAGGACCACATAGAGAAACCCTGGCAAACCAAAAGACAAACAACAGACAAACTGGCACTTTCGTGGGAGCTAGATCAGATGGAAGTATCATATGTTAATGAATGTTTTTGATAGCTTATATGTTTTTTGTTAGCCCTTTAGCAGAACTAATAGAAAGAAACACTTAGAAAAAACAAAAAAAACAAAAAAGCCCTCCCCTTTGGCAGGAGTAATTTTTTTAAAATCTGATCCTCAAGAAGAAAAAAAAAAATATGAGCCAGGGGAAAGGACTATAACACTCTTCCCCATCTTAAAACGGAAGGTGTATGCAATTACACTTTTTTCCCCTCCAGAAAGAATGTACAATAACTGTAAATTTTAAGAGGACAATGTTGCATAAATGCTTTAGAACCACTATAATGATGTTTTTAAACATTAGTAGACAGAAAGTGACTTTGATTGGTCTTTTAGAATGCTTATGAGTGCTTTTTCTTAGAATGGTTAGGTTGGAATATCTTTGCATTATAATAATTGTAGTATTAGTAAAGGATATGGATATCTTTGCTTTGGTGGTTTGAATGAGAATGGCCCCATTGACCCTTATGTTTGAATGCTTGGTCCCAAGTTAGAGGAACTGTTTGGGAAGGTCTAGGAAGACTGGTCTTATTAAAGGTGTGTATTACTAGGGTCAGGCTTTGAGAGGCCAAAAGACCCAGAGTTATTCCTGTCAGGTCTCTCTCTGCCTCCTACTTATTTGAGATGTGAGTTCACCTGTTCCTGCCACCATGCTTTTTCTACTCTGCCATCATGGACTCTAACCCTCTGAAACTGTAAGCCCCATTAAATGATTTCTTTTATGGATTGCATTGGTCATATCACAGCAATAAAAAGAAGCTAAGACACTTATCGTTCTATTCTTTTCATTTTCAGGAATCTTAGCACACAGGATGAATATTTTCATGACCTTAGGTGCTTTTATATTCAGCTCAGAATTCAGAACTCAGGACTTGGCAAGTAAGTAGTAATGGGATAATCATTCTAAAATCTGTTATAGCAGCTTGAAAAGGGCTCCATAGAATTAAAATACTAAACCATTAACTTCAGCAAAAGATGAATATAAAAATGACTACAAGCCAGACACCATGGCACATGCCCTTTATTTCACAGCATTTGGGATTTGGGAAACAGTAGTGAGGATTGATGTTTGAAACTAATCTGGGCTATATAGCAAGACATTTGTTTTAATAAATAAAACCCAAAGACTAGCCAGGTGGTGGTAACGAATACCTTTAATCCAAGCACTTGGGAGGCAGGAGCAGGCCATCTCTGAGCTCAAGGCCATCCTGGTGTACAGAACATGTTCCAGAGTACAAAGAGAAACTCTGACTCAGAATAAATAAACCAAAACCAAAAGACCTAGTCATAGATAATTATTATCTATCCAGTATGTGTATGTATGTACAAACTTGTATACGTATGATCACACTACTGGCTTCTATTTTGTATTTTAATCAAAGCAGGATCAAAACCAGGACCTTCGTGTTGCATGCCTTTGGTCCAGGCACTGGGGAGGCAAAGGCAGACAGATCTCTGTGAGTTCAAGGCCAGTCTGCTCTACCTCGAGAGTTGGAGAAGACTATACAGTGAGACAAACAACTTCACCTCAAAAACAATACAGTAATTAAAAGGCTGAAGCAAGAAAAATTGGAATTTCAAGGCCAGGCTGGCTTACAGAGACATATCCTATCATAATACAACCAGCCAGCTAACCAACTAAAACCACTGTAGGGCCTAGAGAGATGCCTCAGTGGTTAAAAAGCACCCAGTGTTCTTTCAGGGACCTCCAGATTCAGTCCTAGCACCCACATGACATCCAACACCCTTTTCTGACTTGATGGACACCAGGCATACATGTGGCGTGCATGCACAGTTAAAACACTCAAACATAAGTAAGTAAATAATATTAAAAACTGAAGACGGGTTGATGATGTGCTTAGAGTGCAAGGTCCTGGGGTTTGGTTTGGTGTTTTTTATTTATTTATTTTTGTTTGTTGGTTGGTTGGTTTTGGTTTTTCAAGACAGAGCCCTGGCTGTCCTGGAACTCGATCTGTAGGCTAGACTGGCCTTGAACTTAGAGCCTCTGCCTCCAGAGTGCTGGGATTAAAGTCATGTGCCACCACCACCCAGCCTAACTCATTTTATAAGTACAGTAGTCATTGGATGAAGGATCCACTATGCTCTAGTTTCTTCTCAACTGGTTTTACCTGTTATGACCTTATTTCCAAGTAATGTCATAGTCTCATTCTAAACTCAGGATTTCAACATAGGAATTTTGGCAGGACACTGAATTAACCTGTGATACCCACTTAAATACACTAATTGTATTATGAAAATCATTCAGTGTACAACCAGTCAGACCTTAACTTTGTATACTATTTATGTGAAGTAATTAAAGTAAAAAGAATTCTAGTAATAGTCAAAATCATGGGCTGGCACAGAGACCAGGGCATTTGACAAACTAACGTGGCAACCTCATGTCAGGGTTTTAATGAGCCACATGTGGTGGTGATGGTGGGTGCCTTTAATTCTAAGAGAGCCAGGCTTATCTTTGAGGCCTGCCTGTTCTACACAGCAAGTTCCAGGACAGCCAGGGCTGCATAGATCCACCCTGATGTAAAAAACAAAAATGTGGTTTCCAGGACATGCAAGAAAGGAAGAATAAAAAAAAATCTTTTGTTTTGAGACTTGTCTCACTTTGTAGCTCAGACTGACCTCACCTCATTGTGTAGCTCAGGTTGGCCTCGGATTTAATAGCAGTCCTCTTGCTGGGCGTTGGTGGCACATTTCTTTAATCCCAGCACTCTGGAGGCAGAGGCAGGCAGATTTCTGTGAGTCCAAGGCCAGCCTGGTCTACAGAGTTTGTTCCAAGACATCCAAGACTCAAAAAACCAAAACCAAACCAAAAACCACAAAAAAACAAAACACATTTTTTTTTTTTTAAAGGTTTACCTATGTGTATGGATGTTTTTTCTACACGTGAGTGTACCCTGTGTTATGATCCACCATCTGGTTGCTGGGAACTGAACTGGGTCCTCTGCAAGCACAAGTGTTCTTAACTGCTAGCCATCTCCAGCCTCACAAGGTTTCTTTTTGAGGGATAGAAAAGATGTCATTGGCTTATGGCATGGTCTCACTATCTACCTCAGTCTGGCTTTGAACTCTGTAATCCCTGTGCCTCAGCCTCAGTACTACAGGCTACAAGTGAACACAGCAAATAATTGTGTGCACCTGTGTGTACGTTTTAAATATTGATTTTTAAAAGTAAGCTTACATGGGAGTCTCTGTCCTAATCTTCCTATTTTAAATTTGATTTGTTTTTCCAGGAATCTCTGTGCTGTCTTCTCAGTGGAGCACCCTGGTTCTTTCATGCAGCTGCTTTCCTTGGTGAAATGCAGATGGCTTTCTACAGGCACTTCCATGGTGTGGAAGGAAGAGACTCCTTTCCTTTACTTCACCTCAGATCGGCACAGAGAAGCTGGAGGATGCAGCTATCTGCTGACTTCAGGAAGAAAAAAACCAACTGGCAAGGATCTTCTGCTGCAATTTGCTTCCTTAGAAAGACACCGTTTGCAAGTGAAAGGAAAATGTTAAAGTGGAAACAGGTGCTTAGATTGTGCATTGAGAATTCTTCCTTTTAAAAGCTGCAAACAACAAACTATACAAATACCACGTATGGATGACTTCAGGTTTTGTTTTGTTTTTTTAAGTCTGCCAATTTTAACACTATTATAAGCACAGTTGACACTGCAATGGTAAATTCCAAATATTCGTTATAATTTGAGGTGAAAGAAACATTATCTAAATCCTGGCTCACCCTTTGACAGATTTCCTGGGCAAAAACAAATCTTTAGTATGATAAAAGCAAAAGGCAAGAAAGAATATCAGTGTTGATTTCACATGAAAGTGAAACCATTGCAGTTTGTGTGCAGAGTCACATTTTTATATGGATAACTCCACTTTTTTTGTTTTTTGTTTGAATACGATTTTTCTCTTGGAGAAGAAAGCTGTGGTTTTATGAGGAGGCTTTGGACAGTTTGATGGTCTTGAGTGTTTGGGTTTTGTCTCTATTGCTTTGGGCTTTTTATCCTCCTCAGGAAGGACCAGCTAGTCTATAGCTAGTTGATAGTGGGAAGAGAATATGCTGGGGTGAGTCTTGCCTTACACTGCCAGCACTTGGGAGACTGAGGCAGGAAGATCAGAAGTTCAGGTTCAACTTGAGCCACATGGTGAAACTATCTCAAAAACAGCAGAAAAAAAAAAAAAAAGTAGCCCAGTAACACCACTCTTGTTTTTCTGTGTGTGTGTGTGTGTGTGTGTGTGTGTAATAGAATGTAGCACATGAAACTTTGGTTTTCCTTGTGGCTGTGGCTGGAAAGTTGAATATGTTATGTGATGGACCCTATATCGTAACTTGCCTTCAACTTTGGACATACAGGAGTGAAGGAAAAAATAACTGGGCATATAAATCCTTTTTTCTAAGTCATCTGACTTTTCAGCATTTTTACATTATGTACTTGCATTTTTTATAAAAGCATAAATAACTTTTCCTTCATCCCAAGATGGGTACTTGGACATTTATTTTTCTAGGTGATAATGTAATGTAAGGACGAAATTCTGGAACTCAGGTAAATTTTCCCAGTTTGAATTGAACTTCCTTACCATAGAATGGACCTCAGAAGCAATGTTCCTAGTGCTGTGGTCAATCAACCCTATCTACTCTTGGAAGAAATTCAGGATCTGAACAAAACTTCAAATAAGAAAAGTGGGTCCAATAAGCAGTGTGGATCTTGTTACCAGTTACTGTATATTTAAATGATATTCAGGTTCGGAGGTGGGGAGACCTCAAGATAGTTCCAAGAAATGATGCATGTTCATTTTTTTCCTTTAATTAACAGTTACGAGGAACCATTGTGAAAACCTCTCTTTGTTTCCAAATCAAGAGAAGTCTATTTTATGTGATGCCAGGCTTTTACAAGAGAGGGAACTGTTGTTTGCAATGGTTTCCAGTAGAGAAGGAATTTTAAGCTTGCTAGATGAGTTAGGAGCAGGTGCTGTTGGAGCTGATTTCTGGAACCGTTTCCCAGTGCTATGAATTTGAGTCATAGAAAGGATCATAATTTGGAAATTTGAATATTCTAATGCTTAGTCAGATTGGGCAACAAATTTAAATTTATACTAAAAGTTTTTTTTCATGAAATACTTATAGTCTTTTAATGAGAGCAAATAATGATAAAACACTAGAAAAATAAGGAATTAAATTTAACCTAAATTGCTGGGCTTGATAGCCCACACCTGTAACCACTGCATTTTGGAGGCTGAGGCAGGAACATTGGCCACAAGATCAAGCCCAACCTGAATGACAGACCCTGTCTCAAAATGAAACAAAAATATGACCCAAATTTTTCTCTTTAAGTACCCCAGCCATTTAACATTTTCATTTAGAAGGCAGTGGAAGCCAATTGGTGACCTGTTCCTGCACCTTACTTGGGCAACTTAATGAGGTAAGGCTCTTGGGCAGGGCTGTCACCACCAAGGAGGTGTCACCTTTTGCTCCAAATGCTTCAGGTTTGTAGCTTAAACCTTCAAGTGTTGATTGCCCTTGGTCAAAGATGCTCCTGTGTCTTGCATTGTTAGCGCCAGATGACATTTCATAGCCTGGGGACATTCCAGCTGTAGTTGCCTGGTGTGTGGTACGTTTTCATTTTATAGTCTTGTTGGGTTTTCTTAATAGCAGCAAAAACTACCATTTTAGAGCTGTGCTTCCACATGTAGCCACGCCTCCTCCCTTCTCTGCAAAAGCTGGCAGTTTTTCTTTTGAAGTTACTAAACAAAAACGGGATATGTGCAATATAAATATATATATATATGTATATTTTAATACTTGTGGACAAGTGTTACAAGTTGTTTAAGAACAACAAAATCACCAATGTCTTCCATTTTGAGATGTGTATAGTTTTGTAAGCAGTAGTGCTTGGTAGCATATTGTAGTGCCATGTTAGGGGTTAGTGCATGAATTTAGCATAACTTTAAACTTCAGGATGAAATATTGATAATAACAGTAGTGTAAAAAGAGTGGAAAATCCTAGACCTTTACTTTTTGTGTATGAATCTGTGACATCCTCCCTGGGGATAGGCGATAAAGGCCAAAACAACTAATGTCTGAACAGAAAGTGGGTTCACATTGAGAAACATTGTGCTTGGGGAAATGTTAGCCTTTCACAAGGTAGCTAGAAATAGCTGCCTTTGTAGCTTTTCAGTCCTCAAAGCAAGGCCTCATTTCATGGTATGTCTTGCCCTCTTAGTTTGAAACTAGCTTGTTCTTATATTGTCTTTGTAGTGTATGTCTTGGGTTCATTTTCCCTATTTTATGTCCAGAGAATTATTTTCTGTTTTGCATGTCTGAGATGCTATGCTAATTGCTTTGGAACATTTAATCTCTGGCCATTTCCTTTCCTGTTTTCAGCACGAGTGCTAATTGCACAACCTTTTTAGTAGTTTGGAGTCTCCTGTACTCTAGGCATTTTTCTGCTTTCCTTATGGAAATAAAGTAGTTGCTTTGTTTTGAAAAAGAAAGTTTTATGTAAAATTAAATTCCTACCTCTAAAAGCTGCCTAGGGAACTTGGAAGGAACAGTTTTATGGAGTGTTGTGGAGTTTGGGGGTTTATTTTTTTATTTTTTTATTTTTTTTTTTTTTTTTTTTTTTTTTGTTGTTGTTGTTGTTTTAATTTTAGAATTAGAGTCCTGCCAGGTGAGGTGGTGTATACTGTAATCAAAGCATTTGGAAAGCTGAGGCAGGAAGATCAGGGGTTCAAAGTTATCCTTTGTTACATAGTGAGCTGGAAGTCAACCTGAGCTACATGAGATCCTGTCTCCAAAAACCGAAAGGAGAGTCTAGGACTTATTAATATGTATTACATTAGTATGATAGAAAATGTAAAACTGTGTTTAATGTGACTTTTCCCACACAAACTAGGCAGGGACCCAGCAATAGATCCCTGTAGGATATCAAGTAGGTGGTTAGCACCTGGGTGAATCTGCTTCTGAAAAGCATTTTAAGAAACAAAGGGAAAAAAAAACTTGAAAAAGTAATGCATATAAAGTAGCACAGTATATAGGAAAAGATATTTCCTATTGCAAAAATTAAAAGCCATAAATGAACTAAATATGTTAAAGAGGTGGAATTTAGTAGCAATAACAGTTTCGCATGTATAGTAAATTGTGTTCACAAAGTTGTATGGTTGAGTGATTACTATTTGAGATTGTGAGCCTCTGCAGTCTTTTACAGAGTCCACAAAAGGAAAATACATCCTAGGTTAAAAAGCATTTAAACTATGAATGTATATGAATATATCTGCGTGAAAAATACCAACTTTCATATATGTGTTAAAGACTATTTTGTTTCCCCAGAGTTTACAGCTGTTAAATCTTTCTAGTGCTTAACCTGGAAACAAATGTACTTATATATTCCCAGTGAAGCCAACATGTAGGGGTCTTGCTTAAATTGTTCTTATTAATAGTCATTTATTGTGTAGAATAATGTATGCTTTGTAACTGTTGTTCATTGGTTTCCTGGCTACTTTTTCAAAACGAAAAATCTGTTTTTGTGTGTGATTGGTGTGTCTGGGGGGTGGGGAAGGGAGCCTCAAGAACTTGCTGGCTTTTCCTTGTATTTAGATCAAGGAAGTTAGGAATTAAAGGTAAACAAAATGACTGGGCAGTACTGGGTCTGGGGGTTATCTGTATGTCTGATCCATGTATATGATGAAGCTCATTCCTTTCTTGATCTGAGGAATCACACAGCTCACATCAGAATATCAGAGTAGGACTGGGGTGAGTCCTCGATTCCCTTTACCTCATGTCCATTGTAGCCACTTGGACATCTGAAAAGATCTGGGTCTGTGCTCCTTTATTTTCCCAGGGGGAAAAAAAATAAGAGTAGTTTTGTAGATCTCAGACTCTCTAATGAGTTATTTTATTACAAACATAAGGGTAGGGAAAAGGCTATACTGAGTGTAGTTTATATTTAAATGTCCTGTGATGTCCATGTTAGGGTTTGAGACAACCAAGCAATATTCAGACATCTGCATGATCATGGACACATGACTAACTAACTTATATCAGAGATTACCCTTAACAGCTGTGTTTATGGTTCTAAGTGTAAAACTATGCTACGAGATTTTGTGGTTAATTAGCATTCATTCTTCCTGTAATCTCTTGTTTACTCTTTGTGTACCTGTGATATGCAAAATATGAAGAGACCCCCCCCCTAGCCTTCAGGAGTTTACATTCTCATGGTGCTGTAAGTGCAGGCAAACTGTCTCTAGTTTATTTAGAACATTGCTTTGCTATTAATTATACCATTTTGGAAGAGCCCCTTAGCCAAGAGTTTTAAAATTCAGAGGGCTATGCTAAATTTCAGGGCATTACTGTTTGAGTTTACATTGTTGTAGCTCTGCTCCTTAACTTTCCCCAGGGAGCTGTTCATTAATGTGAATCAGAAAAGAAACCATTCTGCCTGTGTATCCTCACCACCCATACAGCTCTCAGTAAGTGGCCAAGGAAACTTACTGCTCCATAGACAGTCACCTCAGTTCCTTTTTCCCAGGGCTTTAAATTTATTCTTTACCCTCAAAGGGCCAGGATTTCTAGCTAAGTCTTTTAGAATTAAATAGAAGTTTTAAGTTTAACCTTTTTTATATGACTTGTTTCTGTTTTGAAGCAGCATTGTAGTAGATACAGTGTTCCTGACTGCATCTCTTAGAAATTTGACTGAAACATTTAGTTGAAGTTTTGCATGTATCATTGCTTTTTCCTACAGTTCTGAATCAAAGGGTTTGCATGTTTATTAAAACCAGGCCTGGTTGAAAGTATAAGCAATAGTAGCAGGCCCATAACTGACTCTAGAATGCTAACATTCTAATGCATGGTTGAAATTTCTCATTATTAGGTAGTTACTAGTAATTTTCTATATGCATTTATTAATAATGAAGCAATAGATAAACCAATAGCTTGATTTTTATTGTTTGAATTAGCTTTATCTTCTAATTAAAGATTGTCTTCCATTGAAAAATGGGAAGTACAAGATAAGCAAGGGGCAACCACAAGACATTCATACTGTTAGGAATACAGCAAGCAGTGCTCACTCTGTTTCCTAGCTCTATTTGTAACCAAGCATGTTTGCAAATAAAAGATAATCTAAGCATGTTGAATAAGCTGCTATAATCAGTGCAGGGTTTCAGAAGAGTTGAGAAATAGCCTAAGTAGGGTCATCTTAATTCAGAAATAAGTGTTCAGTTTTCAGAACAACTAGCTGCAGGGTTTGTTTGATTAGTTTTATGTAGACTAAGGTTGGGGTTTGTTAAAACTATAGATTAAGCCAGATGCATGCTCTGCAGTCCCTGAACAGGCAGAAGCCAGACTGGGTGCCATAGCTAGACTTTTTCCACAGATAACAAATTAGTATCTTGGAGATGTGTGGCAAAGTGTGCACATGCTCCGTTTTTCAGTGATGGGGTATCTGTTGCAGAGTTACAGAAATTCTGCCGTTGCTGTTTTGATTGTGCTTGTTGCTGTATTTATAACTGTTGAGCAAGAGTTTTACTTTAAATGAGTCGGTCAAAATGTGGATCTTGCCTAAAACTTTTGATTCCTGATGAACAGAAAAAGTTTCTCTTCTTCCAAAAAAGACATTTATTTGGGTGAACAAACATTGGTTTGTTATACTAGTGAAGGGAGCAGAAGTATAATCTAGTGGCAGAGCATTTACCTGAGAAAATAGGTTCAGTTGCCAGCACTACCAAAAGGACCATGGTTAGTAGAGTAAGAATTTCTTACAATTTCTTGACTTGGAAATGATCCAAGTAACAAATAGCTTTGACAGTTAATGAGAAGTATTTATAATGTGTGAAAGACCTAAAGAAGAATTCAAGTAAAACTGTTTCACTGGGTTTAATTCAGTTTACATGTCATATGATGGGGAAATAGTTTGAAATTTAACTTTTGTTGTGGTGCTTTGCAATGGATGTCACCTAGAATGCTAACTTCATCGTTCAGAACTGAATTAGAGTTGCCAGTGTGGTGTTTGCTTCCTGCCGAAATCCAGGAATTAAGGTTTGTGATGTATCCCAGATACAAATGATCTTTGCCACTTTGTGATATTCTTCCAGCCAATAAAGTGAACGGTCATTCATTCTTAGTCTACTAAAATCAATTAAAACAGGTCACACAGGAAAATTAAATGTATATATGGTAGAGCTCAGACTTATAAATGCCTTTAAAGTCAGAATATAGTTGTGATTACTGATGATTTTCAAAACATTTGACACCTTTGGTAATAGTGTGCTGTGTCTTTAATTTAAATGTGCTCCCCCACCCCTCTTGGGGCACAGCTCTTGAAAAACACTTAGGTCCTGGACCAGTCCTTAGTCCTGACATCCCGTCCTAGGGATCAGACCGGTGTTCTGTCATCAAGTTTCCAGTCTTTAAACGTTTCTAGTCTGGGCATTAACCTTCAACCCACCCAGCCCTATAATGAAAAGGATTAAGAATATCCAAGCAATCTACCTGACAGTGGTGCAGCTTCTGCCTTTGAAGCACAGGTGTTGCTGTTCGATTGCTCTTCCATGTACAGACCATTGTGCCGTTGGTGTGTGAGGCTATGTTACCATGTACCTTCCATTGCGCCATTGGTGTGTGAGGCTATGTTAAAAGCTGCACTGAGTGAAGCACTACATAAGGCAGCTTCCTAATCTATGCATCTTTGGGAGTTTTGAAAAATGTGACTCTTTGGAAAAGGAACTGTTGTGAGAGTTTGGAACTGCACCTGTATGTATATGTTTTTAGCAATAAAGCATGAGCTGAGAATGCACTGACATTTCATTGTGTGCCGTTACTTTGAAATGGGTGATTTCAGATAGTGTAGTTACAATGGGAAAAGAAGCCTGTCTACAGGCCCTTGTTGAAGTGGGTGTTAGGTGTCTTTCTGCTATTGTTTGTCATGGTGAGGGATGAAGGATGTTGAGACAAGGCCACCTTGGCTGGCCTTGAACTCACAGAGATCTCTTGCCTCTGCCCTGTGAGTGCAGGATTGTGTTGCCCAGTGGTAACATAACCATCTGAAGAGAAGGAACGTAATTTATTTCCCTTTTGGGGACCACCTTATGCTCCATCCAAATAAATCCATTCTTGTGGGATAATCTTTGCACACTGTGGAGATGTCTCTGCTAAGGCACCTTCTGAGTGATTTAATAAAGAGCTGAATGGCCAATAGCTAGGCAGGAGAGGATAGACAGGACTTCTGGGGACAGAAACTCCAGGGAAAAATCAGGTGATATTCAACAGCCAGATGCAACAGAAGTATGACATAAGGTAGTGAGGAGAGGTAGCAGGCCACGTGGTAGAACCCAGATAAGGAAACAAGATTAAACTAAGGCCAAGTTTTCATACTTAAGAAGTCTTCGTGTCATTATTTGGGAGCTGGAGGTCCAAAGAAGGACCTGTTACAATCCTCAGTTTCTGTTAGGATTCTAAACAGAATAGTGATAAAACTATTCATTCCAAGGTGGTTTTATTCTTCAGCTAAGACACCAAAAAAGGTAACATACCTGTGTTAAACTTGGCTGTAAGAACAGAGCTGGGCCAAGCTCTCACCGGTGTAAGGCAGAGGGCTACCAGTGACTGGTTTGAAACAAGACTTCCTCAGGGTTGATATTTGCTGTCAGATGTGGTTCCAGATCCTGAGACAAACTAATGACAGCAGTATACCAACCACTGTCCCACTGTCCTCCAGTGTCCTGATTTCTGCTCCTGCAGGCCTATGGATGATCGTTTGGCTTAGACTTCTTTCTGCCCATCTTTTGTACTAAAGGCTGTAAGTTTGCTGCTTCTCCTTTACTCCTTGTTCCTGGTACAGGAGTTTTTATCAGGGAGATGATGCTGAAGCCAAAAAGCACGTTGTTTTTAATATGCACTGGTTTGGTTACTTAAGTTTAACATTAGCCCTTTTCTTTTATTGTGGGTTTTTTTGTTCTGTTTTGTTTTGCTTTTTGTTGTTTTGTTTTGTTTTCCTTTTTGAGACTGGGTTTCTCGGTGGTTTTGGCTTCCTGGAACTCTGTAGATCAGACTGACTTTGAATTCACAGAGATACACCTGCCTCTGCCTCTCAAGTGCTGGGTTAAAGGCATGCACCATCACCAACCTAGCAAAGACTAGCTTAAAAAAGAAAGAAAGAAAGAAAAAGAGTATTGGGCCGTAAGTGCTCAGCGGATAGAGGCATTTGCTGCTAAACCTGCTGACCTTCCCTTATCTTCAGGACCCTGCTTTAGGAAAGACATGACTCCCACAGGTTAACATTGACCTCCACACATGCACACAGAATAAATGTAAAAATAAATTCCAAACAACATAGTGGTGTGTGTCTAATCCTAGCACTTGGGAGGTAGAGGCAGGAGAATCAGTTCAGAGTCTTGACTATGGAACTGGTCTAAAGCCAGCCTGGGATAGGTGACATCTTCGTAAAAAATAAATAAATAAGATTCCTATGATTAAGGGAAACGAAAAGGTGTCCCCCTTGTCAGGAGCGGTCTTTGTGGGGACGCATCGGAGCCAGCTAAGCGGCCCCAAGTCCGTACCTGAGTGGAGGAAGTGTGGATGAGGGAAAGGCTAGCTATAGAAAATAAAGACAGAATAAAGGTCAGAAGGGCAGATCAGTCAATACTGAAATGCCACCTTTTTATTTTTTCACCACCCTTATATACCACAGTATCATGTATGTGGAACAGACTTTTCTTCCTCGCTTATTCTAAGTGTTCAGTAACCACACCTTAGCTCCAACTTCTTGTTTCCAACCTTGAGGTCAGGAGTAGCCACGCCTTTGATCTTTAGGTCTTATGACTTGCTGACAGCTTTGAACTCTCTGCCCTTGAGCCAGGATGGAGTGCAGCCATTTTTATGGGCACCCACACCCCCTACCCTCCAAAGATGTTACAAACTTCAAGATAGGCTGTTGTCAAAAACTAACAAGCTACTGACTGCTAAAAGGAGCAGCGTTTACAGGTCAATTCCACATAATACGTTACAGATAATGGCATCCATACATGTGACATGTGCCTTCCTCAACCTGGTAAGGACATCAGCCTATTTCTGGTGTGTGTATGAGGGGGTGGGTCTGAAAATTCTCTAAAGGGTCAAGTGAATTATAAAACATCCAAGCACTTTGGGTTGGAGAGGGGTAAGACAAGGATAAGAGGGGGTTTCTTTCTAGTCCTGGCTGTCCTGGAACCCCCTCTGTAGACCAGGCTGGTTTTAGTCTTTGAAACCAGTGTTATTTGTTGTTTATAACAAAATCTTAGTCATTTGTTTGATTTTACCAATAAAGGGGGAGCCAGATGCTGGCTGGGGTGAAAGCCTGCTAGCTCAGAAAGGCAGAGAACGCACCCAGCTGAGCCTGCTCCTCAGCTGGCTTCTGAGAAGCCTCTAGCCTTCTCCCGTGATGTCTCAAGTAACTCTCCTCAATGTCCTTCCTCCCTTCTACTTCCTGTGTGTCTGTCTGTCCTCCTGACTCCCTCTTACTCTTGTGTTTTTTTTCTTAATAATCCTATGTCCACTTTCTGTCAACTGGTTACTTGCTCCTCTTGATCTATGGTTGATTTGATTTAATCTTATTTACGGTATTCAAGCAGAAAGCTCTTGGATTAAAAGTGTGTGCTAGGGCTGAGCCACACCAAACAGAACAAAAAACAGGTTTTTCCAGTAAATAACACAATCTCAGGATTTACAATGTGATCAAATATGCTGCAACAGTTATTTGTCTCTAAGTTTTTATTAGCATATACAGTGGCTTTATAATATTTTCACACACACACACACACACACACACACACACACACACACACACACACACACCACAGAGTGTGTTTGGATCTCACATCCTCTTTCCCTTTCCCCCTCCCAAACACTTCCTTTTTTGCCATAGCTCCTCTTCTGTTTTCATGTGTGTGTGGGGGTATAACCCAGTGAGTTTCTTTAGGGTTACTTACAAGAGTATGGGCACTTAACCAGTGTCTACACCACCAAAGAAAATGTCTCTCCTTTGTCAACCATCAATTGTATAAATCCCCAGGGAATGAAGGGCCCTCATGAACCCTATCCCTTCTGTGACAGTGTGGGAACATTTCATGGTATGTGGACAAATGCAGATATTACAGGGCCAATCACGTGACATAATATCATGACACAATTGAGACTGAAATGTAAGACACAGTGCTCCTGTAGCTAACAGACAGTTCTCACTCTAGTTCAGGCTTGCCTTCTGCTCTCAGGCTCAAACATGTTAATATTGTAGGTATGCACCACCACATCTGTGGCAACAGCTGGGTTTTATTGAGCACTTACTATATGCTGAGAATATTCATTACATTAGATCTTCTACTTATGGTTTATTCCAAGTTAGATACAAAGCACTGATTAGTTTAACCCACAGAGGGAACACAAATAAGGAATAGAATAGACTAGACTACTGAGATCTCTGCTGTGCCTGTCCACATTACAAACATGGTGTTCCTCCAGTCATAGACTACACTTGGAGAAACATGACTTGGAGTTTTGTCTATTACAAACAGTGTGTGCCAATTACCTTGTTTTTTCTTGTTATTGGTGGTGTTTTTTGTTAGTCTTCTCCCCCCCCCCCACACACACACACAACTACACAAAGCTGAGGACTGAACCTAGGGCCTTAATTACTTTTGCTGGCAAGCATTCTACCACTTAGCTAAATCCCCAATCCCTATTATAAATGTGACTATGAGCCTTTTGTGCACACACTGGCGTACAACTGCTATATGATTTTCAGTGCAGGTGCCTAGGGATTAAGTTGCTGCTCTGTAGTAGCGATTATAGGTCTTTAGTTTCCATAAGCAATGCCAAACCAGCCTCCAGTTGTACCAAGGCATTACTTGTACAAGTAGCTTACAGGATTCTTTCACATCTTTACATCACAGTGTTTTGATTTTCACCAGTTTGGGTTATTGGTTGTTAGTAGTGAAGTTGGGTACCACATCTCAAGCCTTAGACGGTTTTCTGTAGTGTGGGAACCTTTGCATGCCTGGAATGCAAGTACTCTACATGAGTCATCTCTCCACTCAATGCCTTCTCTAAAAAGCTTGCATATTTTGCCAGTTTTGTAGTTGTTTTGCTTTTTGGAGGCAGGGTTTCTCAGTAGTGTTTTAGAGCCTGTCCTGGCACAAGCAGACCTCGAACTCAGAGAGATTTGCCTGTCTACGCCTCCCGAGTGCTGGGACTAAAGGTGTATACCACCAACACCCGGTTAGATATTTTTCCAGTTTTTAAGTGTTTTTTGTTGTTTTGATATATAGCAGTTGGTCTATAGCTTCTAGATTTTGGACTTTTGTTGTTTATGTGTGACATTTTCTACTATGGCTCTCTTTTTTACTCTATTATTTTAGTTGAAATTCTGTATCTTAAAGTACTGTCATCTTCAATTAATGCTCATCTTAAGAAACTTTCTTCTAGCCGGTTGTTGGTTGCGCACACCTTTAATCCCAGCACTTGGGAGGCAGGCAGATCTCTGTGAGTTCCAGTCCAGCCTGGTCTACAGAGTGAGTGCCAGGACAGGCTCCAAAACAATACAGAGATACTCTGTCTCAAAAAACAAAAAAAAAAAAAAAAAAAAAAAAAGAAGAAGGAAAGAAACTTTCTTCTGCTGTAAGATAATGAAGACTTTCTCCAGGGTTCTGCTTATAAGTTTTCTATTCTCATGTGTAACATGCAGATCTTTACACTACCTGGATTGATTTTCATTTTTTTCTCCCATGGGGGTAACCAGTTCCAGTATTCTTTAATTCATTTAATCCTCACCATAGGTGTGGTTACTGTTTAGTTAACTCAAGTTCACAACTACTAATTAGTAGAACTCAGTCTCAGTCTAAAAGGTTTATTTCTAAAATCTTCTCTCTTCCCAGCATGTGGGTACCAGTGAGACAGCTCAGCAAGTAGAGGCATTTGCCACTAAGCCTCTGATGCCACATGTGAGTCATGGCAAACGTGCCTCTACACAAATGTAAATTTTAAAAAATGATTTATTTTAAAAACATGTATTTATTATGTATACAATGCTCTGCCTGCATATATGTCTGAAGGCCAGAAAAGGGTACCAGATTTCATTACAGATGGTTGTGAACCACCATATGGTTTCTTTTAAAAAGAAACATCTAATTTAGAAATTAAAAAAAAAAGGGGGGGGGGCGGGGAGAGGCAGCAAGCTAGTTCATCAGGAAAAGGAGCTGAGCTATCAGCCAGAGAACCTGCGTTGTACCCTTAGGACTCACAAAGCAGGATAGAACCGGTTGCCTCCTGCTGGCTGTCCTCAGACCTCCATTTTTCGAAAATACATTTCCTGAACACATACGTAAATATATAAAAAAAACACATGCTTCCCGGCTTAATCTGAGTCAGGCTCAAGCATTAAATCCAAAATGGCAAATACTGAAGTTAAAAACAGTTATTAAATTCGAAATGTATGAGGGCTGGAGACATGGCTCCAAGGTTAAGAGCACTGACTGCTCTTCTACAGGACCAGGGTTCAATTCCCAGCATCTGGATGACAGCTCACAGCTGATCTGACACCCTCACACAGGAATACATGTAGGCAAAACACTTGCATAAATTAACTAATTAATAAAAATTTTAAATTTATTTTGTAAAATGTAGATAAGTGGAGTGGTAGAGCTTTCACCTACCATGTGTCAGGTCCCAGCAACCTACACAATGACATAACAGCATTTTAAGCTTTGATAAAGGAAATGTGTTAATGTTAAGGTAAATACATTTACATGTGTTTTAAAAATCCAGTTAAACCTTGTAGCTCACTAGGCACTCAGGAGGATGAGGCAGAATTGCCACTTTGGAGGCCAGTATAGGCTACAGAGTAAGATCTTGTCTCAAAAACGATTCAACGTATTAACTTATTAGGGCCCATTCTATGGGGCTGAAGAGATGCTCAGCAGTTAACATTTACTGCTATTGAGGAGAACTAGGGTTTGGTTTCCAGCATCCATAACTGACTTCAACTCTAGTTCTAGGGGATCTGACAGCCCAACAGGCTTGCAGTGTTCATGTTTAATCTCAGAATCTAGGAGGTGAACGCAGGTGGAGATCTGTTCAAGAGTAGCCTGAGCCACTTTAAAGTGGCCAGGATTACACAAGGAGACCCTGTCCAAAAACAGCAAGACACAAATTGTTTATTATACAATTTATTCAATGTTACTTCTTTTGTTTATTTTGACTTTTGAGACAAGTTTTCTCTATGCAGTCCTGTCATGGAACTCCCTCCAGGCTGGTCTTGAACTCTGAGATACTACCCCTCTGCCTCCCAAGTGCTGGGATTAAAGGAGTACACCATCACTGTCCTGCATACCTATCTATTTTATATAAAGAAAAAATGATTTCTAAGAGCAACACATGGTAGCTTATGCTTATAATTCTATCGCTCAGGAAATGGGAGCAGGTAACGTCTATAAATCAAAGTTACCCTGGCCAACTTAGCAAGTTCCAGGACACCAAAAGCTACATGGAGTTACCTTTTATAAGCTACACAGAGAGAACTTTCAGCACTTGGGAGGTAAATTCATATAGATCTGTGTGAATTCAAGGCCAGCCTGGTCTACAGACCAAGTTCCAGGTCAGCCAGGGCTATACAGAGAAACCCTGTCTCAAAACAAAACAAAAAACCAAAACAAAAAAACCACCAAGCAAGTATTTATCCATATTTATATAAATGGCAAGTAGAAGTACCATCACTATTAAACCTATTTTTTATTCATGGCCAGCTGTGAATCTTTACATCATTGGACACAAGGGATACTGAGTGCTAATTAGTAATTAGTAGTGAAAAATGTTTTCAGAGATAAGCATTATAGACTCAGTATACTATAAAATAAATTGGGTTTCTTTTTCTTTTTTGTTTTTTTTGGTTTGGGAGTGGGTTTTTGTTTGTGTTTGTTGTTTTGTTTGTTTGTTTGGTTTTGAGACAGGGTCTCTGTGTAGCCCTGGCTGTTTTGGAATTTTCATGCTGTAGACCAGGCAGGCCTCAAATTCAGAGATCCACCTGACTCTGCTGCCTGAGTTCTGGCATTAAAGGCAGCTACCACCACCACCTGGCCAAAGTTAACTTTTTTTTTTTTTTTTTTTTTTTTTTTTTTTAAAGCAACAGAGTCACAATTTATTAAGAAAGAAAAAAATACTTCCAATTAAGAATAGATTGGTGAGATGGGGCAAGGCACAGGTCAAAGACATAGTCTAGAACAATTATTTGGGTCAAGTAGGGATTTTGGGACAAGTTTCAGGAAGCTTAGGTTAACCTCAATTCAAAATGTAGCCAAGGATGATCTTGAACTTCTGATCTCCATGCTTTATTTAAAGTGCAGGAATTATAGTCACGTGTCACCACATCTGGCAGTCCTCTCATTCTTAGTGCTATTTAAAAAAATAAAAGAACAGTCAGGTGTGGCCGCCACACCTTTAATCCTAGCACTCTGGAAGCAGAGGCAGGAGGATCCCTGTGAGTTCCAGGACAGCCAGTGAGACCAAGTCTCAGAAACAACACAAAGAAAAGACCAATGTGGACTAGAGAAAGGGATCTGCTCAATGTGGACTAGGGAAAGGGATCTGCTTAATGTGGACTAGGGAAAGGGATCAGCTCAATATGGACTATGGAAAGGGATCAGCTACTCAGAGCTCTCCCAGTCTATGCAGAGTTTAGTTCTCAGCACTCTCCAGCTCCAGTGAGTCCCATCCCCTCCCTCTTCTGTCTTCCATGATCATTAGCATACAAGTGACAAAGACAGACACACACACCCACACACACACACACACCCACAAAGAGATCTTTTTAAAAAGGGGGAAAAAAAAGAAATGACCAAATGGTCCTGTTGTTGAGGATAGGAGGGAGTTCTGTACTAATACCTTGTTTCTTCAGTTTTCTTGGTTAGAATGATCAGGAGTCACATCCTTCAGAGTCTTTATCAGTGAATTTAAACGAGAGTGAATTAGCATTATCTTCTCTTTCAGCTGGGAAGAGACCGATTGAGGATATCTTAAACTCACTCAACCTTCATTTTGCAGGTTATGTTACCAGTTTTAAAATAAAAATGAATCTTAAAAAAAAAAAAAAACAACAACAACAACCAAACACAACACACACTTAAAAATTGCCTATATTAAGGGAAAGGATATAGCTCAGTTCTAGGATGAGCTGGCCTACATAGTTAATATGAGGCCAGGCAAAGTTACAAAGTCAAATCCTGTCTCCAAAAAAGAAAAAAAGTTTTGCATATTAAGTAACTACACCACCAAGTTTACCTCCGCAATCTTTTCTGGTAGAGGCACATTGTGAATATCCATCTCAGATGCACTTACTATGGCCTTTGTTTTTAAGAGATAGCTAGAGAGAAAATATATAAAGGATTAATATCATTAACAAATAGTACCATCAAAGCCTGCCTTAATGGCTCCAAGGATCACAGTATATTTTATTGGAAAAACAAATTCTCAATTAAAACCACAAACTCTACCTCTTACATTTCCCATTCTCAGGGACAAAATTATCTCAAGAAAACTGAAAACAAATCCAGAATGAAACGAATAACTACCATGGGTAAACAAATTCACTAAAGGCTGAGCACAATGTTGACCCCATCTCTTGGGAGACAGAGGAAGATGGGTGTTGGAATCTGAACTCTGGTACTATGACAGAGCTGTAAGTAATTTTAACCTCTGAGCCATTTCTCCAGCCCTTTCAGTTTCTTGTAATAAAACACCTTAAGCCAAATGTTTAATTAGTTAGGAAGATGATGAAGCATTCAATGAAGTCTATGGGAAAAGTAGTAAATGAGGTCAAAGTCATTACTATATTCTTCATCTCAGTAATTTTTCATCAGGTAAGATGGTCTCTGTATCTGAAGTGCAGAAAATAGTTACTCCAAGAGTAGAGCATTCACTTTCCAAGGTCAGCACCAATATCATCTAAAAATATCTCTAGGTCCTTGTGTTTAATATTATCAACTGACATATCTGGGCTGACATAGGAGAAAAGCCTCTATGAGGAACTATCTAGAATAGCACCAACCCATGGGCTAGAGTACTGAACTAAAAATAAAAATGAAAAAGCAAGGGCTGAAGAGATGCCCCAGCATGGTTAAGAGCATTGGCTGCTCTTCCAGAGGACCTGGGTTCAATTCCCAGCACCCACACGGCAGCCCACAACTGTCTGCAACTGCAGTTATACCCTCACATACATACATGCAAAACACATATGCACATAAAAATAAATCATCAGAAAGAGAGAGAACCCGAGAATTAGCATTAATCTCTGCTTCCTGACTGCTGACACAGTAAGACCAGCCACCTCCTCCATGGCTTCCAATGTTGGACTATACCCTTAGTCCCTTCCTTAAGGTCAATTTTGTCAGGTATATTGTCCTGTCACTAGACAAGTTACCAAGACAGCCCTCATTTCAAATTCCTGGGGTAGAAATTCTGATTGGCTTAGTATAAATGTATATATACATTTCTTTGAGGCTGGGTACCATGTAGGCCAAATTCTATACATGAGAAGAGTATGAGATACAGCAGTAAACCAAGTAACCTATAAGACTTTTGCAAAAGCACACCTTCCAGAATATCCCTTAATGAAAGAATACACTTGAATGATTCCATATGACTAGTAAGACATGGTGCAATAAAACATCTAAAGTAATCATATTTATCACAGGATATATTTTGTCTTTATTTAAGATATGTATATAATAATAGTGCCTGGCCTTTTGCATTTTCTTTGGTTATAAACACCTGAGCTTTTGTAGAAAATTTTAAAGACCTTATTTGATAAATAATTATCTACTCACCACACCATTTTATCACAGGAAAGGCAGAAGTGACCTCTCAAGGCAGCCAGAGCAGCATGGGTGGAATACAGATGGAAACCAACAGGAACCCCACAGGAATGACAGAAGAGAAGGTTGTATGTGCTGGTGGGAATGGGAAAAAGCAGAATATAACACAAGGAAAACCCAGAGAAGAAATAAAACCACCCCTCCGATGGCTTGGGCAGGAGGTTCTCAAGTTCAAGCTCACAGGCTTCCAAGGACAGCTGGGCTACAGCAAACTCTTGTCTTAGAGAAACAAAAACAAAGAACATAACTTCTATACTGCCTCTAATCACTTGTACAGTTCATGGTGCCCTACCTTATAAAGAAATCTACTACTGTCCTTAAGATGTTTGGGGTTTTCTGCACCATGCTAAATAGTTACATGAACACTGGAGGACTTAGGCACTTACTTCTAAAACATAAACAATTGTATAGAGCAGGTCAATTCGATTTTAATTTCTATTCATTATAACATTCCATCAATCTGAAAGGCAACAAGACATAATAGCAACAGGCAGTGGAGTGGAATAAAGATTTTCCTCTACTCTTACCCATGTTCTTGAGTGCTGGGACTAAAGGAACCACCATGCTTGGCCAAAGCTTAAAGTATCAATTCACTGTAATCCAATAAAACTTTTAAAAATCATTTACAATATATGTTGTACCATATAAAACAAAGTAATAATCAACTACCAAGTTGAAAGATAGTAAAAAAAAGTATCTTAAGTGTACTAGTAAAAATGATCATTTACCTCAAAAATACAAACAAGCAGATGAGCCAGGAGGTGGTGGCACACACCTTTGATCCCTGCACCCGGGAGGCAGAGGCAGGTCGATCTCTGTGAGTTCAAGGCCAGCCTGGCCTCTCTCTACAGAGTGAGTTCCAGGACAGCCAGGGCTGTTACACAGAGAAACCCTGTCTCAAAAAAATGAACAAACAAAAAAGCAGATGAACACAAGTGAGAAAATCAGGGCTGGAGTGACAGCTTAACAGGTAAAGGTGCTTGCTACCAAGCTTGATGACTTGAGTTTGTCCCTCAGGAGATGCACAACAGGAGAGACTTGACTCCTGAAAGCTGACCTCCACCCTTCACATGTGCACATGGTACATGAATACACACATACACATACTACCCACACACATACACAAACACTAAATGAATAAATAGAAAAAAAACTATTTTTAGATTATAATGTGAAACAGAAATCTTAACTCTATTGTTATATTATTTTTCTTGAACTACTATAAATCAACTCTAGCACCTCATACAAGTTAGGCAAGCACTGTACTTCTGAGCTATTGCACATCTCCAAATACATAATTAAAACTGCTTACCAGGTTTTAAAAGAGGTTTGGTGTAGGTGTCTATACTTGAGAACCAGCACTTGGGAGGCAGAGGCAGAATTGTAAAGTCAAGGCAAAACCATTATTTTACCTATAAATATATTTAAAATGTCACCTCAGGAGCAGTGAGATGACTCAATGGGTAAAGGCACTTGCTGCCAAGCCTGAGGGACTGAGTTAAATTCCCAGGACCAGCATGGTGAAAAGACTCCTTCAAGTTACCTTTGAACCTCAGTATGTATGCCAATCCCCAAGTCTACCCAACCACACACACACACACAATTAACTCATTAAGATTAAAGGCATGAACCAACAGGACTCCTATAAGGATAGGAATGTGTTTTTAGTTTGGCCAAGTGGAATAGAGGTATGGTTACAACTTAGTTTGGTCCCATAAGTACAACAAATTTGCTGAGTACTTTATTTCTATGGGGAAAATATTAGCAAAGGAAGATGAAAATTACTAGCAGTACTCAAACACCAAACATTCCATTGTGTTTCCCCAGCTTCGGGGATTATTACAGAATTAGTTCTGTCATGGTTCATAATATAAACTCCAAGTTAAATAAAAATTTAAATAGCCCTAGTTATCTCACAGGATGTGTTGGTCCTCAGATGTTAAAACCTACACCCGACTCTAATTTTCATTTCATTAATGCCTTGTTGACATGTTTCAAATGCATAAAAGTACTTCATTCAAACATTGTATGGAGAGAATAAACTTTTGTCATAACAAAAATAAAGTTTTCTTCTTGTTTACGACAATTAGGTACTCCTCGGTGTTATTAAATCAGGAACTATAGATGCACCTCAGGAACTCTCCACACGTACCTGCATTTGAGAGAACCTTCAATTCCAACGAGAAAGGGCTCTAACAAAACGACGTTGTTCGTGACTCCTGAAAGACAAACGGGTTTTGAACAGGAAAACATCCCACCAGATTCATCCTGGTCATAAAAATCAAGAAAACGCGTGGTGCTCACACAAAAGCGCAAGTGTTCACACAGAGTTTGATGCCCCGCTCCGGAAAACAAAACCATGCCTCCCTCGGCCAGTTCATTTAGAATCCTACGCGTAGGGAATACCCCTCCTCTGCCCTCGCCTGCCTTTCTCAGACGCCAACCCTCGCCTCACTCACTGGAGAAGGCCACTGCCCCGAGAGACCTCGACAGGTCCCAGGCGAGATGCACGGTGTCGGCGAGCACTGCGTGGCAATGCGCGCAATGGAACACGGCACACCTCTCGGGTTCCAACCACGCAGGCAGCCGCAGGTCGACGGGTGACGCCCCCACCTCAGTCCCGGAAGGACCTAGAGGGGAAGAGCCAGTCACCACCTGAGTGTCCCACTCCATGGAGGTAGTAAAAGAAAAAGGCGTGTCACAAGAGTCACTGCAGGATAGCGACTCGAGGGGCAAGAGGCGCCGCCGCGAGCGAGCCATCTTTTTGAAGCCCGCGCCTCTTTTTTTTTTTTTTTACACTCGCGCCAGGTTCCACCCAAATGAAGTTTCCTGCGTCCTCATTGGACAACATGCCCGAAAGACACGTCCAAAAGCCGTCGAGGGCCTGCGTATTAAATAGTTAGGCTTGCGTTATTGCGTGATTCCGCATCTCTATTGGCTATCATCGAAACCCCACCCTCGAGGCGTTCAACCAATGGACATGCAGCAGCCTTCATTTAAACTGAATATAAAAGTCGGCTTGTCAACGCCTCTGGTGGCGCCAGTTTTGAACCGTGCTGCTTGAGTTGTCTGGTTGTTTTTCTGGGTGTCGCCGCGATTGCAGAACGCGATGACCGTCCCCTCTGCAGAGGAGTTGGACTCTTTCAAATACAGCGACCTGCAAAATTTAGCCAAACGGCTGGGCCTCCGGGCTAACCAGAGGGTATGTTGCTGGCTGGTGGTGCGAGCAGTTGGGTGGGCGGGGTAGAAGAGACGAGGGGTGTGGGGGACGCAGGGCGAAGGGCCAGAGGGAACCCCAGGGGGACACTGGTTTTGGGTGAGTCGGTTTGGTTCACGTTGGCTGGAATTTGTTAAACGAAAGAGAAGCTATGTCTGTTATTTTATTTGGAGGCAGGAGCTCATAAAGGCCTCTTACTGGAAACTCTAATGGATACTTCCCTGCTACCAGATGGAAATGCAGGCTCCTAAGACATAATCAATGTAATGTCTAATGGCAGTTATTAGAAAAAGTTAAATTGGCTTCTAGAAATCTCCCAAATTACTACTATTAAGTAAACTGTGATAGTACCTACAGTCTCATGAGCCTTTATTGGGATGCCTACCTATCCGGGTATAGTATGATGGCTGTTGTGATGGTGTTCTTTTTCAAAACCCGTTTGGACTTTTGCAAGGTGTTCAGAGAAAATGTGATTCATTGTGAGACTGGGGCTTGCTATGTTGGAGTTGAGAGTTCCCATATGTGTACCCTATAGACATGTACAGCAAACCGATATTTACACTAATTGTCTATTCAGTCATCACAAATATTTTTTTTAAGATTTACTTATTATGTATATAGTGTTCTGCCTATGTGCCAAAACAGGGCACCAGATCTCATCATAGATGGTTGTGAGCCACCATGTGGTTGCTGGGAATTTAACTCGGGACCTCTGGAAGAGCAGCCAATGCTCTTAACCTCTGAGCCATCTCTCCAGTCCCATCACAAATATTTTTAAATGGTTTAAACAGAATAATGAGATCATAGATGCTCCTTAGATCTGTCTGAACGGCAATGAAGAGTACTTGGAAATGTTTCTGAGTTGCACAACTTAATGAGTAAAGCTTAGGCCCTCAGGTATTTGCTATCTTGTGGATTTTTTGTTTTTTAAGACGGGATTTTTCTGTGTAACAGTTCTGGTTGTCATCCTGGAACTCGCTCTGTAGACCAGGCTGGCCTCAAACTCAGAGATCCTTCTGCCTCTGCCTCCCAAGTGCTGGAATTCCACCATCACACCTGGCTGAATTTTTTTGCTGAATTTTTTTTTTTTTTTTTTTTCTCTTTTGTGAAGCAAAGTCACATTATATTGCCTAGGGTATCCTGGAAAACTATATACAGTTTAAACTGGCCTGGAACTTAGAACCCTCATGCCTTAACCTTCCCTGGGTCTATATAGGCTTGTACCACCACCTCTGGCCTGACTAATTTTTTTTATCAGACTACATCTGCTGATTCTAATCTCATTTGCATCTAACCACCACCATCTTAATTGAGTGCCCTATCTCACCTCTTTCACAGAGTTTAAGTTTTTCTTTCTAGCACCTGATATGTTATTTTTAGCTTACTTGGTCAAAAAGCTATTTTCATATTAGTCCAATGAGAAACAGCAGAAGCTTTGTCTGTTCTGTTCACCAGTCTGTCTTGATCCTAGAACAGTGCTTAATACATAAACCCAGTGTTGTGACCCACATCCTCAAAGGAAAGAATCAACTCTGCAAAATTATTCTCTGAATTCCAAAGGTGCACTGTGGGCACACATGTCCAAGTACACACACACACACACACACACACACACACACACACACACACAAATAAGTAAATAAGTAAATAAAATTTTGCACCTTGCTGGGCGTGGTGACACAGACCTTTAATCTCACCCAGCACTCAACAGGGAGAGCTCTGGGTTCAAGGCCAGCCTGATCTACAGAGTGAGTTCTAGGACAGCCAGGGCTACACAGAGAAATCCTGTCTGGAAAAAACAAAAAGCCAAAAACAACAAGAAAGACCTGGATTATGTTTTGTGAGAGGAAACCTCAGGTGAGATTTATTGTGTAGTAAATAAGAGCCATTTTATTAATAGATGGCTTCATGCTGAATCTAGTACAGTTGAAACATGTGGTTTAGTCTCAGGCCCCAACAAAATTTCTCCTGTACTTAAAGGGCAGGCAAATTTCAAACTTTGCCATTTACTACTGATTAATGATAAATTCTGTGAGGACTCAGAGGTTGAGCCCATCTTAAGTGTATAGACATATATATATATATATATATATGAAACATGGGCTGAGCATGTTGTAGTTACGTACTTTGTGTGTGTGTGTGTGTGTGTGTGTGTGTGTGTGTGTGTAACAACAGTTTTTTAAAAAGGTCATGAATTTGAGAGAGAGCAAAGCCAGGTACATGGATAGAGATTGAAGGGAGGAAAGGAATGGTGGTGGTGGGGGGGTTTAAATTAAAAAAAATTTTAAGCCAGACAATGGTGGCAGGTAGATCTCTGTGAATTCAAGGCCAGTCTTGTCTACAGAGCTAGTCCCAGGATAACCAGGAATACAAAGAAACCCTGTCTTTTTTTTTTTTTTTTTTTTTATTCTTTTATTTTGAGGCAGCATCTCACTATATAGCTCTGGCTGTCTTAGAATTCACTAGGTAGATCAGGTGGCCTCAAACTCCTAGAGATCTGCCTGCTTCTGTCTCCTGAGTGCTGAGTGCTAAAAACATGTACCATCATACCCAGCTAAGAATTAAAAAAAAAAAATACAAATAAAATTATTATTTTTACAAAATGGTTTTGACCCTCAACTCCATACCTTGGAGTAATGGGGGGGGGCTAATAAATATATTTGATCTTTGTTTTGAAATAGGGTCTCATTCTGTAGCCCAGGTTGGCCTAGAAATCTCAGGGAATTGCTATGCCTGACTCCATTTGACCTTTTAAGAAAGAAAAGCCAGTCAGATCAGTATTTGTCTTCCAGAAAAGAATAGGGAAACTTTCCTAGAATGGAAAGTGAGTCCAGAAGTTCCCTCTTTCCCAAGGACTTGTAAGACCCTCACTACAAGATACCACCTGCCCTCTAGAGAACTCAGCCCAAAACAGTTTCCCTAGTGAACTTGATATCCCTGCTGATTTATTTCCTTTGAAGGTTTTCATCCACCTCCACAGTTCAGGTCATAGTTTTAATTTCCTAAGCATTCAGTTGGTCACCTGCTGCCCTGAAGCCAACTCTTCAAAGACTGTTCTTTGCTACAAGGACAAAATTTACAAGTCTTATGAGGCAGGCCTAGCTAGCAAAATTGGGATCCTGACTACTTTTCCAATTCCCCAACCCCCCAAAGACAAGGTTTTTCTGTGTAACAGCCCTAGCTGTCCTGGAGCTAGCTCAGTCAACAGGCTGGCCTTGAACTCACAGAGATCCACTTGCCACTGCCCTGCTTACTTTTCCAACTTTTTTCTCACCCTCCTCTCTATTGGGTCAGTGTTCCAGCCATGCTGAACTTAGTTCTCATTGGTCTTGTTGTTTCTTTCCCTTGCTTTTTCTCCATCTTGTCCTCTCTGTTTAAATCTCTCTTCTCCATTTTCAAGATCTCAACAGCCTCATCGGGACATCCATCTTAAAGCTGGGGCAATCCATCACCTCCTGACACTGGTACTGTCCAGCCCACAATATCCAAAGCTTCAACATATGTTTGTCTTTTTTCTTTACCTGATTTTGCCCCTGGGGTGTGAAATTTAATTCTGCTCTAGTTTGTCAGCCCAACCAGAGGAAAAAAGGTGTCTGGCATAGCTTTCCTACCTGTTTGCCTTTGAATGTAATGATGAACTATTCTTTCCTGCAGGCAGACAAGTTGTTAAAAGCTTTGAAAGCCCACCTGAATGCAGAAACAAGGAAAGAAAATAAAAGTCAGGTGAGTGGTGTTCTTCGTTTATTAGCTAGTAAAATGTTGTGTTTAGTTAATGAGCAATTAACACTTATTAATGATGATTTAAGATACAGTAGATGGTGTAAAGGCTCATACTTATAGGCCTAATATTGGGAGGTGAAGCTGGCACAGACTACTAGAGTACTAGGCCAGACACTGACCCTAGCTCAAAGAAAACTAAGAAAAAGATGTGGTATTTATTATTATATGATGGTATCGTCATTAGTAATAGGACCAGGGACTGAATTGTCTCATTATTGTTTGTTATAAATGATGAAAATGCCATGCTATCTAATGAATAAGATAATCTTTTAAGCAAATGCTTATAATCCAGTGATTGAGGTAGGAAATTCATGAGTTTAATACCAAACTAAGCTCATGTAAGACCCTGTGTTCAAAAGAAAACAAAAGGCTGGTCCTGATGGTGCATGCTTTTAATCCCTGCATCTTGAAGCCAGAGGCAGATAGATCTCTGAGTTTAAGGCCAGCCTGGTCTAAAGAGTGAGTTCCAGGACAGCCAGGGAGAAACCTTGTCTTGAAAAAGAAAACAAAGAAACAACAAGGAAAGCAAAGTTAAATATAGGTTGTAAATTATAAGAGACAGTAGGAGAGGAGTAGGCTAGAAACCAGATTTAAAGACATGAAGTCTAGTTAAAGGTTAAGTAGCAGATCTGATAGCATTTTTCTTTTTGTTATTATTTTAGGTTTGTTTATTATACGGGAATAAGATCTCTGTAAGAACAAGTGCTCTTAACCACTGAACTATCCCTCCATCCCCATTTTTTTTTTTTTTTTTTTTTTTTTTTTTTTTTGAGACAGAGTTTCTCTGTATTGCTTTGGAGCCTGTCCTGGAACTAGCTCTGTAGAACTCGAACTCACAGAAATACTCCTGCCTCTGTCTTCCGAGTGCAGTGACTAAAGGCGTGTGCCACCAACTCCTGGCCCCATCTTGTTTCTTTATAAATGCATTTGAGTGTGTGTGTGTGTGTGTGTGTGTGTGTGTGTGTGTGTGTGTGTGTGTATGTGTGTGGTAAGAGAGAGGAGGGAAGGGAGTGATGATAACATGCTTGTGCCTTTAGAAGCCAGAAGCTGGAGTTACAGGAGGTTGTGAGTTGCCTGGCATGTGTACTGGGAAACAAACTTCAGCCCTCTGCAAAAATGGCAAGTACTCTTAAAGCCATCTCCAGCTCCATCTTTGAAAAATTTGCATTTGTTTTGTGACAAAGTCTCTCTCATAGCCAAAACTGTCCCCAAATTTGACCCTGACCTTCTAATTCTCCTGCTTCTACCTCTACAATGTTGGGATTATAGGTACGTACCACCATGCCCAGTGTTGAAATTCTTACTATTCTTATTCATCTGCTGATTTCCCAGTTGTTTGTCAGTACGACTCTAGCTAGCTTGGAAAATTCTGTAGACTGATGTGGCCTGAAATAGAGATGTACCTGCATCTGCCTCCAGTGCTGGAATTCAAGGTTCGAGCCACCACACCCTGCCCATTTGCTGCATTCTAACATCCCTGTTGTTGTCACTGCCTTCTATCCTGAACTTACTTTGGGTTAGTTCATAGGTCTACAGGTCTATCAGGATGTCTCTCCTACTGCCCTTGTCTCTTTGTTCTTTAACTAGTACCCTTTGTTTTTGTTCTTCGTTAGCTATTCAGTTCTTTAAGATTTTCGTGGATCTTGTATCATTTGAAGTTTTTCCATTTCTGCAATACTTCATCCCTGTCTAAGTTGGACTTATTTATTTTTAATTTATGTGTATGGGTGTTTTGTCTGTGCACCCTGTGAGAGTCTGGTGCCCAGAGGGATCAGAAGAGGGCATTGGATCCCCTGTAACTGGAGTCATGGATAGTTATAAGCTGCCATGTAGGTGTTGGAAATTGAACACTGGTCTTCGAAAGAGCAACAACCTATTTCTCCAGTCCCATTTATCTATTTGTTTGTTTATTTGTTTATAGGCAAGGTATGTAGCCCAGACTGGCCTCAAATTTGAGGCCCTGTCTTACCCAAGTACCTAAGATTACAGGTGTGTACATCTATGATCAACTGCTTTGCTCTGATAGTCAGGATACAAAGGAGTCCACTCCCTCCTCCATGTGTGGAGTGTATGGAGGATAGGTGGTTGTGAAGCAAAGACCAGTTGCTGCCTTTGGGTATTCAAGAAACCTGGGGTGTAATGCACTCCTTCCATCTACAAATCTAGTATTAGAATCCTGCCCTACTTTGGGCTGGAGCGATGGCTCAGTGGTTAAGAATACTGGCTGCTCTTTTAGAAGGCCTGGGTTCAATTCCTAGCACCTACATGGCAGCTCACAACTGCCTTTAACTCCAGTTCCAGGAGATCCAACACCTTTGTACAGACATCTATGCAGGCAAAACACCAATGCACAGAAGAAAGGGGGAAAATCACTTAAAAAAAATTCCCTCCTACATTCAAGCTCCTTATGAACAAACAACTCAGTCACCAAACAGTTGTGGAAAAGCTGCAGCCTGAATAACACTAATATAAGCAGAAAAAACAGCCCTGAAGAATGGAGCTGGAGTCAGGTGGTGGCGCACGCCTTTAGTCCCAGCACTGGGGAGGGAAAGGCAGTGGATCTCTGAGTTCAAGGCCAGCCTGGTCTACAGAGTGAGTTCCAGGACAGCCAGGGCTACACAGAGAAACCCTGTCTTGAAAAACAAAAATACATACTCTATAATAGCTTATTGAGTAAACCATCCATAGAATCAAGAGAAGTGGGCAAAACAGAGGTGATTCAATTAAGGTTATATAGCAGAACATAAACTTGACCAATACAAAGATACAGAGAACAGAAAGAGCTGGGTAGAGCAGCGTAGGCATGTAATACCAGTACTAGGGAAGCTGAAGCATTGAGATTTAGCATCAAGACAGCCTGGGCTGCAGATGACACAAATTGAGAAGTAGGGGACTATAGCCTTAGCGCGGTGGTGGAGTATTCACTGGCTTAGCATTTGTGTGCTCAATTTCTCAGCACTAAGTTTTTTTAAAAAAAAAAAAAAAACAAAAAAACAAAAAAACAAAAAAAAAGCTAAATAGGCTAGGAAGGAGAGGGGTAATTAAAAATGCTTATACCTACAGCTGACAACATGTATTACCTATAAAAGAGTACATTTGAAGGTATATTTAAGGCTATAAAGGTGGTAGTCTGACTAAAGTGGTATAATTCTACTAGGAAGAAAGAGTACAAATAAGCCACATTTTAACATAAAAACCCTGAAATTATGAATGAGTATGCCAGGATTCCCTAGAGACAAATGAGGAACCTACTGAACTTAAGCATTAACAATAAGGAAGGGTGAGAGAAACAATTGTTTTTCATAGTTGTTTTTGTATGTGTGATACCTGCCCCATCTCCAAGTTGCTAAGGACCAAACTCTGGACCTTGTACATACTAGGCAAGTGTTATACCAAATCTTGTTGTAGTTAATAATATATAGATATACATATATATTATAGATATATATAGATATAATATATATGTATATGTATATATGTATGCCATATTCATATATAAATTTATCTAAAAAAACCAAAAAGACAAAATCAGACCCATGTGGTGGGACCATAGCCATAAACCAGCACTCAGGCGGCTGAGACAGGAGGATCAAGAGTCAAAATCAGCTAGGGTAACTTAATGACACCCTGTCTCAAAATAAGAAGTTAAAAAAAGGGGGGCTGGATAAGTTCACCCCTACTAATTGCCTAGCATATGGGGTACTTAGATTTGCTCCTTAGTACTCAGAAACAACTATAATCCATCCAGAGTCTTTGTGGAATGGCAGAGAAACCATCTTTTTTCTCCTTCCAACATCAATATAAGAAATATAGCTAATAATATTATATTTTAATATATAAAAGCCATTAACAATTATTTCTTTGTTTCGTTTGTTTGTTTGTTTTTGGGGATAGAGTTTCTCTGTGCAGCCCTGGTTGTCCTGGAACTTACTTTGTAGATCAGGCTGGCCTCAAACTCACAGAGATCCACCTGCCTTTTCCTCTCAAGTGATGGGATTAAAGGCTTGCGCCACCACAGTCCAGCTAACAATGATTTCTTATATAAGCAGGTCTGTTTTGGATGCTCTGCTTTCTGACCATACTGTATTCATGTAGTAACTTTTTACTTTTTTAGTTTATGAAAATGTAAGTGCTATTTCCTTATTTTTATCTGTGACAAGTTACTTTGGCTTAGGATGCAGTTGCTAGTGTATATGCACACAGGACCTGACTCACACTGTCTCCTTTTCCAGGATGAGAATCAGGCTTCTGCATTCTCCTGTGATGAAGCTGAGATACACATTAACTGTGAGGAGCAAGCTGAGAGGGAACCTGTTGGTCACATTACCAAAACAAGAAGGAAGCGCAAGAGTGTCCACGGGACTCCTAACTTCCAGGTGGATGGAACTGTGCAAACTGAAGAGAAGCCCCATAACTGCCATAACCTACCATAACTGGCATGTTTTTAGGGAGATTCCATTTTACCTTCCCTTATGAGCCTGAAGGCTGGAAATATACTATGAGCTGCAGACTCCTCAAAAATACAGACCTGTGCCTACTGTCCTCGCCACCACACCCCTGCCCCTAGCCCTTGGGAAGGAATTATGAGTATTAATTACAAATTGAATACCCACTAAAGGGGCTTGAGAAAGAGGAAAGACAGCCCAGGGGTCAAGAATGCTTGCTCTGGCGTTCAGATCCTAGTTTCCATGTGAAAGCTGGATGTGGCTTCATGAATACCTCTATGTCTACCTCTAGCTCTGAGGGCAGTGGAAACTGCATCTCTAGGGCTTGTTGGCTGCCTGTCTACCTAAAAACAAGGTCTCAAGTTCAGTGAGAGGTCCTGCCTCAGAGGAACAAAGAGAATAGTAGAGAGCGTGCACATACACATACACCCCAAACACCCCCACCACACACACACACAATGCCCTCCTCTGGCATTCATGCATTCACAGTATGCATACCTACACATACATACGTCTACATGCAATTCATACAAAAGCTGATTGAATATATGTGAATGCTCATGTATGGTTCACATAGCAGTCTGCAGTAAATATGAAAGAGCAACCAACCAGAAGTGTAGTTTTAAATTCTCTTTCTTCACTTGCTCCTGGCCTGGCCATCATCCTGTGCTTAATCTATCAGTGGTGTATGGTCACTTCCTTTGATTACACTGATTTTATTCTTTTTTTTTTTTTTTTTTTTTTTTTTTTTTAACTTTTTTTCAAGATTCATTTATGAGTGCTCTATCTGCATGTTCTTCTGCTCGCCAGAGGAGGGCACTGGATCCCATTACAGATGGCTGAGCCACCATGTGGTTGCTGGGAACTGAACTCAGGACCTCTGGAAGAAGTCTTAACCTCTGAGCCATCTTTGCAGTCCTCAGATTTAATTCTTACTATGTTTAATCATAATCCCTCCCTCCCCCCCTTCTTCCCTTTGACACAGGGTCTCACTGTACAGGAGGACCTGCCTGTCCTGTCCTCATTATGTAGCCTAGGCTCAGTTTAAAGGCATGCATCACCATGCCTGGTCTCTTGGTGGTGGTGGTGGTGGTAGTTTCTGAATGTGAGTCCAACTCTCTAACCCTAGCCAGCCTGAAACTCATGGTAACTTTCCACAAGTCTTTCTCTGTCCCGCCATCCAGCTCCCAAATAATGGACGAAGAGAATCTTACTAATTATGAAGCTCAGCCTTAGCTAAGGCTTGCCCTACTAGCTCTTTTTGTTGCTGTTGTTATTGTTGTTTGGTTATTGTTTTTCAAGACAGGTTTTCTCTGTGTAACAACCAACCCTAGCTGTCCTGGAACTCACTCTGTAGACCAGGCTGCCTTTGAACTCACAGAGACCCACCTGCTCTGCCTCCCTAGTGCTGGGTTTAAAGGTGTGCACCACCACCACTAGGCCCAATAGCTCTTATAACTTAAGTTAATCCATGTTTTTATTAATTTATGTTCTAGAATGTGGCTTTTACCTCTCTCCCATTCTCTGTGTCCAACTGGTCAGGGTCTCCATGGCATTCTGCATGCCTCAATTCATCTACTTCCTGTCTCCCTGCTCAGACATTCCGCCTACCTATTGACCATTCAGCTGTTTATTAAACTGGTCACAGCAATATATTTTCACACAGTGTACAAACATCCCACAACAGTAGTTCTCCTGCCTCAGACCAAGTGTTGGGATTATAGATTTGAGCCAACATGCCTATCCTAATTTCTTATTTTTTTTTTTTTTGTTATGTAGTATTTTTTCTTATAATTATTTTTTCTGATTTAGCTTTTGGTGGGGTAGGGGACAGAGTCTCACTATGCAGCCCTGACTATTTTAGAACTCATTCTGTACTCCAGGCTAGCCTTGAAGTAACAGAGATCCACCTGCTTCTGCTTCCCAAGTGCTGGGAATAAAGATATATGTCTTAGTTAGGGTGCGAGGGCTCACATGTAGAAGACAGAATTTTCAGGGCTGTGTTTCTCCTTCCATGTGGGGCCGCAGGAATCAAACTCAGGTTCATTTGGTTTTGGATTAATTTGGGTTGCTTCATGTTCAGCTTTCCCTATTGCCAGATTCTTTCTGACTGCCATGTTTAGTTTTATGACCCCATGAATTAAGAAACTATGTCTTACTATTAATTGTCATCCATAAGGAACAAATCTTCCATTCTTTCTAGTGACCTCTAGTATCTCCATTTTTGAAATCATAGTCTTCAGAACACTGGATCAAATAAAACCACTCAGGAGTCTTAGTCCTATATTGTTCTTCTGACTGGCCCCCACCCCACACACAAACCTTGTTTTCATACACTGTTTTTAGAAGGTAGCAATTATTCTAACGTGTTTTCTTTTTTCCCTTTCAAAATTTGTTGCAGGATCATTCTGAGATGAAAAGAAGTGATCCTACATTACAGAATCAAGGAAAACAGGAGAATCAAGACCTCAGAACTACTACAAAAGTTCCTTCTTTGCCAGACCAGAGCCAAGAAGAAGGAAGTACAGTTTCCTCAGGAAAAAGTGGGGTCGATGGTACGCCAACTAATATTTTCAAACTGAAATTGCTGGGGGGATCATGCGCATCAGTTTCTGAGGAACGCAAACCAGGCAGTTTGAAAATAACAGAAATTGTGCCATGAATGGTCGCATACTTCTTTTATCCTAACATTCAGGAGGTAGAGGCAGGCAGATCTTTGTGGATTTGAGGCCAATGTGTTCTACAGAGTGAGTTTTAGGCCATAATAGAGAGAAGACCCCGTTTCCAAACCAACAACACAACTACAGCAAAAAAGAAAAAGAAAAAAAAAAAAAAAACCTGAAAAAGAAGAGAAATAGATTGTTGTATAAATTTGGGAGCTGTAAATCTACAGTCAGTGTGTCACTGGGTACCTTTTTTGCTTCCTGTACCATGTAGTGTGGCTATGCCTGCCTGCCTGTTCCTTGGCCTGATGCCACACGCTCTGCTCTCTGCTTCTGTTATCACATGACATTTGTGTTAGGAATCCTTTGCTTTGTGATAGTTAGTGTGAGGACACTGTAACCCACACTGGCCTCAAACTCACTGCAGTCTTCCTGCCTCAGTCTTAAGGATTCTGGGATTGATTCTGTTCTTCTAAGGACATGCGTCCTGTTGGGTTACTACCTACTACACAATCTCTGTTTGGTTAAATATCTAGAGACCCTAAGTGAGTTGACATCACAGGTGCCAGAGTTTGGGAACTAACTTATCTTTGGAGCACCACAGTTCACCCTAGCCACACTTGGAACTTTCACATGTTTTGCAATCAAAGCAAAACCTAGAAATAAACGCAGAAGACCAAGGAGTCATATTTAGCATTTGTTATCTGGTCCTAGGATCAAACTCAGGAGCTTGAATTGCTGCATAAAGTGCTCAATGGTTGAACTACACCCTTAACCATGACTTTTACCCAGAGTGGAGTAAGAGGTTTCTGGATAGTTTGGGAAGGTCAACCTCTCCTTGGTGTCAGGAGAACCCGTTTTGTTCTCTTTAATCTTCTGCATAACTGGAGACTGATGCAATCACTGCCTGCTGCTTCAACCAGGATGCTTACATAGAGCTGTGATGCTCACCTTTCCCATAGTGCACACCTGTCTCCCTTTCCTTAGTTAACATTTGGGAGACTGAAGAGAATAAGTTCTGGCCCAGCCAGGATAACATAGAGACTGTCTCCAAAAAAGTAAATAAAACATGTTTTCCTTAAAACTTTTTAATTAACAGGTTTTTGTTTCTTTGTTTTAAATTTTTTAAATACATTTTTAAAATTTATGTGTAAGAGTGTTGTGCTTGCAGGTATATATGTTTACCAGGTCCATGCCTTGTACCTGCAGAGTTCAAGAGGGCATCAGATGCCCTAGAACTAGAGTTATAGATGGTTGTGAGCCACTATGTGGGTGCTAGGAAGTGAACCCAAGTCCTCCAATAGCAGCAATGCTCTTAACCGCTGTGCTACCTCTCCAGAGCCCTCATTAAGTTTTAGAAGACCAGAGAATTCAGTTGGCCCATCATGACAGCACTTTGTGCTCTCTAGTTTTATTCCTTAGGAAGCCTGCCAGTTGCCATGAGTCATCTCTGAGTTAGGTTCCCCTTGACAAATCTGCCTGGGCCCTGAGACTCACTGGAGGATGGACAGGAAGGGTTTAGGGAGATGATGGCCATTACAGGAACCATCAGAATGTGGGGCAAAATGTCACTCGGGTTTCCCAACTGTTAACATGTGACAACTTTTCCCTTAGTTTTTCCTCATCCCCTCTCTCCCTCCTTTCTTCCCTTACTTTGTGTGTTTATCACACATTTTCCCTTTGAACTCTGAGAGAAGCTGTATTACATGTGTGTCTTTGGTTGAGGAGTATGTGTATTATTTTATTGTTTTCTTTTTTAAAGACATGACTTCATCTAGCCCTCATTGGCCTGGAACTCACTATGTAGCTGAGGATATTTTGAATTCCTTGTTCTGCTGCCCCAAGTGCTGGGATTACAGACATGCACCTCTTTACCTAGCTCCTTATCTGAGTGTTTCTTAAATAAGAGTGTTCTTGTACAATGCACAAAGAACTTAAGTCCATATTCTTTTTTTTTCTGAGATAGGGTTTCTCTGAAGCCCTAGCTGTCTTAGAATTTGCTCTGTAGACCAGGCTGGCTCTAAACTCATGGAGCTACACCTACCTCTGCCTCCTGAGTGCTGAGATTAAAGACGTGCACCACCACCACCCAGCTACAAGTCCATATTCCATCATTTAACTAACATTTTATAAACTACGACTTGCCTGTCAGGTGTGATGGTAAACACTTGAATCCCAACACTCAGGAGGCAGAGACAGACAAGTCTCTATGATCTGAAGACCGGCCTCGTCTTCATAGAGAGTTTCAAGCCAGCCAGGGCTACATAAAGAAACCCTATGTCAAAAGAAACAGCAGCTCCCAATTGGTGTGTTTGGTTGAATAATACCTGCTATTACTAAAGGCACTTCAGAAACATTTCCTGTTCAACTGTGCCTATATTACACATAGGACATAGAAGCAGATAAAATAATTTACCCTTTTTTTTGTTTCTTTGTCTAGTTTTTGTGGTACTAAAGATGGAACCTAGGGCCTTGGCATTTTAGGCAAGTGCTCAAATACAGATGTTTCTTAGAATTTTTTATATCTTTGATTACTTAAGTCAACAGAGTTTAATGGGAAAATGTTTTTTATTTGTTTTATATTTTTATATTTAGACAATAAAGATTCAGAGAGGCCTTTGGAAAAAAGATCTCTATGCACGGATGGGTTTTCCAAACTTGGAAACAATAAAAGGACTACAACCACTACACCAAGTAAGTTTTGTACACAAAGAAACAAAACCGTGGGTTGGCCTCCTTCAGATTCCTGTTGAATAGGTAGTGGTTTGCAGCAGCTAACATCTGAGGAATGGGGACCAGGGCTCATGCTCTACTGTTCTAGGTTCCTAGCTTCAGCATAGTGGGCACCTGACCTCAGACTGACTTTCTCAGTGTGAAGTAACAATGGCTGTGCTTCAGGGTTCCTGGGTTAGTATATAACTTGAGAATGCTTTTTCCACTACTTAGTAGCTAGCACATCAAATAGCACATAGCAAGACTTAAATAAACATCTGATGAAATATTATCTGTGGGGTACTACATACATGCTGTACTCAGCACTTTGGAGCTGGAGGCTTGCTTACATGGTTTTGGATGAGCCTGTCTAGTAATGTGACATTCTGTCCCAATACATCAAAATACAAAACCAGTTTTCTCATCTGCCTTGTGTTGCTTGACACATAGATTATTAGATATTTATAATAATACTGTTTATCTTATATTAGAAATTCAATAATCGAGGATGGAGAGACGGTTCAGAGGTTAAGAGCACTTGCTGCTCTTTCAGAGGACCCAAGTTAAGCTCCCAGCATCTACATAGTGGCTACAACCATCCATAACTCAGTTTCAATGAGATCTAACTTCCTTTTCTGGCCTCTTTGAGCATCAGGCATACACATAGTACATATACATGTGTGGAGGCAAAACATTCATAGATATGAAATAAAGTAAATTTAAAAAAAGAAAAAGAAATTCAATAATGGAATAGCATAAGGTAGATTTGGCAAACCACTCCCCGCTCATCTTATAGTTTTAAATCCTCTAAGCTGAAGGTTTTGTCTTTTGGGCTTTTTGAAAACGGGTCTTAATATACCCCACAAGGCCTCAGATTCACCATGTATCCAAGGCTGGCTTTGAATTTTTGATCTTCTTGTCTCTTCCTATCCTGTGCTGTGTTTATAGAGCATGGGCCACCACACTCAGCTTGGCTTTCAAATTCGTAAAGTGATTAAAATAAGATGAGTCAGAAAACACAATAGTCTAATGTATTTATTGTTTGTACCTTCACACAGGTCTTTTTTGAGACAGGGTTTCTCTGTGGTTCTGGAGGCTAGCTCTTGTAATCCAGGCTGGTCTCGAACTCACAGAGATCCATCTGCCTCTGCCTCCCAAGTGCTGGAATTAAAGGTGTGTGCCACCAACGCCAGGCTGCACACAGGTCTTAACCTAGGGCTTTCTTGGCATATAAGCTGTCAGTTTTCAGAGGCTAGAGAAGTTGTATCTCAAGTGGCAGAGCATCGTGCACACTTGGTCTATGTTGTAATGGTTAAATAAAGGCCCTTTAACTAACAGAGGTGGAAGAGGACAAACCTCTTGTTCTCCAAACCCAGACATCAGGGAACTGGTCAGGAGGATGGTGAATGCTTGATGGTCCCTAAGATGAATATGCTTTCCCCTGAGTTTCCAAAAGCTGAGTGTTCTAGAATTATGTGTTAGTCAGGATGACATTAAAGTTGAATGTCAGGAAAGTAAAGAGAACAAATGTTAATATAAACACAGAGAAGGTTAAAATGGATTTTTATCTTACTATTTTTCATATTGTAATACATTCTAGACTTTAAGAGGCTTCATGAGGCTCATTTTAAGAAAATGGAATCCATTGATGAATATATTGTGAGAAAAAAGAAACACTTGAACGACCACAACTCACTTAATGAACTAAAGGTATACAGACAAAATAAATGGTTTTTTAAAATTCATTTATTTTATTTTGTGTGTATGAGTGTTTAGTGTTTTGCCTACATATAAATATGTATATCATGTACCTGCCTGATACCGATGGAGGTAGGATACAGGTTTGGATCTTCTGGAATAGGAGTTACAGATTGTTGTGAGCTGCCATGTGGTTGCTAGGAATTAAACCCAAATCCTCTGGAAGAATATTTAGTGCTCTTAAGCACTGAGCAATCTCTCCAGTCCTATCTTCTTTGTTATTGTTGTTTGGTTTTTGTTTTGTTTTCTTTAAGACAGACACTCACTATGTAGCTCTTGCTGTCTTGGAACTCACTATATAAGCCAGGTTGGCCTCAAACTCACAGATATCCACTTGCTTCTACCTCCTGAGTGCTGGAATCAAAGATGTGTGCCAATGTTCCCAGTTTCTTGTTAATTTTTAAAACTCATGTTCTCAGACTAACCTCTGTTATCTGCCTTTTTGTTGTGTAGTCAAGACTGTATTGTAGAATATTTAACACAGTTGATGGTTCTAGACAGGGCTGAGAAACACTCATGTAAGGACGGACCAGTACTGTCTAGCTTGCTGTCTTTCAAAACAGAGGTATAGCACTAAACATTAAAAAAAAAAAAAAAAAAAAAAAGTATAAAGTTAGTTTAAAAGGGTACTGAAGCTGGATATCGGTGGTGCATGACTTTAACCTCAGTACTCAGGAGGCACAGGCAGGTGGATCTCTGTGAGTTTGAGGCCAGCCTGGTCTACAGAGCGAATTCCAGGGTAGCCAGGACCACACAGAGAAACCCTGTCTGGAAAATAAATAAAATAAAATAAAAGGGGACTGAGTGGAGCTGGATTGATGGCTCAGCAGTTGAGAACACTGTCTGTTCTTCCAGAGGACCCACATAGAAGCTCACAAATGTCTGAACTCCAGACCTGGGGCATCTGACACTCTAATGGCCTCCCTGGACACCAAGCATGCACACAGTGCACACACACATGCAAAACACTTATACACATAAAATAAAGACATTTAACACTTAAAAACAAGAAAACAGAACTTCCAGAGTATTTTCTCTTTTTACTTTGCTTTTAGGTGTTGTTGTTGTTTTGATACAGGGTTTCTCCATGTGTCCCTAGCTGTCCTGAAACTTGCTCTGTAGAGCAGGTTGGACTGGAACTCACAGAGATTCTCCTGCCTCTGTCTCCCAAGTACTGGGACAAAAGGTGTGCACCATCACAGCCCCTCTTCTTTTTTTAAATTGCTGTTGTTGTTATTTTTATTTATTATCTTGAGACAGGATTTTATGTAGTCCAAGCTAGTCTTGAAATGACTCTGGATAAAACTGGCCATGAATTCCTGGCCTTCTTGTTTCCATGCTGCAACATGAACTCCTGACCTTGTTGCCTCCACCCTGCAAATGGTGGCGTTACAGGGATATACCCCTCCACCTGGTTTGAGAACAAGGTCTTATTTTGGAAATCATATTGTGTGTGTATGTGTGTGCATGTTGAGGTCACAGGAGCACTTGTGAGAGTTGGTTCCTTCCTCTCCCATGTGGGCTGTGGGATGGAATGCAGGTCATTAGGCCTGAGACCAAGATTTTAAATGGTGCTTATTATTCCTTTCAAAAGCAGCCTGAGAAGAAAGGGCTAGTGACCCCAGTTCCAGCAAGAGGAAGACTCTCTGTACCCTGTACTCCTGCCAGGCAGCAGTTCTCACAAGGCCAGTCCCATGGCCCTGAAAGTCAGGGTCTGAAGGGGTTGGACAAACACTCTGTGCTTTCAGCAACTAAAATGAATGTCAGGTAAAGAGATTTTTTTTCTTAAGTGACTGTATACACTCATTCACATTGGTGTTTAAATCCAAGGGTTTGGGTATGCTAGACAAGATCTCTACCAGTGTTCACATATGCTTGGGATATGTGTGTGTAGGTATGTTGGATGGAGGACACCCTCCAATTGTCTCATGGGCATTTTATGGTTGGGGTGTGTGTGTGTGTGTGTGTGTGTTGGGTGTTGTGTATATATGTTTGTGTGTAGGTTTCTTGGATAGAAGAAATCCTCCAGTTGTCATCAGGGGCCTTTTATGGTTCTTTTTCTGGAGACAGAGTCTCCCACTGGCCTGGAACTTACCAAGTACACTAGTCTACCTAGCTTGCCAACCCAGGAATCCACCTGCATCTACCTCCCCATTGCTAGGATTACAAACCCACACCACCCTACCTCTCGTTTTCAGAGATAGTAAAATGTAGAATCATGTCTTAGTTATAGTTGCTATTGCTGTAAAGGGGAGAAAAGAGTTTATTTGTCTACACTTTCTCATCTTTGTTCATTATTGGAAGAAGTCAGAATAGAGACTCAAGCAGGACAGGTACCTGGAGGCAGGAGCTTATACAGAGGCCATGGAGGGGTGCTGCTTACTGGCTTGCTCTCCACGACTTGCTCAGCCTGCTGTCTTATATAACCCAAGACCACCAGCCCAGGGGTGGCACCACCCACAATGTGCTGGGCCCTCCCCCATCAATCACTAATTAAGAAAATACCCTATGGCTGGGTTTTACGGAGGCAATTTTCTCAATTGAGGTTCTTTCCTTTCAAATATTGCTTATGTCAAGTTGACATAAAACTAGCCAGCACAATCACAAGAATACATGTCTGACATGAGCAGAGAGTGAGATCTGGTAGAACAGTCTCCCATCCCTTTGACTTGATGTTGCCAGGAGGAAAAGGCAAAGGATGGCATCTCTGATGGCTTCCTGCACTGGCCCTGGAGACCCACGGGCATACCCCTTGAAGTCTGTCATTGGCCAACACAAGATTACTGGAAAATACACAAATGTATTTTATCTATTATTTTTAAAGCTTTATTAGTTGATGTGTGTGAGCCTTGTGTTCTCAGGGACCGGCCAGGTGTCAGATCCTCTGAAACTGGAGTCACAGATGGTTGTGGGCTACCTTGTGGGTACTGGGAACTGAATCTGGGTCCTCTGTATGTGCTTCTAGCTGCTGAGCTCCCTTTCTAGTCCCTCAAAACTTATTTTGCAAGAAATGGAAGTTAACAAAAGCAAGTCTTTTGTTGAGAGAGGGTGATTCACATAGCAAGTCTTTACTGAGGCTCATGGACCACCTGGTGATGGCCCAGTGGCTTCATTTAGAAGCTTAACTGTAGTTACTCTTGTTACAAGCACCTACATCTTTCTCTCCATTGTTGCATTTAGGTTTTCAGCCACTACTAAAGATAATGAACATAAGTGCTCATTGACCAAGACTCCAGCCAGGAAGTCTCCACATGTGTCCCTACCTGGGAGTGCTTACAAAGGCCAGGCTGTGCTCAGGACACCCAAGTTAATGACCACTGAGAGGTCTTTTTTAAAGACCACTCCTGCAGGTAAAAAAAAAAAAGGTTTTAGCTTTAACCCTGTAACTTCTGAAGTTAAGCATGCCTCTTTCTCTAAGGTCTCCTCATATGTATAAAATCAAGTACAAAAAGGTTGTAGCATATTTTTCACTTACCCAGACAGGAGCTATAAACTCACACTCCTGCTTTGTACACATCAAGCTTCTCCTTAGAATCTCTTGAAAATGTCAGGCTGACAGTGGTTCCTAGACTCGGGCTGTCCATTGCTTCAGACAGAGACGCCATTGGTGATGATAATCGGTGTGGAGACTCGGTTTCTAATGGGGTCATGGCCTAACTGAACAGGAAGAAGGAACATTAAATTCAAGGGTCCAGGGCTAGGGGATGGCTTAGTGAATAAAAGCACTTGTCTTTCAAACATGAGACCTGAGTTCAATTCCTAGGACCTTTGTCTAACAAAAGGACACTGGATGTGTTGGCAGCTTATTATAATCCCAGTGCCAGGGAGACAGACCGTGGCTCCCTGGAGTTCACCAGTTGGTGAGATCCAGGCTATTGTATACCTGCCTCAAAATGTGTGTTTGCTCTCTCTCTATCTGTTGCTGAATGTGTCTGTCTGTCTGTCTGTCTCTCTCTCTCTCTCTCTCTCACACACGCACACACACACACACACACACAAGCATCACATACACACATACACAGAAAGAGAATGCAGAGACGAGAATACTTAAGTTTAAAAAATTCTTCTCTTAAATGGCCTCTCATCATCTGGCCTTATCATCAGCCAGTAAACATTCTGCCTAGCATTCTAAATATGAAGAAATGGCCTGGGCAGGGTGACTAGAAAAAAGTGATTAGTAGCTATATCTTGTCATTTTGCAAAGAGCTCGAGCCTGAACAGCACCTATATCACAGTAACAAGAGGGTTCACTATTGCTTAGACATAAAGATATGAGGCCCAGACCAAAGTGTTTGCCTCATGCTGAGTGTTCTCTGCTAAGTAATTCAGATTCAGGGTCCTCACCCCCCCTTACCAAATTCGATTTTGTTTTTTCCCCAGAGACAGTGTTTCTCTGTGTAGCTTTACAGACCAGGCTAGCCTGGAACTCACAGAGACCCACCTGCCTGTTCCTCCTGAGTGCCGAGACTAAAGGCATGTGCCACCACTACCCTGTGAGACGTGAATTTTACATGAATAAAATTTAACTCTGACTTTTTTTCCTGTGACTTTTTCAGTCAACAGAATGTTTCAAGATTCGGACATGTTCAGTGTTTTGTTTTTATTTTTCCAGATATGGTTTCTCTGTGTGGTTTTGTAAGCCAGGCTGGCCTCCAACTCACAGAGGACCTGCCTCTGCCTTCCAAGTGCTGAGACTAAAAGTGTGTGCCTCCACTACCCGGCTAAGTTCAGTTATTTTTATGGTAGTTTAATAGCATGGATATATTTCAGTTTATTCCCTAAGAACATATAGGTACTTCTAAAACATATCATATGCTCTGGAAATGTAAGCATTTATTCTGGACAGAGGATTAAGACTATTGTACTAAAGGGTGTACACCACCTCCTGCTTTAGAGCCATTAACACAATAAATAAACTTACCTTTGTGGTTGTTTAACTAATTGACTCTTGATTTTAGCTGATTCTTCACAAATGTTCACATTGGACATAACTGAGTAGCTTCTCTTGTGAAGGGAAAGGAATATAAAATGTGGTAGATACTTGATGCTCAACAATGGCAATAAGGCTTGCTAAATTACCCATCCTCATTTTAACTCTATGCTACAAAAATTTACATTCTTAAATAATAGTTTTTACTAATAACTAGAGCTACAAATATTTTCACCCGTATGAAATTGGCTTTTTTTAAAAAATCTATTTCAGTTAACAATACTATGCATTACTTATGTATTTATTTATTTTTTTGAGACAGTTTCTCTGTGTCGCTTTGGAGCCTGTCCTGGAACTGAATGTGTAGCCCAGGCTGGCCTTGAATTCACAACAGTCCTCCTGCCTCAGCTTTCTGAGTACTAGGATTATAAATGTGCTGGCTTAATTAATTTTTAAAATCCATTTCTTTTAAGTATGTGAGTAGGTATGAGCACATGAGTACTGGTGCCCACGGAGGCCAAAAGTTGTCAGCTCTCCCTGGAGCTAGAGTTGCAGGTCGGCGTGAACTACCTGATGAGGGTGCTGAGAACTGAACTCAGAACAGTGCATGCTCTGACCCACTCCAGCCCTCTATTCATTTTTTTATTTGCTTTTTAAGACAGGATCTCGAGTAGCTGAGGCCTTGCTGCCTTCACCTTTCAGTTAGAGTCGTGCCCTGGCACTCCCTGTGATGGCTATCAGCTTTTCTTTCTTTATTAAAAAGAAGATTCATGTATGTATGTGTATGTACATGCCTGTGTGCCAGGACACACATTTGGACAGCTTGTGGGACTCACTCTCTCACCACCACATGGGTTTCCAGGGATCAAATTCAGGTTGTCAGGCTTCATCACAAGCACCTTTATCTGCTGAGCCATTTCCCCAGCCCTCAGCCATTTCAAGACTTCTATACTCCTAGATGATCCTAGACAAGGATGAACCATTCAGAATGTCCAGGGGCTGCTAACTGGGGAGCAAACCTCAGTAGTTAGGTTCCTCATCTAGTTCACACCCCTTCTTTCCTACTTTTGAGCCCAGCATCTACATCACATGACCCATACATATTAATTTTGCCTGTTATAATAAACTACCAAAGGCTGAGTGACTTTTAACAAAAGAAATTAGGTGATTCTAGGCTAGATCAGGATTCTAGTTTGGCTGGGACCTAGCAAAGGCCCCTGAAGTACCAGGCTGCTGTTTTCTAGTCACATGCTCAAATGGCAAACTAAGTGTCTTGGTCACTGTTCTATTGCTTTGAAGAGACAGCATGACCAAAGCAACTATTATAGAAGAAAGCATTTATGTGGGAGCTTGCTTCCAGTTTCATGTTGTCAGGGAACATGGCAGCAGGCAGGCATGGTGCTCGGGAAAGAACTGAGAATTCTACAGTCTGCCCTGAAGTCAGTAGACAGAGTCTGGGCCTGGCATGGGCTTTTGATACTTTAAAGCCCTCCTTCAGTGACATATTTCCTCCAGCCGGCCACACCTCCTAACCCTTCTAAGCCTGTCAGAGAGTTCCACTCCCTGGTGAAGCATTCAAATACAGGAGACTAAGATGTCATCCTTATTCAACCACCACACTGAACTAGTATACATTGTAGAGATTCGTTATGTTGCACTAATCCCACTTAGGGAGAATGATTCCTCTCAATTAAGATTCCATTTCCCATTGGAATGGAAGATGGGGACAAAAACATTTCATCCATAATGTAGACATTTTTAATTGGTGAAATACTTTGATTAAAACCTGTAATTTGGAGAGCTGGAGAGAGAGCTCTGTAGTTATGTGTTGGGAAATATTATTTTGTTTCTGTTGCATTTGTTTAACTCTGTAAAGCTCTGATTCTTTGCCTGTCTAAAACAGGCAGGGCTGGTAGGCAGAGAGTATAAATAGATGACTGGGAGGAGAAAGTAGCCAGAGAAGGAGGAGGACATCAGGGACCAGCCACCCAGCTACATAGCAAGCCATGGAGTAAGATTTACAAAAGACAATGGGAAAAGCACAGAGGTAAAAAGTAGATGGGATAATTTAAGTTAAGGAAAGCCAGCAAGAAACAAGCCAAGCTAAGTCTGAGTCTGGACATTCATAATTAAGAATAAGCCTCCGTGTGTGGTTTTTATTTGGGAGCTGGGTGGCTAGCCCCCTCCAAACCGGTAAAAAAAACAACCAACAACAGTTATGAGTATTTGCTGTTCTTCAGAGAACCTGGATTTAATTCCCAGCATTTGTGTGACAGTTCACACTGCCCATGAGTCCAGCTCCAGGAGATCTAATAGTCCCTGGGCACAGGGATGCATATGGTACAGACATGTGGGCAGAACACTCATAAATATACATAAAACAAACCTGAGAAAAACATTTTAACTTCTATTTTTTTGTTTGTTTGTTTAAATAATTAAGTTCTAGCTGGGTGTGGTAGTGCATACCTTTAATCCCAGCACTTCGGGAGGGGACATGCAGAGGCAGGTGAATCTTTGTGAGTTTAAGCCGTCTTGGTCTACAGTGTGAGTTCCAAGACAGCCGGGACTGTTACACAGAAAAACCCTGCCCCCCGCCTCCCAAAAAAAAACCCAAAAACAAGTTCTTTGGTGTTTTGTATATTTGGGTTTTTTTTTGGTTTGTTTGTTTTGTTTTGCTTGTTTTTCAGTTATTACCCCATTCAAGTTAACAACTGAAGCAACACAGACTCCAGGCTCTAGTAAGAAACCATTATTTGATCTAAAGGCAAGCTTGTCTCGTCCCCTCAACTACAAGCCACACAAAGGTATGTGGGATTGTTTGGTAGACGATGTCAAAAGGGCTGAAGGGGTGTGTGGGTGTGTGTGTGTGTCTGTATGTGTGTGTCTGTGTGTGGGTGTGTGTCTTTGTGTGTGGGTGTGTAGGTGTATGTCTGTGTGTGTCTGTGTGTTCACCTGGTATTATAACATATATAGTAGTAAAGTGCTACCTGGCAGGCATGAGATTCTGAATTTAAACAAGAGGAAAAAACTTGAAAGAAGTCCTACTATGGAAATTTCTGCCCCTGCTTCCACATGAATCCCTGACTTAAAAGATTTTCCAACAGATTGATGTCAGCCTAAAAGTGGCCTGTGTTGCCTTTTTATCTTAAAACAGGGTGTATGAATACTGGTTTGAGTTCCTGTTCCTTTGTTTTGAGACAGGACTTCAAGTATTCTAGTTGTCCTCAAATTTGCTCAAAGCAAAGAATGACTGAACTTCAGAGTGACGGAATCTTCTTCACTTTATTGCTTTATTTTTTTAACTTTTTTTTTTTAAGCAATTTTAAAGTATTTATCAGAGTGACTTTATTTTGTGTATGGGGTTTTTGTTGTTTGGGCTTTGTTGGTGTTTTGTTTTAAAAGATAAGGTTTCTTGGGCCTTACGTTTAGGGCTGGGTCCAGTTCATTTTGGTGGAGAAGGCTATGTGGCGAGCATGAGGCTGTCCCATCACATTGTGTCACAGTAGTTCTAGGCAGATACAGCCCAACATGCCAGGAAGATACTGCAGCAGGACATGAGGCCAACCTGCCACATTACGTGGGCTGGAAGCAGAGAGTGGTTTTTGATTGTGGGTCTCACTGTGTAGCTAAAGCCAGTCTGAAACTCACTCTATCCCAGTGTGTACTTGAACTCATGACCTTTTATTTCCTTCAGCCTCCCAAAGTGGAATTACTAGTGTTAGCTACCATGCCTAGCTATAAAGTGCACAGTACCCACACAGTGGCATATACTCACACATACATATACAAATAATTAAAGCATCTTTAAAGATCTTAAAAATAGCCGGGCACTTGGAAGGCACGCCTTTAGTCCCAGCACTTGGAAGGCAAAGGCAGGTAGATTTCTATGAGTTCAAGGCCAGCCTGGTCTACAGAGTGAGTGCCAGGAGAGTCTTAAAAAAACCAAAAAAAAAAAAAAAAAAAAAAAAAAATCTTAAAAATATGAAATGATTTTTTAAAATGCTATTAAATAATACTTATACAATTTTAAGATAAACTATTTGGTTATAATTGCTTTATTCAGTCTGATGTATAATCATACCAACGATAACAGGTTTAATTACTAGTATTTGCTTAGATTTTTTAAATGTTATATGTACTGTCTATCTGTGTGCATATAAGTGCAGTGTCCAGGGAGGCAGGCGGTACCCTGGAATACGGAAGGTGTCCTAGAACATCCTGGAACTGGAGTTACAGGGACGGTGAGATACCTGACATGGGCGATGAGAATGGAACTTGGGTCCTCTGTAGGGGCTGTAAGCACTCTTAACCACTGAGCCATCTCTCTGGCCCCTATGACTTCCTTAGAGTTTAAAAAAAAAGAAAATGACTCAGCAGGTAAAGCCACTTGCCACCAAATCTGACAGCCTGAGTTTGCAATTCCTGGGGCCTCCATGGTGGGAGAAGAGTCAACTGCAGGAAATCATCTGTTGACTCCTACCCATGCGGTGGCACGTGCACACAGATGTAAGACACAGGTCAGTGAGCTGCCGGGTGTCCAGACTGCCTGCTGCATAACCCTGAGCATCGTGAGTTCTGTTCCCAGAACTCTTGGTGGAGAGGAAAGACCCCGCTCTCTACAGTTATCCTCCGACCTCTGTGCTCACACTCCTACAAACCCAATATACATTGCAGAAAATACATGTAAATATCTATAAAACATGTTGATGTAAATATCTATAAAACATGATGATAGCCAAAAATGTGGAGACAATATAGTTGTGAATAAAAGCATCCTAACCCTGTCCTTTTCCTAACCTAGGAAAGCTGAAACCTTGGGGGCAATCTAAAGAGAATGGCTCTCTGAAGGAGGGTGAAAACAGAGTTAGCATACATAAGAAAACTTATAAACAGCCTCATCTCCGTACCAGGTGAGTACATATCTCATATTACACATTTCCTTATTTCAAAAGACAATGTATCAAAGAAGGTGAGGAGTAGGATTTCATAGTGTCAGAATATTCCATTTTGTGTTGATATAACAAAATGCTTGTGATTAAACACTGTACAGAGAACAGTTTATTTTTACTTCAGTTCTGGAATTCCAAGGTGCTGTGTTATGCTGTGTTATGACAGAGTGCATTTGAGAGTAAGGAAGAATGTGAGGATTAGGCAATGGAAAAGTGTTCTGCTGTCTTTAGAAGCCCCCTGAAGAGCTAGTTCATCCCTGAGACTTGGAATTAATCACTAACAAGGGTGCTACCAGTAACAATTGTATCTTGCTCTAGGACCCACCTCCTAGACATTCCTTTTGTTGTTGGAGGTACACTTTCTGTCTTTTGGTTGCTTTTTTTTTTTTGCAACAGGGCCTCTCTGTCCTGGAACTCGTTATGTAGACCTGGCTGACATCAAACTCAGAGATCTATCTGCCTCTGCCTCCTGAGTGCTGGGACTAAAGGTGTGCGCCAAAACTGCCTACCCATGATATCCTATCTAAAAATGTAAATTTTGTTAGGTGTTTTCAGCTCTAACAAACTAGATTCCAAACTGGGTTTGCAATGCACCCCAAATACTGCTTCATGTTCCTGTGGGACCTGTCTTCCCAACAGCACATGTAGCTATCCCTGTAGATGCCAGTACTCAAGTATGGGCAGGTATAAATTCTCCACTCCCAAGAAAAGCAGGCATGTTAAGAGTGAAGCCTCACTCATGCAGCTCCAAGCAAAAGCATGGGCCTGAGATCTCCAGGCTGTAGTTGATCTTGGCTGAATCAGATTTTACTGCCTGGGACTCTCCCCTACAGGTTTCCTATCATCCACCTCTTGCCTATATCCATTTGCACCAAGACCTTTTACTATCGTAAGATATCATGAGCCTGGAGGTTTATTTTTCTTGTCTCTAGTCAGTAGACTGTAGTTCTAGTACTGTGGCCAAACTATATGTTTGATTTCTAGGACTAAGACTTCTCATTTAAAACCAATTTTTGAAGTGCAGGCACTGCATTCACCAAGGAGTCCTCTGGTGACTGAGTTAACATAATGGCCTGTAGCCTTGGCACACAATGCTGACAAATGTCGGAACCTGTAAGTGGAGTCCAGTGCCCTGTAGACATCTGTTACATGTGTGTGCCAGATGTTACTTACCTGGATGTTTGGTCAGAAGGACATTCTTTACAGTGCCTGTTGGAGCATCTAGGTCAAGCCTAACATGGAACCTGTCTGTCCCTCTTAGGGAAGAACAACGGAAGAAACATGAGCAAGAACGAAAGGAGAGGAAGGCAAAGGTTTTGGAAGCTCGGAGAAACCTGGTTTTGCCTAAAGCCCACTAATCCTGTCGATTGCTCTATTTCAACTTGTTTTCCTTTTGTAAATGTGTTTATACTCTCCTGTACTTTAGTCAGAAGCTCTTTTTCTACCATAGCTTGTGGAGTGCCTGTTCTTCGTGTGCTATAACTCTGAAATCACATTCTCACCTTAAAGTTCATAACCACAGTGTTCTTCACCTGATGTCCTGTACCACTCTGCTTTTCAAGACATCTGTCCTTGGGTTCTCGCCATAGGTTTTTTTCATGTCAAGGTCTTGCTAGTTCTAACAGAGACAACCTGTTGTTTCCTGGACAAGAGCGTTTCCAACAAGCCACAGCAGGAGCTTAACATGAGACTGTGGGTGAGATAAAGCCCACAGGGAGAGGGAGGAGACCACTCCTTTGTTCACTAGTCTGGAAAGTCTATAATAATCTATTGATTTGTTATGGATCCATATCTAATCAAGGTAAAACATGTTTTAGTTTATAGGAGCCTTGTTCAAATCATTTCATGTAATTGCCAACTGTCACTCATTATATTTTTAAAATAGAATTCCTCAGTGCTTTCTGATTGTTAAATAAAAGCCACAGGGCAGGGTGTATGCCTCAGCTGAACAGCTTTGTCCACCACCCACTTGACCCTGGATTTGATACCTGGTATCATCACAAACAAAATGAGAATTACTAATGTACAAGTTACCACCACTGTCAGACTAAGCTCTAAGGAAGAGGAGAGCAGCTAAACATAGCTTTTAGTTCTTTGCTCTGCCATGTAGAGATTCTGAGTTCTGTGTAATGCTTATGATTTTCATAAATAAAATATTGTTTCACTTTGGTATGCTCATTCTTTTAAAATATAAGTTGCCCAGGATTTAAATGGCCATTGAATGTTAGTAAGTACTTACACATCCTACCCACCCACTTCTCTTCCACAACAAACTTCTTTTAACCTTATTTCTTTTTGATATTTTGATCCTGCTGTCCTGGATCTTGCATTATTTATTTAGTTAGTTATTTGTCTGTTTGTTTATTTGAAGGTTTATTGATTATGTAAATAGCTTTCTGCCTGCATGTATGTCTGCACACCAGAAGAGGACACCAGATCTCATTATGAATGGTTGAGAGCAGCCATGTGGTTGCTGGGAATTGAACTCAAGACCTGTAGAATAAATCAGTGCTCTTAACCTCTGAGCCATCTCTCCAGCCCCACCAACTTTTTTCTTGGAACAGGGTCTCAGGTAACTCAAACTGGCCTCAAACTCACTTTGTTGTTGTTTTTTGGGATTTGTTTGTTTGTTTTTTGAGACAGGGTTTTTCTGTGTAACAGCCCTGGCTGTCTTGGAACTTACTCTGTAGACCAGGCTGGCCTTTAAACTCAAGAGATTAGCCTGCCTCTGATTCCCAAATGCTGGAATTAAAGGCATGTGCCACCATTGCCTGGCCCAAAAATTGATTCTTAAAATAAATAAATAAATAAATAAATACATAAACTGACTAGGTATATGATCTTATTTTACTTTTCAATTGCTATGACAAAACACTATGACCAAGGTACCTTAGAAAGTCTTAATTAGTCTCACAGTTGCAAAAGATTAGAGTCCATGACCACCATGGTGAGGAGCAGGGCAGGCAGGCAGGCAGGCAGGCGGCATGTTGCTGGTGCAGTACTTGAGATCCGTATCCACAAGTAGAAGGGAGAGAGCTAACTGGACAGCCTAGGGTATTTGAAACCTCAAAGCCCATTCCCATGATATACCTGCTCACCAAAGCCACACCTCCCAGTCCTTCCCAAACATTCCACCAATGGGGGACCAAGTATTCAAACAAGGAAGCCTATGGGAGCCATTCCCATTTAAAGCACCACAGATGGCTCATTCTTTTAATCCTAGTACTTTGGAAAAAGAGGCAGGATTGCTGTGAGTCTGAGACCAGCCTGGCCTACACAGTGAGCTCTAGGCCAGCCAAAGTTATATAGTGAGACTGTCTCAAAATAACAAAAATAATGCTTTAATCCTTAAAGGATTTATTACATCCCATAATATCTCTGGCGAGAATCAAATCTTTAGCACACGGACCTTTGAGAGACATTTCATATTCAAACTACAGTGAGTATTTGTACACTGAAAACTATAAAATATTGCTGAAAGAAACCAAAAATCTAGATTGATATATTTCATGTCTGTCTTATAAAATAAGAGATTGAAGACACTTAAAGTTGATTTTTGATTGAATAGAAATGTTTGGGGTGAGGAAGATTGAGACAAGAGTCTCTTTGTAGCCTGGCTGTCTTGGATCTGTAGACCAGGGGCTGACCTCAACCTCACAGAGATCTGCCTACCTCTGCCTCATGAGTACTGGGATTAAAGGTATGTGTCACCACCTCCGCCTGGCTTCTAAAATTTCAGAGGTATTACATGTAAATATCTAAAATGGGTTCTTCGAGAGATGCTAAAGATGCTCTTCCCTTAAATATCCTTATTTGGAATTTTGTCTACTAGGGTTCATAACAGCCAATAATTCCAGTTCCAGGGGATCTAATACCCTCTTCTAGCTTTCATGGGCACAAGATATACAGACAATGCAGGCAAGCAAAACAACACACATAAAAAATAAAAGTAAGCCTTTAAATTTTTTTTTTTTTTAAATTTAAGGGCTGGAGAGATAGCTCAGAGTTTAAGAGCACTGGCTGCTCTTTCAGAGACCCTGAGTTCAATTCCCAGAAAATGTATAGTAGTTCACAACCATCTGTAATGAAATCTGGTGCCCTCTTCTGACATTGAAACATACATGCAGGCAGAACACTGTACAGATAATAAATCTTTTTTTAAAAAAAATTTTTTTCAGTAAGGCACACACCTTTAAAATTCCAGCACTGTGGAGGCAGAGGCAGACAGATCTCTGTGAGTTTGAAGCCAGCCTGGTTCACAGAGAGTTCCAAGACAGCCAGGGCTACACAGAGAAACCCTGTCCCAAACAACCAAAAGGAATTTTTTTCATTTAGTATGCATGGGTGTTTTGACTGCATGTATATCTGTGCACTGATATGTGACTGGTGCCCATGGAGTCCAGAAGAGAACTTCAGTTCCCCTAAAACTCCAGTTTACAGATGCTTGTGGATGCTGGGAACAAAACCTGGGTACTCTGTCAGAGCAGCCAGTGATCTTACCTACTGAGCCATCTCTGTAGCCCACTGTGACATTTTTAAATGAATAAGACCCTTTAGCAATCAGTCTATCTCTTCTACCAGCAGCAGTCATGTAAGAAACCCCTGAAAGTAAGAACTACTAAGTTAATGTCTCTGGAAGGCCAGCTCTATATAGGTGTCCTATTCCCAGTGACTTCCATGGCACATTTATCTTCATATTACTTAGCACACTCCTCTCCTCAAAGGTCAATTTGGAAACAGAAGGGCAGAGTAGTATAAGATCAACCACAATTGCCCCAGAGATGCCTTATTTGAAAACTGTCTCCTGCCGGGCAGTGGTGGTGCACGCCTTTGATCCCAGCACTCAGGAGGCAGAGGCAGGCGGATCTCTGAGTTCCGGGCCAGCCTGGTCTACAGAGTGAAAAAAAAAGTAGGAAGAAAGAAAACTGTCTCCTTAAGTAGGACATGCATCCCTTACATTGTGCCTTTGTTAGCTAAAACCCAGCCCTGGAGTTCATGCTGGGTCCCTCTTAACCAGGATTTAACCTTAAGGAATTTGTAACAACATGCATTGCTCAGCCAGTTGATGGTGGTAGTGGTGCATGCCTTTTAAGCCCAGCACTTGGGAGGCAGAACCAGGTTGATCTCTGGGAGTTCAAGGCCAGCCTGGTCTACACAATGAGTTCCAGGACAGTCAGGGCTACACAGAAAAACTCTGTCTCAAAAAAAACCCAAAGGAAGAAAAAAGTACTCATTTGGGAATATAGCTCATGTTTACCTAGCATACATGAGGTCCTGGGTTCGATTTCAGTTCCCAGAGTTACAGCTTTTAAGGAAAAGGTGTCCTGGTGGTCGAAGCTCAATAGGGAACGTTATCCCACTCAACAGGGAACGTTATCCCAACAGAAGTGCTTCAGCTCTATTGAGTGGGACACTACTTCCCAGCAAAGCATTACAGTGTTTGCTCTGGGAAAGGTTTCCCTAATCAAAGTGTAACAACTCTTCTCCAGCAGGGGAGGATTTCCCCAGTGAGGCTGTTACATCTCCAAGTCATTACAACAAACCTCACTGAAGAGATTTACTGGAAAGTCAGAATCCAGGAGAGTGGCTGCCTCTGCCAGGGCAGAAGAAGGGGCAGCCCCAAAATGAACACAGGTTCAGAACTTATATATGATTCCTTAGGGGCAGAACTTTCCAAGGTAGAGATTTTCAGGGTGTGGTAGGATTTTAATTCCTGAGTTTAGGACAAACTCAGAGATTGACTGGATTTTGTGGTCAGGGGTTGGTTTCATGCTCAGGAGTTGGATGTTTTTTGTGCTCTGGGATTGGTTGGTTTTCATGCTCAGGGACTTGTTGGATTTCAATTCCTGATTTGGTAAGGGGCAGGGTTTGTTTCCTTGACACTGGTCTCAGGGCCAGGGTGTTCTTTCACTGGCCCTTTTTACCCTACACCCAGCACAACAGAAAGTTTGTGGGGAGGTGGTAGACACAAAGGCTTTACTTTGTATTTTGTGACCATGCTTCAGTTTACTCAAGTCTGCTCCCAGTTCTCTATTTGAAAAGTCCTGGGTTAAGAGCTGGAGAATTCTCATAAGCAAATTCTTCTGTATGGGCTGGATCAGTAAACACACCAATAAAATCTATTTCCAGAAAGAATGGTCCATCCACTTTATCTGCCAGGGTGAATCCTATAGAAGAGATCTAAATGTAAAATAAGAGAAATAGATTAGTCTCACACACTGACTTCTTCCTGAAGTCTCCAGATGCCTCAAGGGCATCACTTCACCAGAGGCTTCACACCCTCAGCCCTCAGCATGCTGTTACATTTTTCATTTGCTGTACTAAATTATAAGAAGTACAATTTCAAGACTGCTTCCATTTTTTTTCTAGACAGGTTGCTTGTAGCCCAAGCGGGCTTTGAAGTCCTGATCCTCCTGCCTTCTCCTCCCAAGTGCTGGGATTTACAGCAGTGCCCACCACACTTGGGTGCCTGCTTCTCTCTACCCCATGTTTTACCTCCTCTCCCCTCTGAGTGGTCCACTTAAGACAGTCAGTACAGCATGGACTCTCAATGGAGTCTCTGTCTGAACTCATATTACACAGTGAAAATAAAATGAAGCAGGCTGAATACAAGACCATAGTAACAACCCCCAGGGGCCCAAGTTTACATCAGTCCTAACAGAGGTGGCCCCCACGATAGAGGTCTAAGTCCCAACAGAGCAGCCTGAAGGAATCTTAATCTTTCATCTGCTATCCCTGTAAAACAGCAACTGTACTTTACTAAAGAAGGCATCACTCTGAGTGGAAAACATTACCTTGTCAAGTATAAGTGGGCTCTGGACATCTCTTATCCTTCCTTGACTTGAGAAGAAAAATTTGGAGAAAGGAATCTGAAAAAGACACAAGTTATTTCAGAGCTGGAACATGACCATCTGAGGCATATATAGCTAAAAGCTACAGTCGCAGTATTCAGAAGACTAAGGCAGAAGGATCACCTAAATGCAGGAGGTCAGACTAGCATGAGCAATATCACAAGACCCTACTTCAATAAATAGGTAAGTTAGTAAGTTAAAAAAAAAAATAAAGATATTAGAAATGGCTAGCTCTTTGGATTAAAACTGCCATTTTCTGAAGGGTTTTTGTTTTTTTAGTGATTTAGACTGAGCCTGGGGTCTTAAGGATTTTACT